AGGTTCCAACTCTTAATGATGGAAATGCAAATAATTGCACATCATACCATACCGAACCAGATCATGCACCATTAACCCCACAACTGCCCCCACTGGCTCAACCCAGCAGTGTGTGAATGGGATTAATTAATACCAATGGGAGCTTTACCATAAGTGCAAGAGCGGGGAATGTGGAAATGCAACGAGAAAGCACTTTAAGTTGTCACATGACAAGAGAAAGCGCATTATATGTACAGTCCATTTACCGCTCAGTTGACAACCATCGCTAATCCAAACTCTGACAGACTAACCGCGAAGATCCTTCATATTTAGCCTCAAACAACATCCTCTAAGTTTGAGTTTCAGGATGAACCTTTAATTTGGAATTGGGACCAAAAATTAAAAATCATTCCTGACATTGGGAGCGTTTTCTTTCAGCTAATGTCTGAATGTATTCCAATCAAACAATCAACCAATAATCAAATACAAAAACCAGCTCAGATAAAGACCTTGATTCAGACTCTCATCGGCTTCTGGGGCTGGATACCTCTTGTGACTTTAAAAGGGAAATTTATCCCAAACAATGAAAAATACATGCATGTGGAATACGGTTTATTATAGAGATGATTTACAGATGGAGCAATTTACCAGATCATTTGTAAAAGTCGCCACGTTTCCCCTCTTCATTCTTTTCCAAAAGGCTGGAGCAGTGAAAAAAAAATGAAGGTTTTCTCTCCAAGATTGGTCCAAGCGTTATTAACAGAAAGCAATATTCCCAGGAATCTGGAGAAATATTTGAGAAATTAGCTCATCAGCGGGTGGCCTCTTTCTCTGCCATCATTATTATGGGTAGTTACTCGGTGGTTGGAACCATTGGCGGCTGTAAAATTTCTGCAGATAGCTGCTCGAAGTAAAATGGCAGAGGCGGTGAAATAAACAGGTCTTTAAAATGTTTGAGGAGTTTTGAGATGCACTGGCCTGAGTAAGACCTGAATGATGTCTTAAATCAGGGATCAGGATTGTTCCAGCGGAGAGGGATCAATAAAGTTGTCAGTTTTGCACATTTAGCACCTAAATAAGGAGTTATCAATGAGTACACAACTTAAAAAATCCTGATCCTTGTATTAACAGCATTTAAATCCCCCTCTTTCTCTGCACTAATCCTCCCTTAGTTTGTGCCTGTGGAGGTTTAGGAGAACAAGCTCTTTGTTGGTTTAACACGGGATTAACGTGAGTGTGAAACTGCTTAATCCACGGGATTACAGAGTTTACTTTACCTTAATTCTTAGTGATTACTCAGGAAACTGCTTTTATAACTCCTCCTAATGATATATTTGAGAAACAAATCAGTTCATTTTACTTTTAATAAACTGAAATCAACAGGAAGTGAGTGGGATTAAATATTGATGTTGTTTTTGCAGATATTTTTCTGTGATTTAGCACAGAGGTTTTGTTTTAAAGGAGGAGTTGTTTTTGATATTTTGTTTCTAAAAAGATGTTTATCAGACATGATGGACTGAGTGCAAAAAATACCCAGAGTGCCCCCCGACTGGGGATCCTCAGTCTGGAGGCAAAGCCATTTCACAACACGACACTAGAGAGACTGATAAAACACCAAAAACGCAGACTGGTCCAAATCAGAAATATGCTCCAAAATATCAGCTCATTTGTTATGCTTACTCCAGTGGAATACAGGCGGCATGAGTCAAGCATCATGCCAAGGCATCTGTTGGCAACGCCACATTGGCAGTTGTGCAGAAATACCGACAAAATGGCGCTATCAAAACAGCGATCTTGTGGGATTATGCCCAGTCATTCCTAATCCTGCACAGACGGAGAGGAGAAGGAAAACAGAATATTTTCTCGATTTATTGAACTGAAACATAAAAACTTGAACTGCCACGCCGGCTTTTTGGCTTTAGGCGACGGAAACATCAGCAATCTGTTTCATCGTTTTGGTCCAGATAAAATTTGGAATATTTGACGAGAAAATAGAAAGAGGTTAAAAATGTTTGTAACGAGAGTTAAGAGAATTTACAGACATTATCCTCCCCAAAGGATTAATCTTTTGATGCAACAAACAACAAAGTACTTGTACTCTCATGCAAAGGATAAAAACACCCTCCCCTTGCTGTCATCCAAATATTTATGCTCCATTGATAAGTTGTGTAACCTCCCACACATGACCCCCCCACAATCCAAACATGAGGATGGATGGGCAGCAAGAGTCACCAGGGTTATCAAGTAGGCACCTCAAGTTAAGCTGAAAACACCTCAGGAGGGTTCAACAGTCAGCACCAGGGTCTCAGAATCAGACTCGAGCATGTGGACTCCCCACCCCTTCATAATACCAACATGTGAAAGAGGAAAACAGAGAGAAGAGTAAACAGAGAGGTCAAAGACGGCAAAGTTAGGAGCTTGTATCATAGAACGAAAGTCAATATGTTTGTGGGATGTGGGTGTTTATATACACCGTCGTTTACATACACTCATTCAGTGTCTCATGGGAAAACATGCAAGATCTCATGAGATCTCGCCCAGTCTTGCGAGAAATATCGGTAATCTCGCAAGCGCTTCTCCTACGATGGCGGAGGCAGATCGGATCCGGTGGGCACTGTATACTTGCGTTTTTGATCTGCCTGCCAGAGTGGAGCCGTTCCAGATCCAGTGGAATACCCGGGTTAGGGTGACCATATTCTGAATTCCCAAAAAGAGGACACGACTACGCTGGGGCGGAGTCACAGAGTCGCGCTAAGCAAATTTTGAGAGTTTTTCCGGTCGGGTCAAGTGTTTTTTACACACTTCTAACTCAGTAACTCCACATGACACAAACTCAAAACTTCCATATATAACCCCGTACTTGATAAGGATTTTATAAACTCCCCCGGGACAGGCCGGACAGCCCCCCAAAAAAGAGGACATGTCTGGGTAAAAGAGGACGTATGGTCACCCGACTCCATCTGCACTGTAAGAAGAATAAGAGCACTTTGGGGTCGCTGATTCATATGCATCAGAAAAAGTCGAATAATAATCTAAGCACATGCACAGATGTAGGTACTTCTAATACTTGGTATCAGCCCTGAAGAATCGTTATCAGTCAACCTGTAATTTGAACAGATTACAACTGTTTTTATAACTCGCCAGATGCAGCAAAACTACCACTTACCTTTTGCTTTATTGGTTAGATTTGGAGCCTCGATTTTAGACGAGGACCAAACACATTTCTTTCACACTTTCATCTACAGAAACTATCAGCTGGCAGCTGCACACAAAAGAGCAATTAGCCACATTGTGCATTCAGGACCTCTTTTACTGGTTTCACACTTACAAACCAGAAAGAAAGGCGCACTCGTATCCACTCTGACCCAAAACACACTCTCAGGAGAAAGTGGGCAGTATGCCAGCTCCCTTGGGCGTGATGCTCCTTGACCACCAAACCCACTCTTGACGCCTCATCCCTGTAAACACACCCTCAACACACCCTCGACACAAAGACAAAGAACAACCGATCTGCCCTTTTCCCTGCCTTCTTGCTACATCTGTCAATCATCCCTCCCTGTAAGCCCCGCCTCCTCTTGTGTGCGCTCTTGAGAAGGAACAAAATGATGATTAATGTGGTGTTGATGTCTTCATTCTTATTAATATACAGCTGTAGATTGATAGAAGAGACTCGTCCCTCCAAAGGGATTTGGAAAGAGGGTAGTGTGTGGTTAAATGTGTGTGTTTGTTTGTGTGTGTGTGTGTGTGTGGCTGCTAAAGGGGGATTCGAGTGTGTGTGAGACAGACAGGTGGTGCTGATGGGACTACGTGATTCACTTTGCTCCTTATTTGCATACATATGACAACCATCTGTGCTAATAGGCCTCCGCGATGTCTCTATTAGGCTCACTGCCACGCTGTTTTGCCTCAGGACCTCCACCATGTACCAACATTGTGCTCACGTCCGTTGGCTTTGTGCGACACGCACCAGCTGATGCCATCTAGTGAATGGAGATAGGAAGGGATGCAGCAGGAACCCATATGGGTACCAAACCCGGGTCAAACCGCATTTTTAGCATTTGTTTCGAACAGATTGAAGCAGCAGATCAGGAGCGTTTTTTTCTTTCTCAGGGAGGTACAGTGACCGACAAAAAGTTTTAAAAGTCATCTGTAGTTTCTACGAAAGCAGGGAAAAGTGTGCGTGTGGTGTCAGCCGTATACTGAGGCCAACGAATGAAAAATACATTTGTTTACCATAAAGGAGTGAAATCCACAGAAGAAGAAAATAAAACAAGTGAAAAAACACCAAAACTGTGACCCATTACTCTCAGGAAATCGATTTTGAATTGTCCACTGCGATGTTTTACTGACTCCAGGGTGTTTGAGTGCACAACAATTCAGCTGAATGTGTCAGAGTGGTTTTCCAATGTCCTGCTTTTCCAAGTAAGTGCTGTATTTTCTATTTGAAGGAATAAACCCATCAGAAGGTTGGGAACTTTGAGAACGGTATTGTTGCAGTTATGGCCGGAAAGTCCTGCTCATCAAGCACTATGAACACTTTAGACTTCGACTGAATTTGCTGTTTCTTTGTTTGTTTTGTAGAGTTTGAAACTTGAAGTCAAAGGAAACCTTGGTTTGTTTGCATCGGCTTTAGAAGCACTTGAATGCACATTTAGTGACTTTAATGCATTTTTGTTGTCAATCTAAGCCATGAGACAGGAAGAAAATGCAGTTTTCAAGAGATTGGATCGATATGCACTTTAACTGTTTCGCCAAATACCATAAATCTTAGTGTATAAGATGCCCTTATCTAAAAAATAAGTTGCATCTTTTACACTGGTAAAAGATATTATCCTGTTTCAAAGTATTTTACCCTGAAGTAAGTTACCGTCAGATACTTCACAAAGCGGATGAAGCTAACATAGGGTGACCATACGTCCTCCTTTACCCGGACATGTCCTCTTTTTAGGGGGCTGTCCAGAGTTGTACTGCTTTGTCAGGGGACGTTTATAAAACCCTAAAATGTCCACGGTTTTCTACGGAAGTTTCGAATTTGTGTCGCATGGACTTACTAAGTTAGAAGCACGTAAAAGACACTTGACACCACCCGCAAAACTCTCAAAATTAACTTAATGCGACTCTGTGACTCCGCCCCTGCGTAGTCGCGTCCCCTTTTTGGGGATTCAGACTAAGGTCACCCGAGATAATAGTTAAATTTCCAATGCTTTTCTCCCTCCTTCAGTCATAAGCATGCATTCAAAGAAAACAGTCGTATATATCACTGAGTAAATAAGCTTCTGGAGAGCTGCTTTGATTGGAAAGACCTCAGTTTAAGACATCGATTGGCTAGCGAATGGGTGTGGCACAAGATCCCTTTGTGGCCTTTTTCGTAGCTATTCTGGATGCAGTGGAAATCGGGGTTAACAGAGAAGGTGCAAGGCTACTTGTTAGACGCACTATAGCATATATTTTTCTATTGTTATGATAGCTGCTGTTATGTTACTTATAGCCTGTACTTAAAACCCTCAAAAGGGTTTTTATAGATGCATTAAACTTTGCTGTGATTTGGTATAGACATTATTCTATGTATTTATGTATATAAGAACAGATCTGCACAATAGGTCTTCTTTACACCAGCTGAACAATGAGCTGTAGTGATACTTCTACACTTAAACCTCATATAGAGGACAGTGAACATATTAGGCACTGAACAAGATTGGTGGAGAGAAGGAAACAGCAGACAGGGAGGGAGGGGAGAGGAGACACAGAGCGCCCTGTAAAGAGGGACTGCCAACACCAGCGCTCTTGTTTTATTGTAGTATCTGAGCTTTTCTTCTTAGATTTCCCTCCAGCTTGTAAAGAGGGAACAACTCTAAACTGTATGTCTTGGAGGTACATAAAAGTGGCTGAAGTTGTTGAGTTTTTGTGGCGCCTGCAAAGTTTCAGGCTAGAGGTTTTGGACAACCGTCTGAGTCTGTTTCATGAATCCAGAGAAAAGAGGAGTAAATGAAATCACTTGTTTCCTGGTTTGACCCGTTTCAGACACAGTGCTTACGTAGAGACAACTCTGTTACATTGTCATATATTATAGATTTGGATACCGGGACAGTTTGGCAGCATTCAAAAGTTAGCATTTCACATCTGAGAGACTTTGTTGCATAATTAAACTAGCAATCTGTGCCATTGCTGCGTAGACTTACTTTATCCGCAATAGGCAGCATGGGTTCTCTCTCTGATTCAGAGTCGGAGATTGGCTCCTTTCCACGGCACATAGATTGAATCTGCTGTGGCTCTCTGTTGGGCTGTGCAGCACTTCTGTACATCTCCATTTGTACGCTGCAGACGAACTCTGAAGACTGACTGTCTGGAATACAAGAGCAGGAGGCCAGAGTACACAGTCAGGTGTTTTCTCAAGTGATGCCTCGAAACCCTGTGCAACATTTGGCAACCAAAAGAGTGTGTTATTCGAAAAGCTCTCATTAAGATACATAGATCTTTTTGAGTAGATGCTGCTGCTGTAATGGTGGATTATTGACTTCTGTTGAGGTGTTGGACTGGTCTATATTGGATTCATTTGGGCCGATGGCATTGAGGCCCGGAGATGTTGCTTTGACCCCAGGCTAATTAAGTAGACCTGCTATACAGTGTAGTACATACTGAATACTGATGCTGTGTTCCAGTTACCTCAGAAGTCGGATGATGAAGCTGGGATTGTCACACCTAAGTTGACGGAATTCCAGTAAACAAGTCATAAAACCAAGATGGACGCCTACTGTTAGCCATTATTAGCTGTTGTTGACGATTGTCCACTGTCGTTAGGCGTTGTCAGCTGTTGTTTGTTGTTGTTAGCGATACCAGTTGTAAACAGTACATAACCATAGACTGTATATAGAATGGATGGCGTCTGTCTTCTTGCTGGGTGAAGCCACTGCGAGAACAGCACCCTCTGGTGACGGGCTGCAGTAGAGGTCATAAATCCCGCCTCCGCTAGCCATCTTTATGGAGCTGCTGACAAACATTAGAAATGTATACAAAGATTGCGTAGCTCACCCGGGGGATATGCTGTTTGAGCCGAGCATCATCACAGCGACTCTCCTGCTGAATGCATCCAATGCTACTGTGCAATGTTGGTTTCAAGAAATGAAGAAAAATCACGGAAATACAGAACGCTTTTCGGCTTCAAATCCTTGGAGTTGGAAATCTGACTTCAGGGGGGCATTTCAGATGAATTTCTGACTCAGAGCTTAAAAATCCCGATTTCTGAGTACAACAGTGCACCATAAGCTATTACCAAGCATGTACAATGACATTTTAAGGCAAAGGCTACAGAAATGGTTATGCAAAACTCAAAGAGATTTGTCAGATTAAGTTTGGATCATGTTCCAGATGGGGCTCATTTGGGACTGGACCCAGACCACCTACTCTAAAGGGTCGTCATAAGGTTGTTTTGGTCTGTAGGCCAACACCTTTACTTTTCAGCACAGAGAACAGGTGAGACATCACTGCCTGGCTGTAAAAGTCAAAGATATCTTTCCAAGTGTGGGATTGTGTTTCTCTTTTCACTCATAGTGTAATCATCAGACCAGCGTCCTCTCGATCAAGCGTAGACAGAAAACATAAGATCTAAACCGAACCATTTTTCCTCCTCAGCCTCTTTCCTCCTACTTTCATTTTCGCTTCTCTCTCCGACCATTAAGCTCTTTCTCCTGTTGATTACTAAAAGCCTGTGTAGGTGTGATGACTTCAAACCCAACAGCGCCGTCCCTTCATGTAATTTCTCTCACTTCCCCTCCTTTTCTTTTCTCCTTCGCCGCTGCTGCTGCGTTATGACTCTTTAACTCTGCCTTCCTCCTCCTCCTCCTCCTCCGGTCAGCTCTGACAGCTCATGTAGGTGTTATTGTTTCGAATGTTTTCTACCTGTTTTCTTGAGTCTCTCTTTTACACCTTCCTCTCTCTTTTCCTCACATTCTTCTCCTTCTTCTTCTCTACGGCTCCGCTGTGACCGCTCCTCCTCTTCCTCCTCCTGTTGATAAGTGGCAGTTTGCAGAGGTGTGGGATGTCTGCAGCTGCTACTTCGGCCCCCTCCATCAGGTCCAGACAGCAGACTCCCGGGGTGGTAATGACCGCCGAGCAGATGATGATAATAGCAGCCAGACAAAAAGCACATCTCATAGATCATCCTCTCCTCTTCATCATTTTCTTCCCTTTATTTTTACTTCTAACTTGAGGAGCAAACACCACTTCTCTCGGCTGGATTTCCTCCAGTAAAATAAGAAGTATTTTGGTTTCATGAGACAGAACAGAGGAGTGAGGTTTGTTTTTTCAACAGCAGCTGATAAAGCACCTGCGACTTTGTTCCTACTCTTTCAAACTTTCTTGCTTTTTCCTCCGCCTTACACCCGTGATGCATACAAACTGGAAAGAAGAAAAAGGCAGTATATCATTAACAACACCCACCAAACTCCACTCTGCCGAGGAGAGATTTAATTGGAGGTCTCTCCACCTACAACCACAAGCGCCCCCGGGCCTCTCGTTGGCCCTGATCCTGTTGCGTAATGTTTTTTCTCCACGTCGTGCCTGGCTGAAAATCAATTAGCAAGTGCTGCAATCGCGGAGTGCAGGAGGACTCCTGGATGTCTTCCAAACCACTTAATTTGTTCCTGAGCGGACAAGAATTATGCTCTGCTTGTAGTCCAGTGTGATAGATTTTTCTCTCTTTGTTTCATGGTTTGAATCGACACAAGTTTCAGGGAACGCCACAAATGTTTTCCTGACCCACCCACTCCTGTTGAGCTGATCGGTTTAGCCTTCGCACACGGCGGCCATTTCTGGTCAGGATGGGGAGTTCAAATACTGTTACCAGAAATTGAAGTTTTCTGACAGTCTGAACAGTTAACGTCGGGAAATCTGGTCTACTGCAGAGCTACAGTAGATCATTAGCAATTCACCTCTGAGTCGTGGGCGGAGACAGCGCTGCTCTGCACACTCCTCTTCACCTTAGCTTGTAGCCTAACATAAGGTGACCAGATTTCTATAATGAAATCGGGGGACATCCAGGAACATTCAGTGGGTGGGGGCTGCTAAGCAAAATGTGACTTGTGCTTCCTACCTACTCGGCTACCATAATAACTGTTGTTCTAATCTACACGCAACTTTTTTGTTCTCGTTCATGAAACACTTGTGTAGTGTAGTAGAAGCTATTCAGCTCTCGGACACTAATGTCTTTGGGGACATGACGAAAGCTAATATCATGAGTAGCTTTTTTATGAGTTTTGCAATCCACTAACTGCACTAAATCCACTTAAATGCAGAAATACTCAGAAATGCAATTTTGCGCTTACTTGTGCTAGTGCTGGGCGATATGTCCTCAAATCAATATCACGATATATTGAGCAGTTCACCTCGATAGCGATAAATGGACGATAACCACTCCACAAGCTGCTCACCCCCTCACACGTAAACTTTGTCTACTCCAGCTGCCGCTCCAACCGCTCCAACTTTTGAACCGTCCTCCATCTCCTCACCTGTCTTTCCCTCTTTGTTACGGACTGGATGGGGTGGAGTCACGTCTCTGACGTAGGACAGCGTCTTAAAGGGACGTGTGACCATAGCCTACCTACACACAGCCAAAACTAACTTTCATTTATTTATTTTTTTGGCACCAAATATACCGATATTGGCAAAATAATGTCTGTTTTGTCGTAGATTTCGGTAACGGCAAATTTTAGGTTTATCGCCCAGCCCTAATATGTCCTGTAGCATCAGAAAATTGCCATATGAACATGTAGACAACAGGAAAAACATGATTTTCATCGGAGTGGGTCTTTAAATACAGACAGAAGCTCACACCAGTATTCAGTCACTTGTTCGATGCTACCTCTGGCTAGTCGAAGCTGGAAGCCTTAATCACCATTCAGTTGTTTCGTGCAAATTCATTCACTTAGATTATGTTTGCATTGGACAAATAACTATTTAACACACTCAAGCCAACAGTATGTTAACTTTAACCAAATAAATATGCCGAATTTGAGTCTGTTTGGTTGTTCGTAGTCAGAGAAGAAGAAGAAATAAGTGAAAATAACTCACTGGCGTGTGAAGTATGATGTTTTGATCCTTTATGGGGGATTTCTCTCTCGGTTTTATGATCATTTGTCTGTTTAATCGTCTCGTTAAACTGGAACACAGTAGAAGGAAATTTTCAGAGCGTTTCGGCTTCACGCCCTGACGTGACATCCGAGAAATGGCCCGTGTGCGGTTGCACTGAATGGTTATTTCCCCCATCCTGCAGTTCTCACTCCACACTCCCTCTAATGCCTCTCTTGTCTATCATCTCTCCTCTACAATCTGCTCCTCCTTTTCTTGTTCCCTCCACCCCGGAGAACAGACGAGGGACTGTGAGGGAGAGGGCGTTTGAGGGAAGAGGCAGCTGAATCTTCACTCGCTCCGATGTCTCCTCAGTTACCGTGGAGTGAAGGACAGACAGGAGATAAATCAAATCACCCGGAGGATTAATATGGCGTCGTCTCGATGAGAGCAACTGACAAGGACGTTTGTATTTCTTCAAATTTACACAAGACAAACTTCTACTGGGACATGTTTCCCTTACTCTAATGGGAATATGACAAATGAGTGTGTGTTGTATGCAAATGAGGGATAAAATAAGCAAAGTGGAGCAGGGTGTAATGCAGTGAGTATGATAACACTTAGCAGAACAGAAAGACAAACAGGCTCGCACACAGAGTGTCACTGATGAGTTGAATGACCTCCCTGCCATCGGGGATGCTTATCCTGGAAGTGCCACTTTTATGAGCGCGGGGATGCTGCTGTTAATAAAGGCGAGTGCCAGCATCTCATTAGAGTCTGAGTCAGTGTGCCAGCTCTGCAGAGCGAGGGCAGCCGTGCACAGAGCCAACAGGCTCATCAAAACCGCAGGAGGACTCAGACCCGACACAGAGAGCTAACACGGCAATAATGTCCACGCCGAGGATGGAGAGCAGCTGCTTAGCCTCAGCAGCTGTTCCTTGATTCAATCTCCTCTGCGACAACATTTGTACCCGATGACAGGTTTAGTGATTTTCGCATGCAATTACAAAGTTTTGGTTTTGAATATTTTTTCCCCTGAAGACGTTTTGTTTCTAGTAAAATTCCCAACTAATCTTACAAATGGGGGACCAGTGTGGACAGATTTTAGGAGATAAACTGGATCTCTTTGGAGCTGAATCATCTCTCTAAGGTTTACTACAGCCAGCTCACTAGCAGTCGGCTACTTCTTCTTTGTTGTCCTTCATTTGTCACTGATGCTCAGTCTGTTTTCTTCAATTTGGTAGAAGTCTCTTTGACTCATCCCTTGCTGATTTCTGTGTTGTGTTCCCTCCTCTTGTCCTCTTTTCTCTGCTGATGACTTGTCAACAATACACCAATGATTTAAAGTTTTGTGCTCTTCAATAATATTAAAGGGATATTCCGGAGTAAAATTAAGTTAGGGTCAAACACCATAACACTGAGTTAGACACCCCGTCAAGAGATGAAAGTTGCTGACCACTTGCTTCTATAGTTATACCAACTTCAGTAACGACCACAGATAGCAATACAGAGAGCCACACGCTCAACCAAAAAGCCACTCTCTCAACATATTGTTAAAGAGACATGGCCTGACACCGAGACATTACGTGAGGAAAGAGCTACCTTTGGGAAACACTGGACATAAAAATCAAAAATGGAAAAAAGAAAGACTAAAATCAAACATAAAGATGCAAGACGTCTGAACAAACTGGTGAAAAAGGCTGGCTCTGTGGTTGGACTCAAGTTGGACTCAGTGGAGGATGTGGTGGAGAGATCTACACTGAGGAAGGTGGAGACTATTCTCAAGAACATGGATCACCCACTTCACAACACCTTGATGGACCAACAGGCCAATGGTGGTGGACGGCTCCTCTCTCTTCGCTGCAGGACAGAAAGATTCAGAAGATGTTTTGTACCAGCAACCATCAGGCTTTATAACTCTTGTGTAAACAGAAGTTAACTTTTTTGGAGACATATTATGTGAGACGACAGACAATCGAATTTCCCTTCGGGGATTATGAAAGTTATTCTTATTCTAATAATATTAAACAAACAGATAAGTAAGAGCTCTTTACCATATAAAAAAAGTAAAAACCTCTATGATGGGAGTTAAGAAAAGGAGTAAAAAAAGAGATAATTAATAAAATGACATAAAATAAACATTAAGAACTTTGATTAAAATGAACATTTGCAATAAGAGAAATATAAAAAGAAAATTAGTGAAAAGCCTGGTTAAAAACTGTGAGTTTGAGCCTATGTTCTAACATACAGGCTCATAATTATGGTATAGCGGATCTAAAATTACATAAACTGTCAATTAGCCGATCGAAAATTTAATCCATCCGACATAAACTTTCTCTACTCGGCTCCATCATCGTATCATATCTGGACTGTGTTCCTGCTGTAGGTCTGTTCAGCCTGTGAGTGTGTTATAAAGCTATTCTGTGAGACAGTTAGAGGGAGTCTAACGATGTGGAAAGCCCCCGCTTGCCTAATGTTTGGATTAATTAGCGAGTCTCATCCCTTGACGTCCTCTAGGAGGAGGACACACTTTATCACTCCAGCCTGTGTCTGTTTACCAAAAGAGATCTGAGCTGACAAAACGTCCTCTCCTTCACTCCTTCTTTACCTCTTTTTTTTTTTTTTTTTCCTCCACCAGAGTAATTGAGCAATTAGACGTGATTGATTGATTTTGGGAAAGTGAGATGAGGAAAAATCGGCCCACGGACACAGAAGGGATCCATACAGTAGCTTTAAATTAGCGAGAGGAACGGCGGCCAGGCAGCAGACTGGGGAGGCTTAGACGGCAGATAAGGAAAATAAGACACTGTAAGTATGTGTGCGCGTGAACTCGCACATAAAACTGCCAATGAGAGGAGATGGATGTGCGGTTTGGAAAAGACAGAGCTGAGAGGATGAGGAGGGGAATCAGAAGTGTAATTAGTCTCCGAATGATAGTAAAATGTAGTCCAGCCCACGCCATCGTCTTCCAAGAGTACTGCGAATGCATTTCAGCGAGATACCGCAGTCACATGCCGCTAAATTCACATGATATCAGATGAAAAGACAACATACAGGAGTTCAGCGGGCCTTTTGAGGTCATAACTGATGGAAAACGGCGATAGGATTACATTTCTATTACTGTAGTTTTCATTTTTATTTCCATATCCAAACTGAATCACATCCACACATGTCAGATAGTGTGACGTTTCATTACCATAAACAGAAGCGATACGGAAAAAAGGAGCATATCCATTAAAGGTAATCTCCTCCTCCATATAATCCCATTATTTTCACTCGCTGCTATTTACAAGTGGGGTTAAAGGTCAAACGATAATAAGCGATCTCACTCATGACCTCATGCGACGCAAAGATATGCTGTTTTCTAAATGGTTGCCCTAAAAAAGAACAAAACAGCTAATGCTAAATGGGCTTTTAAATGTACACAAGCTAATCTTTAAGGATCTGTCTGAGCCCGATCCGCACATATGGCTCCTTCCCGGTCTTTCCCTTCCAATTATTGATATACGAGCGTATTAAAATATGACACCTGTGTCACAGATTAATCCCCTCACGCTGCGGTTCAACCCGTCGTTTAACTGGCGCTGGTTTTATCCGCCGCTGGTGGCAGCTGTGTGTCAGAGATTACCCCAAAGTCCTCTGCCAACCCAGGCAGAGTTACATCTTTACATTAACGGTGTTTCCACGGCCTTAGCTTCACACATGAAGACAACACTGACACTGTTATTAAATCTTTCCTAATTCATAAAGGCTTTGGTCTTTAAGATTATTTGTATTTTTATTACATAGTTTGGGTTTTAGTGATTAACAGGTTCAAAAGTTTTTTAATTGCTTTGTCTGATTGCTTTAGCAGCAGCTGTAATGACTGTGACTCACTCCCAAATGGTTCATACTCCAAAGTCAAACCGTTTTTAAAGGAAACTTTCACTTTTTTATCAAGTTTGGCGCCCCCTGTGGACAAAGCGGTGTTTGTTTATCTCATCCTCTACATGTTAAATAGCATTTTTGACATGAAATAACCCATCCTGTTGACTTTTAACAGTCTTATGTATCATTTAAAGTTGGGTTAGGCAGGATCTGAAGAAGTGCCAGTTTTTGGGAGAAGTCTTGAATGTAAACACTACCCCTCCCAACCAGTACTTTCTGGTTGGTTTCTACTGTCCAATATTGTAGCACGCTAACTTTGTTTAAGCTCCTGAACGACACGAGGGAGCAGCATCCACCTCACAACCAATCAGGATGGGGAGGTGGGGAATGGCTTTGTTTACAGTCAGAAAGAGCGGGACGCTCAAAACATTTAAAATGTTGACTACACAGACATAACAGAACACAGCAATATCGTTATATTTCCAAATGTCATCAATAACTAAGAACTATTGACTGATATTAAATTCTTTTCTGTATATACACCATAAAAAATATGCTTCTTTAACAGAGTCCTGCCTACCCCACCTTTAAGGCACTGAAAATTACAATTTACAAATCACCAATCTTATTGCTAATGGTGTTTTTCGCTTTTTTGTTTCACAAATAAGCATCAATATACATTTAAGACCATTTAATTAATGTCAAAAAACTCCCTACTGGAGCTTTAAGTTTAAGTCTGGGCCATTTTTTGCCTCTGTCGGATTGGACAGCCAAAGAGGGACATGGAATGTTTATACTATAGCAGTTTAATGCAGTTAAACCATTAAAAACTAGAAGCCTTCACCACAAATCAAGTGTTAGTAATCTACTTATTAAAGCATAAATGTAGAAATTCCCAAACCTTGTGGATATTTCTCCTTAATTTAGTCATTAAGACCCTCAAATGTGGGGGAAAAAAATCGGGTAAAAACTTCTGGAATTTTCCCCCAACATCAGACAGGACCACAAGTGGAATTGCAGTTTTATAATAACATGCACTTATACTCATGGAAACACACAAGCCCTTTTACAGCAACCAATTAGATGTAATATAGCGTGATTCCTCCCAGCCAGCAGAAAGAGCAGGTTGGAATTCCCACTGCTGACGAAGATGTTTTGTAACGATCAGACTTTGAACATGCAGCAACACTTCATCTGCTCTCAGAGCGGTGATAAAAGTGTAATAAAAAGCAATGGGCAGTTGGCTTAAAGCATGTGTCAACAGCTTTGCTACGCTTGAATTAAACATGAGAAAAGTGGCTGACTTATTCATGAGCTGGATGAAATCAGCGAGCGTTCGAGGCTCAGCGGCATGAGGATGGGCCGAGTGTTTAGCATGCATGCTAAGTCTTTGGAGCGTTATCGATATCGGACGTGGTCAGCTTAAACACAGATGCACGAATACCAGGTTAAAGGAGGAAAAGCAGGTCTGAATAGCTCAGTGCTCCCAAGGCAACCGCTGTAGAGCATAGCTTCCTTTTATAAGTTATGTTCGACGAATCAGACACATGGCTGACCTGATCTTTAAAGGCACGGTTGACGATCTGAACAGCAGTTGAAAAAAACTGAGCCATTGAAGCACACCCTTGTTTTTTTTTGCGTCCTTCTCCATCACAGCTCCTGTCGCTAACATAGTAAGCTAAAAGTAGCGTAGTAGCTGCTACACTACTTTTAAAAGTATTTTATTCCTTTTGGCTGCGAAACATCATCGTCTGTTTGGTTGGGGTTAGGGTTAGGAGATTCAGAAGTGTGATAATGTTCTGTTCGATGTACAGAGCCGACAGCCCGCGTTTGGCTTGAGCATAAGACGATGTTTCACAGCCAATGAAAGGAGAGGAGGCAGGATCTTTCTCTACCATCCTAGGAAAAAAAATACCGCATCCAGGATGGATGGCTCCCATTGGTCAATGTTTTTGCAGCCCTGCACCTGCTAGGGTGAACAGATTCTTTTTTTTCTTCACTTTGCGGAGATCGCACTATAGGACCATGATCACCATATAAATGAGGTTTATAATAATTACCAATCTCTCCAATCAACGACGCCTTTAAGTTAAGCCATGGCCAAAACAACACTGACCATATTGTAGATTTCCCTTCCAGAGTAACAACACCTGTTGCAAATGCTGCAAATGTCAATAATCGGCTTTTTCACACTCTCATTTAGTCGTAACTGTTTCCTAAATTCTTGTTTCTTCCATTTAAATGTGATCCAAACATTTGGCGAAGAATCCCCCGACACCTAATGATGGGATTGTGTCCGGGACTTTCTGCAAATCCAGCTGCAATCGGAGAGCGCACATCCTAATTAAAAGAGAGTGAACGGCTCTAGCGATGCCCATTCATGAAGAAATTTGCCCTCACTTGAACCTTCACTTTTTCCGCTCTTGAACATCCAGATATGGTCTTTAATGCAGTCATGGTGCCATCATGTTTACTTACATCCTGAGATTTTACACGTAACCTTTTTTCTGACCTCTTTCGGTTTTCCTCTCGAGCCTAAAAAAGCTGCCAGCAGACACTTTGTTTATGGAAAAGCTCTTCCAGCGGTGGGAACCACTTCAGGTCAGGAAATGTTGCAAAGCCGAACAGCTGGTGAGAGAGAAAAAAAAAATCAGTTTATGCACCGGGAAAAAAAAGCAATCTAATAAGTAGACAAATGTTGTCATGATAGCACAAGTTAATAAAAGCAACACCTTCTGTTTCCACTCCCGAGGAAAACACAGCCCATGGGGGAAACAAATCACCGCGTTCTCATCACATCTGCAGCCGGAGAGTAGAAACCGATGCTCCGGCTGTAATTAGAAACACTCGACATGAGGGAATAAAAACTCAAAGTGTCTGACTGGCATAACTCACACTTAGCAGCAGAGGTCAAAAAACATCCTGACGAAATATGAACGACTGTCTGAGTTTTTCCCCGTCGTTCCCAGAGGGGCTGTTTACAGGCCGGGGAAAGGTCAAAGGGCATCATTTCCCACACAGCATGCTGGTGGTGTGTTACAGGAAGGAGAACATATACTGAGTGCATTTATGATCTGGATTTGGGAAATCCAACAATTTAAAGTAAGATTAGGACAAAAATGTGGAGTCATCTTTGATCAGGACTTGTGTTTTCAGCCCAAAGTGAGAAGTTTTTATTCAATTCAATGTTTTTATTTCCTCCTGTGTCAGATGCTGGTGGTGCTACGAAAGAGGATTAGAGCCACAAGAAGAGAAAAAATTAATCACAGGAGGGAGAGATTTTTCATTTCCATTTTGAGATTAAAGTCCAAATTTAAAAAGTTGTAATTTCAACTTTAATGAGCTTTTTAAATAAGTCAAAATTTAAAAAGCTGAAATTTTGACATTAATCATGTCGACTTTAATCCCGAAATAATTTTTTTTTATCTCAAAATTTTGACAACATTCACAACATTTTAACATTTTGTGATCTCAAAATTTATACTTCTATTTTGAGATCAATTTTTAATCTCAGCATTTTGACTTGATTGACATAATTTCGATTTTTTTTATTTCGAAAGTTCGACTTTAAAATCTCAAAATTGCAACTATAATCTCATAATTTAAATTTTTATCAATCTCGAAATTTCAGCATTATTCACAACATTTCAACATTTGGTAATCTCAAAATTTAGACATTAATCTCGAGATTTCAATTTTTTTATTTAAAAATTTTAACATTATTCACAACATTCTGTAATCTTAAAATTTTGATTTTAATCTCGAAATTTCAAATTTTAATCTTGACATTTCAACTTTATTGACATAATTTCGATTTTTTAAATCTTGAAAATTCAATTATTTATCGCAATTTTTCCATTTTATTGACATAATTTCAATGTATTAATTTTGAAATTTTGACTTTAATCTGGAAATTCCGACTTTAATCTACTTCCTGTAATTATTTTTTTTCTCTTCATGCTGCCCTAATCCTCTTTCGTATCCTGCACACTTTACACCTGTCACAAACAAAAGTCAATCCAAGAAATCCCAAAGTGCTGCAGTTCAGTTTTTTAAGGTACAGTGTGAAGAAATGGTCACATCTATAGATGTATAGTAGATAGATTCAAAACTGAAATGGTTACCATACTCAACTCTCCCTCGAATAAAGTGACAGTAGTTTTAATATTCATTAACTTGCTATCGTTTGCCGCCAGTCTGAGATCCTCTCGTAGAGTTTTATGTTAATTTATTAATGCAAGAGTTTCCAGAAGACGCACAGGTGTTATAACATCAGCAACAAGAGTATCTGACAATCAAAAGTGTCTGTACTCTGTTAAAAGTTATCCAGCTGCAGACAATGTGCCAGGAGAGAAATAAAACACACACTAACACACACACTGAAAGGATAACTTCTCAACCTGGCTATCACATCTAACACACAGCTGTTTTTCATTCGAGGGTCACAACATGTTTTTCATTTCAGCTCAAATCAAATTAGTCCTACAGTATTTAGAAGCTCTGCAAAGTGTGTGCACACCTGAATCTGGAAAACGGACAGCATCCCTTTTGAACACATACATTTGCTCTTCTCAGGACTTAATTCTATTTGCATATGCACCTGAATGTTAATGCATTTGCAATAGATGATAAAGCAAATCTGTGCACGCTGTGTTGTGTTTTTCCTGTGACAATAAATTTGGGGAAAAGCAGAGAAAAAGTACCCTCTACCCATCTGGAATTGTGCACATCCTTTCCCCCGTCCTTACTTAATTCACAGCTTCCAGGCAGACACTATTTCTTCGCCTTGTTTTTTGCAGGAATGCTGGCGGTAAAACTCGTATTCGCAGCACTGGAGACCGTCACAACAGCTCTGAAGTCCTATAAAGCATCCTGAGATTCCAGAGTACAGAATGTCCCTCTATTCCTGTTGTTCTCCTCCTCCTGCACGAGCAACAATAATGACAATCCCACCTGGCAACAAACGTCCTAAAGGAAACAGAATGAAGTCAGAAAGAACAGAATAAATCAGTTTGATTCCTCGTGCCAAGACTAATACTGCATGCATATAAACATATGACACAGATTCATATGGATTTCTCCTGACTTTGGGATAAATGTCTCGGACCAGCCATGTGTGGGAGATTTGAGAAAAACAAGCTGACAGAGTGTCTGTTTTCTCTCAAAATCTGCAGGCATTTGACTGACAACCCGACACATGTAGGTGCTACAAACCGTCAGTGTTTTCACTCCTTCACAGAAAAAAAAAACTGTTTAATATTCTTAAGTAGACGGGTAAATATTTGGCATAAGGAAGCACTTGATTCAGGCTGGACGATTCAAGTCAGACACCGGATGGGAAGGGGACATGAAAGAGGCCCTTCATGGATCCAACCAGCCCCCCCCTCGGCTCAAGTTTCAAACAAGCACATGCACAAACACACATGCACACACACTCTTCTGGTGTTTGTGCAAATATACACACAAACATGCACATTTGCACTTAACCCAGTCCACTAGAAAACCACGTGTAAAATGTTTAGTGTGGCGACATGGACCTCGTAATGTCGGGCAATTGGGAGTTTATTGTCAAAACTGAAGAATTCAGTCCAGTGAAAGCTTTAATGATCTGTAAATGAGCTGAAATAAACCCAGAGGTCTTTTGAAAGACAAAGACCTGCAGGGAGATGGACAACTGCTCAGATTCTCTGTCACCAGCAAACACACACAAAGAAGCCAAAACTGAATTTTACTTTTTTTGTATTATGTCAAATGCTACGTTCGTGTTACTTCGGAAGTCGGACTTACCAGTGTTTCAGTTGCCAAGTCAGAAAAAAGCTAAATCAGAGGCGGAAACAGGACGGCTACATCTATGAAAGTTATTTTAGCGATTGCCTTGTCCTTGCTTAAATTCCGAAACGCCAATCGCTAAAATTTCTTTCGTACATGTAGCCATCTTGTTTTTGCCTCCGATTTCGCTGGTAACTCAGACTTCTGACTTCCGAGGTAGCTTGAATGCAGCATTATTCTGTTGTAAAAACTGACATTTTAACATCGGCTACAATGGGGGTTCCTGAGCATTTTGGGAGCAGCCTCAAGTGGACACTAGAGGAACTGCAGTTTTATGTCCTTTGCAGTATGTCCTCTTTTTTTTTAACGAAGGAAGTTTTTACTTGGTACCTTATAATTCTCTCCAACTAGAAGGAAAATTTTGACATTTTTTAAAAACTTGCATTTCCAGAAGTTATTTACTTTAAAGGTACAGCGTGTAGAAATGCTAACAGTTAGCTAGGGTTCTGATTTTTGATCGTAATGCTCCTTTACTCAGTGTTCCTCTTGACAAGGCAACAGTGGCTTTCAAGGACAAGAGTTGTTGGTAATGCACGACAGGTGTGATCTTCCATTTGTCAAGTTTTCACCAACATAATTGACCATCCATACAAATTCATTCATGTGTTACGACAACTACTGCATTTGACAAAGCCTCTCTTAAAGAAACACGATTTTAGCGCCCCCTGTGGTCAAGGTAGTCTTTGCTCATTGCTTACGCTTCTGATATTGACAGAGCTTTTCCTTTTACATGCTTCATGCATTAAAAATTACAATATAAAAAGTTTCAATCTTCTCCCCGCTGGTCTTTTCCGCATTTGAAAATCACAGAAAGGCATCATTGTAAATGTCTATCTATTCCATAAATGTCAAAAAAATAGTTTAATAGCTTTAATAGTACACACCGGACCTTTAACTGGGCTCATATGAAGAAATACAGTCCTTTGTGTACAATTTTCTCTCCAAGAAAGCCATTTTTTAGAGTATAGCATATGGTTTTGTGCTCTTTTTCCATGTGTGTTGCATAGTTTTATCTGCTTTATGTATCTACACTCAAGTATCAGATCTTGTTAGTACTGTGAACAAGACTCTTATAAGTAGAAATAAGGCTTAAAATTCCCCTTTAATCAAAGCTTAATTAGAGATTTAGAAATAGAGGTTCTAATTTTGCAGAAAAAAAGGTGAAAATATCTGTTATTTGGAAACGGCAGCCCAACCTGTTTTGTTGTTAAGGTTGGAGGACAAATTTCAGGACAAATTCCTCATCAGAATCATAACAATGTGAAGACAGCATCTATCCAGAACCATCTGTCAAAAGAGATGGCCAGAAATCCCATCGCCAAAACTCTAATCTGCTCAGTTACCGAGTCTCTGAGCTGTCACCAACCCCATCGGTCTAAAGTTGGTCGACGCCTGAGCTGTATTTTTATGGGTATTGCTGGACTTAGTGTGGAGGACAGCTGAACGGAGATGGCGGTGGAGGCACTCTGGTAGACCGGAGGAGATAAGCAAACGGCTTATGTGAGTTTGTTTACTGGAAATCACCTCCCATGGGGGATGTTGGTGTCAGCCATTAAGATTCAGGCGCATGGAACGATGAGCTTATAGCCTCACAGAGCCGCAGAGCCACAAACCCATCAGTGGGTTTTACCAATTCAGTCACTTTCAACTCATAGTTCTTACCAAGTAATACCAGAATACTCTAATCTGCTGTATATTTGAAAATGTAAACTTACTGTTTCCATATGTTTTTTTGCATTTGCTCATAAGTTTCACTTGACATCACAAGCTAATTAGAAAATGGACTGCCATCTTTTTTTACTGCCCACCCAAGGCAGTTGTAAAGAGGCCAGGTATTAATGTTACTCCACTGTCTTTACCGTGGTGTGCAGGCGGGGATACTGCGGCGTTTATTACAGCAGCAGAAGAAAAATTAGAGAAAGAAACCGCCGACATTAAAGCTGATTCAACCACCTGAGATAATTCCAGCTTTTGCCGACGGTTTTGGTTGAAAGGAAATTATTGATCATAGTTCACACGAATGCGGCACGAGGAAAAGCAGATACGGAGCACCGGTGCGGACGAGGCCAGGGTTCAGTTCGAATGAGGAAAGCAAAAAATGAATTATGCAATTCTCAAACACATCCACTTTTTTTCCCCTCATTATGCCGAGCCAGCTGAGAGGTAATTAAATTCATGCACTGATAGGATTCCCTCGTTTTCTGCCGCTGTGCTTTTCTCATGTACTTTGTCATTCTGGCACTTTCTGAAAACAAGAGCATGGGGTTCAGAGTTGAAGTGAAACAGCTTCTTGGTCCTATTCTTACTTCTTAAGATACACTTTTTTATTCCTCTCGCTTGAAGTTGCAATCAAAAATGTCAGGAATAAATGTACATATTTGGTCCTAATATAAATAATATCATCATCCTGATAAATTGGATTGTGTCGAGTGTAATTGGGGGGTGTAATCTTACCACACCAGCTTGTCACAGCCCTGTATCTGTGTGTGGTTTTAGGGGGTTGGGGGGAAAGTGATGAGCAGACCACCTCCACTGTAAAGGCGGCCCAGGCTGTCCCGGTAATGTATGGAACAGCTTTGTCCCCGCAGATAAGAGCAGCATCCAGGAATGTTCCACATTTTTCCGCCTTACAGGACCCTCTAGACCCCAGCTGCCAAGACAAGTCGGGAGGGTCCTCCTCTCTGGCCTGGGGGGGGTGATCATACGGTGCGTTAGAGTCGCTGGTTTCCTCTGAGAGAAGAATCATCTCTTGAAGATAAGGGTGTTTCATTGCAGTGAGAGTGTGACAGGGATATAAAAGTTCAATCTACTGTGAGTTTAAGCCAATTTCGATGGGTCATGCACTTTTACATGCATTTTAACGGAGACGTTTATCCGTTTTTCCTGGACCACACACGGTTAAATATCTCAAGATATTTTAAGACGTCACTGGGCTTTTCTTTAAGAATTGGTTGCATTTTATTTTGTGATCCGATTAGATTCAAAGGAACGTAAACTGGGGTCACGGTGAAAGCAATAGTAGCATTACAGCATCGGAGTTTATGATTGGGTCAGTCAGAGATTATTTCCCACTCTGACTCATAAAAGCCAGACAGACTGGGGACAACTCTTCAGTATAGAAGGAGTTTTATTATATTGTCTACACATATTTATCATATATCTGAATTTATGCTTTCCCAATGGGCTCACAATGAATAAGAGTAATCCTGTTTTTACCATTTTCTGTAAGATTTATCCCTCTCTAGTCATTTGAGATATTCATAGGATAGTGTAATACTTTCATTTAGGTTCAAAACTTTGTAAACACTGTGAAGGTTTCTCAACTACCAACAGATCAGAAACTAATAAGATAATGGATTATCCAACATCTTAGAGGGGGTCACCAAACTGTATCTCAAGTCACAGCAAATGTCAAACCAATAGGTACAAACAATGACGTCCAATCAGCTAATTTAAAGATACAGTGTGTAGTTTTTATTGACATTAAGTAGATTTAAAATGTAACTTTAAATGTAACAGTGTGTTTACATTAGAGCTTTTTATGCCTGCAGGAGTGGGTCCACTTCTAAGAAGCCACCATGTCTCTACAGTTGCTTTGAATTGACAATCTAGACAAAGACGGCATTTGTTGTTGTGCATGAAAGAAAATTGTACTGATAGTTGTTCTCAGAGGCCAGTATCGCCTCGAAACTTCACAAGCATTTCAATTTAGTATGTGACTGCCTAAAACCACTAAAAAAAAAAATCCAATTTCTCGACAGTACCTTCAGAGGGGATTTTTTCAACGTTTTTTCTCTTTTTATTTTATCAACCAAATTCACTTTTAGACTAGCTTTGCATGACTTTCATCTCAAAAGACACTTTTTTCTCTAGGGTCCCTGAAAAGCTATATTTCTCCAAAAGCCTTAGATGCTTTATTTTGGCGAGCCTTTCCAGTGATGCAAAATTAGACACAGCTTGTTGAAAAGTTATCACACTACAGAAAACGTCTAGGACTAGCCATTAGCACTCACTCTGCTCCCCATTTAGCCATGTTGACATGCATTCGCTAATGTTACTTACAGCTTGATTGAAGGTCTTTAAGGGTTGAACAGCCTCAAGTGTAAGCAACATTTCAGATATAAATCCGGCTCGTTCTGGCCTTAGGATTGCAAACAAATCATCAGTGAAGTTGGGAGTAAAAACATCTTTATCTTTGGCAGGGAAGGAACACACGTTAGCATGTTTCTGAGACATAATGAAGTGCAGAGGAAAAAGCTGAGTGGTGTAACAGCATTTCCAGCTTCAGGGTGGGCATGTCTTTGACAGAGCTGCGGCCAAGTCCCAGCGTAACACGTTTCCTTCAAGTAATTAATCAATAGCAGTAATATCCGGACTCTTGGGTGGTGAATATTACCAATAGCCATGAATTTAGGCTGTTCACGAAACATAACAAACCTCAAATGAGATAACAAATCTGCCATATTCGTCTTTATGCCTCCTGATTTATAATCAAATTTGCAGTCTTGCGATTAGGGGACAAAAGAAGAGCATCTAAAACTGCAGCAGTAACTTTTCTTTGAAGAATTTTAATCAAGGATTTATTAGTGTTGTCGACCCGTGGCTCTTCGTTGTTTTTCCATCATTCCCTGACCTCAAACTCGAGGGACCTCAAGCTGCAAATCTGCATCCGATGGTGAAGGACTGCCTCAAACCCTGACATTATTTCAGCAGGGCAGGAAGAGACAGTCCATTCTGCAAATTGACTCCTTCAGGAGGCTGTGGTCTTGCAATCTCCTCACCTCCCCAGTGTTCTCCTCTGCTGGGAGATACGCACAAAGCAGGAAACCGATCCTGCGAAGACGGGCGTGGATTTATGACACGGAGGCAAGTGCGAGCGAGGAAGGCCTATTCCCATCTGGGCTGGGAGCCACCGCTGCACTTGGAGATTTATAGCGAGGATGACACAGCTGATTACTCTCGGTTACTGAAGAGAATTGGACATGGACCGGCCACAGGGCGGTTCAGAGTGTGTATTTGTGTTTATGATGTTGCAAATGGAAGCACAGTAACCCACTTTTGTTTGGCTTGCTCCTCATCAAACCTCCTCGACCTCTGTGGCCTGAGGTTCCCTCCGATGGACAGGACAGATAACGTGACCTGGGGGACAATCAGTGACGGAATAAAGGGACAGAGGGCTGAAAGACAATAACACACCCAGACTAATGGAAAAAGCATACAGAATGTTGGGCATGCCATCTCTGGATGTGAAGAAATGCAGAGACTTTGCAGTGACCCCATAAACCGCATGTGCTGTGGACATTTCCTTATTCCTCTTGACAAATTTGTGGGCTTGGCGTTATGCTGCGGCCAAATCCTGGACTTTGAGAGTTCAGCCAAACCAAATAATGGCTGCACAATGGCTGAGGAGTTTTTATGACCCCGCTGACCCCGTCTGGAGCGAGAGTCCGGATTACGGTCCTGGGCATACTCAAGAAGCGAACTCCCAAACGTCTGTCACCTTGTCCGATGTCTCACGGATGGCTCTCCGCCTTCTTGGCAGATGCGACCACCAAACCAAGATAATAAAGTCGTAAAGTCTCGCTCTTACCCGCTCAATAAATCAACGTGAGGCAAGTGAAAGCAGCAAGTGAGGAGCCAAGTAAAGCCAGATGTTTGTCTGTTTTCCTTGAACTAACATTAAACATGTGTAATGAGATTCGTCATTTGGTTAACAGCGGGTAACGGCGTCTTGTGCATTGTTAGGGAGCGGTTGAACTCAACCGAAGATTTGGGTTTGCACATCTACAGTTTTTCTTAGTTTCATCCTGGGGTGAAGAAGTCAACGCATGTCAGGAAAGACAAAGGACAGACCCTTACATTGGTCCACATCATCTTGGAATAAGTGCGGTTTTCTCACAAACCGCTTGTCCCTCCCAAAGGCCTAAAAGTAGGCTTAGGGCCTAAAGTCCATTCCATCCGTCTCATTCCTCTTAGCTGCTTGGATGGGACTTTGGGTGAAAGAAGTTTCCCTGTGTGTGATTGATGAGCCATGGCCAATTAGAGGCTTAGCCCTGGAGGCCCACAAAGACACCCGGGATCGCAGACATAAACACTGGCGGCCATAGGGTCTGAGGATACCTGTTGTCCAGGACTAGGAGCAGCAGCTGAGGAGGACAATGTTTCAGCTTTGGAGGTTTCGGATGCAACGCCAGCTGGACGTACCTTTAAAAAGAAGTCCTATAAGACTGTAAAAGTCTGTCTCACGTGGAAATTCCTGTCAGTATTCCAGTATGGTGCCATATTAGTGAGGGTAGGGTGATGGTGGGTGGCGGGTTCATCTGACACCCTGCGGTTGACGAGCAACAGGGCGCCAGGCGGGGGCTCATTAGACAAACTATGACAACAAGACATTGCCCTTGAAAATCAATTATAAACAGAGGAGCGTCCCTGCATCTGTTTCTGCTTGTAGCTATGCAGCACTGTCTGCCTCTTTTTGTTTTTTTTCACAAGGTTTGCCTCCACTGCCGTTCAGATGGACATCCCAGTGGGATTAGCGATGGCACTGAAGCCTCTGGGACAGCGCTTGTAAATCAGAGCAGATGAACTGGAGCGATGACAGGTCTGGGAGGCCTCTGTTATTTGACTGCGCCGTTTATTAGAGCTTCCAGGAGGGGGGTGGCTTCTCATTAAAGGCTCTGAGTGTGTCCCCCAGTGTGAGGCATGTAAAAAGTAGAGTAAAAAATGATGCGGCGGTTCTGCCAGGGCCATATGTGGGGCTTTTGCGTGGACTAACAGGGTCTTATTAATGTCCATTAATGACCCTTCAGCACTTTGCTTATACAACCTTGGGGCCCAGGCTACCTTCAATTGATTCAACATGTCACCTTTTCACCACTAAGTGCCAAAAAGCTGTTCTTTAAATAGAAATCTGGGTAAATTCCTGGGCTCTTGAAACTGCTAAAGGGACCTGTTTTCCACCTACCATCACAACCTGGCAGTCAACCAGGCGGCCAGAGATCCTCACACGGTGCTAGTTCATCAATCTTACAGACGTTTGCCTTACACTTAAGAATTGTTTGTCCCTGCTCTCCTTGATATAAAATAAACTATTTTTAGACTACCACGAATTATCATAAGTGGTCAGTTGTTATTTTATGAGAAAACATACAGACCTTCATTTACATGTCTAACATTTTCTTTACTTTTTCTTTTTTATTCACTTCTTTTTTAACCTAATCATTCCAAAGCCACCGCAAAGTTCGATTCACATAAACATAGTAGCTGTATAATATCAGGGACACCTGTAGAGTTACTCGCAGCTCAAAATCTCCTTACTTTCTTATACTGGCATCCATAAAACCATAATTTCAGCGCTAGTCCTGACCTCTGAAGCTAGCGCACTGAGCAATAGACGGCTACTAGACGTCAAGTTTTTTTTTATTTAGACCTAATTTCAACCATCTAGATTCTGTTTATTTTTATGCAAACTTTGGATAGGCATTTGAATAGGCATTTTTGGAATTTGGATGTTGCACTTTAACCCACTATTCGATAAGTATTTTTTTTAAAAAGTAACTGTGAGTTGCATAACTGATCTCCAAGTACTTAACCAAAATAATTATGATTATGATAATTATGATAGCCGTTGAGCAATATACAGTGTAGTATAGATATAGCTCTGATTTAGATTTAGTCTAAACTTGGACTAAATTTAGACGTCTAAAAAACTCTAATTTTTAGATCTGATTTTACATCAAATTTAGATATCTATTAGACCTCTTTTAGACCAAATGCTGCTCAATGGGAGCTCTTTATAAACTAACAGTAACTAGGACAGAGGCAGCATAGAAATACATAAATAGTTTACAGCGACTGTAGCTATTTAATGAATAATTTTCTCTTTCAGATCTATAATGGGATGCTTTTCTTTGACGTATCTGCATTTTTTCTCTCAGTTTTAAGCAGTTTCAAAGTTGTCCATTGTTCTTCTTCAAGTAATTTTTAACTATCACTACAAAGACACAAAATCCCAGACCTTTTCTCCTACAAGACACCCCCCCTACAAGCATTCACCCACTGACATCAGCTTGCTTTGACACGTAAAAAAATAACTATGCGTCATCACCCTCACACAATACAAGCCTTGACTCCTTTTGTGTCTTTGTCTCTCTCTGGAGAGGATTTCATGGCTGTTTCATTTTTCCAAGATGCAGTGAAAGCAGCGTGATAAAAGGCCCTCATACCGAGACCACCACCAGAGCTAAAACAACTGTAAAGAGCCTCTGAAGGACCCCTTTGGGTAGACCAGACCTCACAAACTCTTCCTATTGTTACCGAGCCATTCCACCCCTACTCTGTCCATCTGTTCCTCAGGTCCTGTCTTTAGAGGCACCTTATGGTCAGAGAGCATTAAAAGTATGTTGGGCTTTGTTTCTATTCACTTGTAGAGGCTTCATTCTTTTGTCTAGACGAGTGGACCTTCTTGACTTGAGGAAATTAAGATTAATGGTTTTCAATATGATGTTATCTCACCATGGACTTTATACAACAAATGTATTTTCCACTTAACACAATAAAAGCTTGTGTAGGTTTGAAATGGTTCACATTCAAAAGTACTTGAGATCCAAATGGGGATAAGTAATCTTATTTATGTTTCTGCCTTTGTATGCCAATGTGCTTATTTTGATACGGGTGATGTTATGTTATTGTATCATATTGTAGCATATCGTATCGTATTGTATCATGGACTGGTGGGTCCTGACCCAAAAGTGGGTCGCGGACATGTTCTGGATGGGTCACGTACAGCTGGTCAAAGGAGTGAATATTTAATGCCAACTGATGTTTGACATGTCTTTTCTCCTGAAAATTTGCTTATTTTGAGAGGCACATGTACACGTGCAGCCGCCTCGGCTTGGATTGGATGAATTTATTTCATCATTGTGGAAAAAGCATAAGACATAAAAATGCCTGCTTGAAAATCTATGGTTTTGAAATTCAAAGTCTGATTTTGCTGCAAAAAATTTCAGCTTTAGAAATTCAAATTCAAAATCAGATGGCACAGATTTACTTCCATAATCACCTTGCAACTTAGTGACCAGTTGAAAATATTTAGGGCCTGTGTCCACTGACAGTATTTTTCTTTCTGGAACCAACTTTGTCAAGAATAACTGTGGGGGTGTGGAGGAGAAACTAACCTGATTATTATGATTTAAGTTATATTTTCCCGGTCTGGAGTTGCAGCTAATGCAAAGGACAATTGTTTTTAGATTTTTTTTGTAACATGTCATTGAACAAAAACTAATATGAGATATTTAGAGCAATGGAAAGACAGACTAATTATCAAGAGACATGGAAGCACCAAAGTAAAACTTTCAGCTTTGTGGTCCTCTGAAACTGAGGCTGTGGATGCTGCCAAAGCAAAAACCGATGTTACTGGACACAACACCAGAACATCCAAACATAAGGTTTGTCAGCGTACCATGGCAGTTGTAACTTAAATCCAACAATTCTGAAATAGTCCAGACAAAATTGATGCTTTTTGAACTATGACTTTTAAAATTTCAAGCTTGGATTTTGCAGAATTTTCCATGTATACTGATTTTCAACTTAAACACCACAGAGAACGTGTGTTTTTGCTGAAACAAAAGCACAATACCTAAATAAAACAACAAATGATATAGCTTTTGTACAAAATTATATATCATAACTCATGCCTCCAGACTTTATTACAGACAGGAGGATATGGACAGCCTGTTCCTTGGATTTGATTCCCCTGAGTCTCTCCAGCTCTCACACTCACTGGCAGTGAATAAACTAGTCCTTGATGCAATAAACAAATATTATTCCATTCCAGTCCAGAGACAGGGAGGGAGGGGGGGGGGGCTGCGTACTCATGAATGAGCCTGTTTGTTAATGTGAGGCCCTGACAGTCTGTTAAGCATGTCAATCATCTCGTGGTCACATACAGATTGCTCTACAAAAGATTATGGTTTGACACAGCGCCCCGAGCAGCCATAAACTTGGCAGGTTTGACGCTCCTCTCAGAAACCGTATTCCTGCAGAAGCAAACACGCTACATTGAAATTGTATAACAGTACTTAAGAAATAAATAACACGGTGTAAAACCCGCGCAATAAACCCTATTTTTCAGCGCTCGAATAAAAACCAAACCCTAAGAGGTTGACCGGGTCAGTGTGGAATGAAATCTTGCAGAACAGCACATAATGGTTATCTCCGGTAATAAAGGTGCTGTTGTGCAGGATCTGCAATGGCCTTGTGTGTATTGTTGGCATTCATCAGCCGCTGCATCTTGATGGTGCATGGAGATTACACTGTGTAATCTTAGCGGGGAAGGAGGAGCCGGCAGTCGAGGGGAATGAATGAGATGAATCAGGAGAATTGGATGCTCCACTTGGACTGCAGTGGGATTTGAGTTCATGGAGAACACCTGTTATTCTGAAGGATGTTTTCATCATTATTTCAAACAAATAATTTAAGCTGTATGATGAACCTTACATGCACCGTGCATAGCTGCAAAATTAGATCATCTTAAATTAAATTAGCAAACGGCCAACAAGGAATTTTTCTTCTTTATTGAAAATGATCTAAGCAGCATAATAATCGTCCTCCTGGGTCAGTAAAATGTTATTGTTCAAGGAAATGAAACACTGCTACAAAACAGACAATCATGCTGTTTTATTATCTCTGTTTCAGTGAAGCGCGGCTGCAAAGTGAAAGCAGTGAAGAGAGTATCAATCAGAGGGTCTCCATCTTGTTGGCCGTGGCAGCCAGGGCCAACAGCATGATCATACACATAAATAACAAACCCAGCAGCTGGACCAGTCAAAGGACGAACAAGGGCAGGAGGCAAAAAGGCCAAACATTGAATTAGACAGCAATTTCGTATCAGATGAACCACGTCTACGACTTTGATTTATCAGTATTTGACCAAAGCCTTCCAGTATCCCTGTTTCTCATAGTGTTGTGTCGTTCATAAAAGCATATGTCAGTAATACCACTATTTTTGCATGAGCAGAGTGCATAAAATGCCAAAACAAAGTGCAATGTGCAGTTTGCATACCAGTAAAAGAAACCCTAGATCAAGCTTGATTCTTCATTTTCTGGCATTTGTTTGTTAAATTCATATTTAATTGTTAAAACTCAAACGCATGGTGTCCAGCTGAATAGACATTTTTGAAACTCCATGAAAAAAAATTCAAGAGATCATTTTTTAAATGCCTATAGAGAAATAAAAACACATAGAAAAAAAACTTATCAGAAGATCTCATAATTCATGCATGAAAGGGATAAAACACATACATTGCATCGCTTTTTGAATTTGAGCTATCAGAAAAGTACGGTAACTGTAACAGAATCCTTGTTGCGCAGCTTATCCACACTTTACGGTACATTCATGAACACAGCGCAGTTTGACGTTACGTCCCCCGGAAGTGTTTCTCTTTTACCTAACGAGGTCGAAATGGCGACGCGCTGCATGTGAAGGGGTCGGACGAGGTGAACCGGAGCCGGCTTTATGAAACGAGATCATGTACAAAACACCATGTAGCAGACTGTCAGGTAATGCGAAACCTTATATGCCTTTATATATATAACCTGTTTTTACATTTAAACGTCATCTTAATGTAAACGGCTGATAACTTCCGTGAAAGCTAAGCTGTTAGCTTTAGCATGTAGCTCTGCGAAGGTGTTTGTGTGTCGAGCTGTGACCTTAAAAAGGAGTCAGACACATCCCGTTTTACTGTAATAAGGTGTGATATTTGATATCCATAACTAATGGACTTTAACCGGGTTTATAACCTTAAAAAAAACGCATTAATGCCTTTAAACTGAAGCTCATAATGTCAATACAGACTGGAGATTGTGTCACTGTTTGCTCTCTGTTATTGTTTTTGTTTCTACTTTAATGTCTTTCACTGCTTCGAGCTGCTGCAGGTATTTTTAGTTTAGGAGCCACTTTGACTAAAATGAGATGTCACCCTGTTACTGTCCTCATATGACCCACAGAGGTTTTTAATAGCTGTAAAATCCCAGTTTAGAAATACAGAGAGGAGACCTCTCATCTGACTCAAGCTTGATCCAAAGGCTGACATGTTTATATGAATTTATATTAAACAGACACATTACTGAATATCTATATCTGGAAAATACAGGTATGAGTTACAGTAGAATCAGATGGTGTTTGTCTTGTCTTATGTCTGTTTCTAAAACAATAACATTCAGTATAATGCCCTCCAACACACCAACAATACCTGCTACTACTTCAGTAAACAGTATTAAGAACAGTTTTCACCTTTTAATGAAAACTAAGAATGTGGGAGTGTAGTTAAAGTCATAAAAGTTATGCTTGTGCTGTGTATTAGTTAGCTCTGGATTACTCAGGTGTTTAAAAAGATGTGGTTGGAAGTAGGGCTGGACGATAAAGGAAAAAGTTTATCATGATATATTTTTTTCATATCAGTTTATATCAATGTATATTGCGATATAAAAAATAAAATTTAACAGTGCTTATTGTTAGCATGTCCTTTGCATTGCAATTAGCTACTGCATCTGTGAGGTCTTTGTGTCTCTTCAACATTTTTGTCGTTGGGCGATAAAACATCGTTGCATTGCTTGTGCGCTGCTTCAGGTGGCAAAAAAGATTTGAGGTAGTCCCCGACTTTGTGAGAACATGTTCTCGACATAATTTGCAGTACACATTACTCTGCTTCATGTCCGACCTAAAAAAAACAAAATACCTCCACACCACCAATGTTTTTGTGTCAGTGTTGTTGACGATGTTGTCATCTGTTGAGCCTTCATCTGCATTTCTGCCAGGGATAGCACTCATTTTCTTTTTTTCTTACCAACAGCGCTTTACGTGTTAAGGTGCTATGGTTGCGTGTAGCTGCAGCCTGCTACTACGCAGTTGTTTGTTACTTGGTTCTAATTCAGCACATGATTGGTTCATATATCCTACATAAATCCTCTCCTTTCTTCAGTTGCTTACACATAACAACCCCACAGCAGTATTGTTACAAAGTTCTGCCTCCATCGTACCTTTGTTGACCCTGCAGTGGTGTGATTTTTACCTCATATTATGGTGGTACATGATGAATAGGCTTGTCAGCACTCAGTGAAAGCTCCACACATAATCAAACGCACTTAGGTTTGTACACCCACATACAATGTTACAGTAGTTTTCACTCTCAAGTGTTTTGTTGATTACTTTCTAAGTTAATTGCTTTATTATGTGTAGAATGATGAGAAAAGGTTAAAGAATGTTAAAGGTAAGAATGTGAAAGATATTTCAAAAGTCTTTATGTTCTTTAGATAGAGACCTTGAGATTCTCTGTTTACTGTTTCTTGTGTATTACAGAAAGTATGAAACCAAACCAACAGTATTTTCTTGTATGACTTCATATTTGTTTTCTTATATTCTTGTAGGTTTAGTCGGTGCGAGCGTGAAGCAGAAATTAACACGATGTAACCAGAGCGCTCGCAGCCTCATCCAGCTGCACAGAAGAGACCCTTCAAACTGGCTGACGTACCAGCATCTTAACTTCCTCAAACGTCAGGTAAATTTTCCCCTTTTTCTGCATCCTCTGATTTTCACAGATTTTTGTGGTGTATACCGTCTGCATTCAGTGTAACCACCTCTTTTCTTTTCAGTATGTAACAAAAAAGACCAGTGAGCTTCACCAAAGAGCCATCCCCAAACAGGCTCCCCTCCTGACCATAGTGGATGAGAGAGATGACAGCATCGAGCGACAGGTGCAGAGGATACCAACCATCAACCCTGCGGAGACAGACACAGTCTCACAGCCAGGAGATGTCAACAGTACGGCACAGCCGGAAATTTCCCCCCTGGAGGGCGAATCGGGAGACGTGAAAGTACATGCAGAAGCTCTCTCCAGCACAGTTTTAACTCCAGATGAGACTCCTCACATCCAAGTGGAGTCAGAGGAGGCGAGAGAGGCGCGGCTGGACAAACAGTGGAAGATGCTGAAGGTGGAGGTGGCAGATTTACCGGATGTTTACGCCAAGCTCGCCAAAATCAAACTCACAGGTAGAAACATCTTTATTCTCATATCTCAAGGCCCTTATACACCAGGACGGGAAAACGTCGCTAATGTGAACGCTTGTTTTGACAGGATACGGGTTAAAAAAAAATATTGACGTCAGAAATAATCGCACGAAAAAAACATTCCCAGTGTGAAAGGACCTTAAAGTAGGGGTGTCCCGATACAAGTTTTTTTTTTTACCTCCGATACGATACCGATATTGTAGCCTTCAGTATTGGCCAATACTGATATTGATCCAATATTAGCGCAGACTTGTGCATGACAAGTTTTGCCCTCAGCTGCAATGTCTTTTTCGGAATTTAACGAAAAATACTGCCACATGGCCAACATCACTCCTACTCTTTGCTGCTTTGTTATTACCGTAGTACACACTGATGTTGGGATAATGTGGGCTCTGCATGCTAGATCCAGGTGCTGCTAGATAGAGGTGCCAGAGTGGAGTCAGGCAGTTATAATCCAATATTCTTTTTTTTGCTGATATCGGATCGATATCCAATATCGGTATCAGATCGGGACATCCTAATCTAAAGTTATCATGGATGAACCTCTACTTAAAATAGTAAAAATAATAACAATGATTGCATGACTCTGTGTATTTGAAGCTCTAGAAATAACAGTTTTTGTCTCATCTTCCTTGTTGATTTCAGCGCTGGTGGTAACGACCGCGGCGGCTGGCTTTGCGATGGCTCCGGTGCCCTTTGACCCTCTCCTCTTCTTCGTGGCATCTCTGGGAACAGGCCTCGCCTCGTGCACTGCCAATTCAATCAACCAGGTCAGTTACATTTCTGATTTTGTCCGCTTACTTTTCTCTCTGACGAAGCAAACCACGGGGTAGGAAGGTGACGGAGACTTTGGCGTCGCTTTGATTTCGGACTCATGACTGTTAGATCGCTCTGAATTTAAATCACTGTGATGTGTGATTGTTGTCTTTATACTTAAACTTTGTGATCCTGGAGTTTGATCATCACATAATTCCAACAAAAGCCTCAGATTACACAGGTGTATCCAATCAACACAGCGTAAAATTAACAATTCAACACAACCCTTCAACTCGCATTACTCAAATCCCCAACAATCTCAAACACATGGCTTGTGTAATTGTTTCAAGAGTTGCAGTAAACAGTGCAGATGTTCTTGGTTGTAAATCTGTTTATTTCTTAAGTACCAATTTCCTTTTTGGAGAGAAATGGCGTGGACTTTTCTCAGAGCTGGACGGATATCTGTCGGTGTTAAATGAGTAATACGGCTCTCATTGACTTCTCATAAAAACACGACTTTTCTTCTTCTTGACGGACACTTGCGTCTGCGTCAGTAACAGTTAAACTCATCCCTTTGTTCCTCGTTCTGCATTCTTCCTTCGCTACGTATTCCAAAAATGCACCTAGCTGGTTGTAATGCTGTTATTATTTCTCCGCTGAAAGCTTTTTTTTTCTGAAGCTATAAACCAAAGAGAGCTCGGAGCAGAGACGCTCACAGCGAGTTATATAAGTAGGGCCTCTAATGTTGTCACTGTCTGCAGGAATTTGCTCCGTGACTCAAGAATATTAGGATAATGGGTGACCTCTCCCTCAGCCTCAGATTGAACTCTGTTTAGTAGTGTCTTCAGCCTGTAATTTGGCAGAGGCCGTGATTACACTACAGGTTCCTGCCCTCAGGGCCGAGCCTCCCTTTGTCAGTGTTACAACAGCTGTCTTTAAAATGTCGTGATGCAGCTCAAAATGTCTTTAAGTGTATAAGTTAATGAAGCTGAGAGCGAGATGTTTGTCAGAGAAATCAGTGTCTCTTCAAAGATGTTTGTTTTCTGTCTTGCAAGAGTCAAAAAGTTCCAAAGAGTTAGGTTTTGTATCGGCGCTGTAACGTCTGTGAGTGTTTGAGAACTGTGCTGAAGTTCTCAGTGAGGCTGATATGGATGATCCTGAACCTGAACCAGCTCTCTGTAGTAAAGATACACTGTAAGCCCTCCATCTGTGCCACCTCAGGGTGACATCTGTGGATACAAATCTGCAAATATTTGCTCACTTCTGTTTTTATAGTCAGGCCTGAAGACCTCCTGCACGGTGACGGAAATCCGGCTCAGGATTTGTTTTTTTTTTCTACATCATGTCAAAAAAAACAAAAAAATCCTAGTTAGATAGATCTGAATATGACGAGTAGAATAAGAAGAACTTTATAGATCCCCAAAGGGAAATTCAATAATAATACAGCATTACCCTGGATACCCTGGCATCCTACCGGAGAAGAAGAGGCGGTGAACGGTAAATTTCGGGCTGTGTCCGAAATGAATCACTCAATCCTTAACCCCTAACCCCCATATGGGGTTTTACTATATAGTTAACTATGTAGTGAACTCAATCAAAGGGCGGTTTCGGACAAGACGCAATGCATGACAGGATGCCTGCCATCGTTGAGTGACCATCGGACGGTCATTACATTTTGCAATTCTTTATGGGAAATTTTGAGTCACCTATATTGGGCACTGGAATTGATCATTGAGGTTTCGGACACACCTCAAAATGGCGCTAAGTCCCATGTAGTCACCTATATAGGGGTTAGGGATCCATTTTGGATACAGCCTATAGCGATGGATGCCAGGTACATCAATCCAGGAGCAGAAACGGCGATATTAGAAGCTGGGCTTGGGCGGAAGAGGCTGGAAAAGATGGAAAGCCTGAAAGAGCCAGGTGCTTGTTTTTGTGTGTCGTGATCAATAACTCGCGATTCGGATCAATAACTCTGAGGCGAAACGTTGTCCAAACACAAATGATGCCTCTTTCATGTCGTAATAGCAGAGACTACTAGCTACAAGAATAAAAAAATGATTTGTTTAACAAAAACAAGCCGTTCTTCGAGCTGGATTAATAATACTGATCTCTGTGTGCAGCCGGTAGCCAAGTGCTTAGGGACCATCTGCGAATTACGATACAAGAGCAAAACGCTGCAAACAAAAATCAATCAATATACAGCTGTTATACAGTAGAGACCCCAAAATCACCGAACACACACCAACAACTGTTTTAGGAAAATGTGCCTTTTTATAATGTTGGTGAATTTTTATTGTTATAAATCATTAATATCTTCCAATATTAATCAATAGCTCCACTGTCATAAACTGCATAGTTGTGTCTGAATCATGTCAGTCAGCCTGCTGTTCAGGTTGAGATTGTACGGGCTCCTTTAACTCCTCCGCCTCACACTGAGCAGGTGTGTAAATATCCTTCAGGTATTTGAAAAATGTCCCCCTCTCCTCATCGCCGCTGAAAGTGCTGCGGACTGGGGATGAGTGATGAAGAGGCGGCTGCCTCTGTTCGTACCGTCCGTACCCTGGGTGTCCCTTTATCCTCGGGCCCACCCTCGCATCAGTCCTGTCAGTCTTCATTTTCTCCGCTAATGCAGCCTGAGGTTAGGATACCACACAGCGTCATATTTCATCGCAACAATGTTGTTTGCCTTTCGCTGAGTCCGTCTCGGTTTCCTCGAGTCGGGTCGAGTTTCAGACTTAGAGAAAAAGAGGAAGCTGAGGAGTTGAGAACAGATGTAGCGCCAATTTGAGCTGCAAATAAGAGAAGTGTGTGTTAAACCTGCAGGGAGTGTGTGAAGTCAGAGCCTGTAAGAGTTAGTTATCATCTCTGGACATTTTTATTCATTTCCTAGATGTTTTGTGGCAGCGGTGTCTTCACAAATGTGAGGATTTTGACTTTTTCAAAATGTGAAAATACAAATTAAAGCAGGAATTTGGAAAATTTCCCTGAAAATTTTTTTTTTTTTTTTAAATTTCCGCCAGACTCTCCTGTATTTACTTACATTTCTTGCTTGTGTTGGTGGTCGTGGCTAAAAGAGGATTCAGACAATTTTCCGTAATTTCTGGTTGGTTTCTACTGTCCGATATTGTTTGGGCTCGTGAACGACACGGGGGAGCAGCGTCTGCCTAACAACCAATCAGGTTGGGGGAGGCGGAGAACGGCTTTGTTTACAGTCAGAAAGAGCGGGCCGCTCAAATATTTTAAAATTTTGACGAAACAGACATGACAAAACACAGCGACATTGTTATATTACCAAATGTCATCAATAACTAACAGCTACTGACTGATATTAAAAGCTTTTTTGTAGATACACCACAAAAAAGATGCTTCTTTGACGGAAACCTGCCTACCCCACCTTTAACGGGTCACAAAATCAACTTTTAAAAGTGGATTTTCTTTGATAAAACAGATATTTTTAAATATTAAATAATGGCCGAATATTTGTATTATAGCATGTTATTTTTCAGACAAAAAAGAAGAAATAATCTATGACTAAAAAGGTTTTTGTGAGATTAAAGAGTCACTGTTCATGTGGGTTAAAGGCGCCGTGGTCGGGTATTACAGGAATGCTCCTCTTCTGTAGATAAATACACACCGATTGTAAAGAGATCCCCGCAGAATATTTCTTTAACATTTCTCTCTGTTTTCACAAATGTTCCTGTGCGTCTTCGCCTGAAACTCATCAGCGCTCGCTCTGTTTGAGGTCAGGAGCTCCTTTCTTGTGGCTGGTCGCTGGTATGCGAGCCCGAGCCTCCACGTTGGCAAACTCGATTCTGCTCCATAATCCCCCCGCTCTCCTCTCTGCGCGGGGACGTTTTGCGTGTCATCGTGGTCTTAATTGGCCCCCGAATCGGAGATGGGATTATTGTTTGAGAAAATTCGCCACCTGTTTTGAAGCGGAGGAAGGCCGACTTTGAAGATTTATTTGGCGATGTCGTGTGAGGGGAACGGCTTTGATGTTGGAGGTGGTTGAAAGGATAAACATCATTAAGGAGAGTAAGCGTATTTGTTGTTGGTTCTGTCTTGTCTCCCGCTGTTCGTCTGGTATGAAAAGTACGTGCCTCTGCGCCGTTGATGTCAGTGTTACTTTGTTTGGAGGAGAATGTCATTCCCCGCGCTGTAATTACACACGCGGCGGCACGAAGGATGTCATGTGTGACACATAATTGCCTGTTGCGCTGCGGCTGCGGCGCACTCTGCACTTTTTTCTCTTTTTCTGTTTTAACGCACTCTCTCAGCTCCTTTTGTCAGAGACACCTGCACCTGTGTGATTGATCTCCACACTTTGGTCATCTGTTTGTTTTTCCTAATCCCTCAAAGAAAAAGTAGAGTAAAGAAGAAAATCTATCTACGTTTCACTTCAGATCTTCTGCCAGTTTTAGAAATTAAACACTCCTTCATCTGGAGAAAAAAAGAGCGAGTGTTTCAGCTTTAGCGCGTGATCAAAGCGTGATGTCTTTTTCATACGAAGAATCAAACAAAAGCTCGACAAACAAATCAAAGACGCCGGTGAAGATCACTTCCTATAGATTCTGCTGTTCAGCTCTAATCCCTTAATGCGCTGCATCCAAAGACGGCGAGGAGCGCGCGAGGAGTCTGTGGCCACACAGCTGTCGAATTACCTCCAGGAAAGGAGGGAAAAATGCCTGAAGGGGAATGAAAAACGCTCCGGCTCTTGGAAGTGGCAGCCAGACCTTCATCGGAGCTGTCAAAAGCCAAGGCTGCTCTTTGTCCCGTTGGGAAGTGGCCGCAGGGCAAACAGAAATGTTGTGGTTTTCCTTTTAAAATGTTTCTCCATTTAGGAAAACTGACGGAAGGGTGTAAGCAGTCGGAGTCACGTAACGAAGGCATTTCAGTGTCTACGGTTTCCCACCACAGCCAGAAGTCTTAATGCTGTCATGTCCTGACTTCAAATCGGGGAGGACAGTCAGCTCTGACAGCAAAGGGATGTCATTATTGAAGCATCCACTTCAAGTAGCTCTCATGAGTTGGCAATAATGAAATGTTCTTGGCAGGAGGGGTGTACTTTTTCGCTCTGTCCTGCTGCGTAGACTTCCTTCGGAGCCTGTGTGTGGAACTTAAATCAGACGGATTAAAACTTCATTTTAAATACAGGGTCGACCCAAAGTTTGTTCATCAAAATCAATCGACATTTTTTCCCTTTAGCGTCACTGTCTCTTTGTTCAGGTGTTAAAAGGAGACGCTTTTAATTGACCTGAAAATCGAACACGTCTTCACTGGAAAATCCCAAATCTTTTTCAGGATATCCAAACAAAGTGTGCCGTCTAAATGGGATTAAAATATTTTATCTGTATTCTACTTTTGGTGAGGCTTCTATGACGAAGTGTTGGGGCCACATTAAGGAGGAAAAATATAAGACTTTGAGATTTAAGTCATTACTAGGTCCCGACCAATATGGATTTTTTGGGGCCGATGCTGATAATGATTATTAGGGGGGGAAAATATCAGATTACCGATTAATCGGCCGATTTTTAAAATTAGTTACTAAAAATATATATTAACTGTACTTATACTGTAGGCTACTGCTCGTCACGCCGACAGGAAGACCGACTGATCAAAGTCGGACCAGCAAAGCATTTTCAATTATTCTCTGCATTTTATTTCTGAAAATATCAGCGAAAATCTGTGAGTTTTGACCGATTACCAATTAGGGTAATTTTCACTGCAGTGAATCTGGTGATCCTTTCAAAATAAAACATTTGATCCTCTTTCTTAAAAATGTAAAAAAATCAGATTAGTTGTCGCAGCTCTTTTGCGTCTCTTGAAAAACATTCTTGTGACATTAATGCCGATAAATGTTGGATCTTTGCGAATATTTTCAAATGCATTTCAGCCAAAACTAAAATGAATATAAAGTAGGATTGGGACGATCTGCTTTTCTTAGATTCGATTCCTCCATGAGTTTTTGGATGCTGATTCGTTTTAAATTGCGATTCTATGAAATTGGCGATTTCCTCAATTTTTAGTCTGCACTTTTAACACAAAAAAATCGATTTAAAATTGCAAAACAAAAAATCGCGATACTTATGTGAATTGATTTTTTTCTCCCACCCCTAATATATATACACATCTTTTATTTGGCAAAAGGTCACAAAGTCCCTCCTGTCGTAGATTTTTTTTTTTTTACTGCCAGGTTATTTTAGTAAACATTCCTGAAATTTCCCTGAATTTATGATATATTCATTGGCGACGTTTATACTTTTTCTTTGAGGATGCAGGAATAGTTGATAAGTGATGTTGTTTTGAGTTGAATCCATGTCATTGTCGTGGTTTTTAAGACCCTCTGACTACACGCCAGACTGCGCCTCCACAGGTGCTCCAGCCGTCATCACCTCCCGGTCTGACCGCTACTTCAGCTAATTGGATAATAAGGTCAGACGAAAGTTCCAGTCTCTACCTCAAAGACCCTGGGGCAGCGCCTCAAAGACCCCGATCTGGTCTCTTACTGTCACTGGAGTCCCGCTCGGCTGTTTTGACAGCGGCTGCAGTGTAAGTCACACCGTGTCAGCCCCCGTGTTTGTTTTGACGAAAACTCGAGCTGGCGTGCTCTGCGGCTGCCGACTGTCATTCCCTCTTTCGTGACCATGACAGTCGGTCTCCTTTTGTGTCTGCGTCTCTTCGTGTGGTGAGCTGTCTGAGGCTGGCACGCACAAAGCGAGCCCCCACAAGCCCCCCGGCCCATCCTCTGCTACCACTCCGAGCTACGCCCTCCTCTCCTGTCCTGTGAAGGCATGCATTATTTACCCTGCTGCATGCCTCCTTCTTCTTCTTCTTCTTCTTCTGTGTGCGTTCTGGTCAGTCCCTCACGGTGTGTGGGGACTGGTTATGTTTAATCAGCACTTTTATAGTCGCATGTTTTATTTATTCACGTTTTGAAAGCGGCGTCATGCATCAAAAATCCGTCTCTAAACTTTTTAAACTAAAAGGATTTCATCAACTTCTGATCGTGGCGGTGTCTCGACAGCAGAAAATCTCTTCAAAGACGATTTTATCAGCGCATTTGACTTAATTTCGATGATCTGTGCAGCTCGAAGCTTTTAACCATCGCAAATGAAGAAAATAATCCATATTGATAGCTAAAGGGACTGAATTAGTCATGATACAAACCGCCATATAAAACCAAACCATCCAGTGGACGCTCATACTTTAAACTCTGAAAGCGTTGTCAGGCTCCCCAGAGTCTAATGGTACCACAAAGTGCTATTTTAAACCCTCTAACGCGACACAGGCTTGTTGTCACGGCTGCGATCTCGACCATATTTCCCATTGTTTGCAGTGGCAGGCATCAGTCCACATGAAATGAGATTTTAACTCCGACTGGAAACTCCCTCATGTGATGTTTTGTCTTGAATCCACCCCTGAGGCGTTCGTAGACTCATACATGAAGCTCCACTCGGTGAAAGTCCTTCAATTACACGTGAGTGAATTGGTTAACATCAGTACGGTAAAAATGTGTAATGTTTATATTACAGAGCAGTCAGAGTATTACAGTTCTGACACTTTTTTTCCTTTTGGCTCAGCGCTGCCGTGTATTTGATCTAAAATGAAACACTCACTATGAGCTCTGAATGCTTACTGTCAGCTTTAATTTGAGGCCGCGTACATCCACACCAGCTGAGAGATTTAGGATTGTTCCCCTCTGGTGTCCTCGATTTCTAGGGGACATGAAGTGATCAGACATGTCAACATAAACGCAGAACTTTTTGTCACTTTAAAGTTGTTAAATACCGACACTGAACCAAAGTTACCAATCAGCTCCTGCATGATCTGTACCAGGCTTTACATAAACTTCAGTGTGAATGAACTTGTGGCGCGGTTGGACACTTAGAGTAGCTTCTCCTTCGTAAAGCTGAGATGATATGCCACACTGAGTGACACATTTTACTTATTTAAAAGGCAGATGCACGTGAGTTTTATCAAAATTAACTTCTTACATGTACAGAACAAACTTTTAAAAGTCTGGGCTGAAGGCGTGTGAACTCTTGAGCTTGCATAGAAAGTTTTGACCTGATAAAGTTCGATAGAGGAGAATACATAACAGTAATAAATCTCAGTCCAACTATGAGGAGTTTATTTTAGTCAGGCTGATGTGCTTACATGTTTTAAAAAGTCCAGTTTCTTTAGGACTAATGCAATATATAGTTGTTTTTTTTTCACAAATTGTAGAAACACTATATTCGGGATACACAGTCTGGTTTCTAACACCTGGACTGAAAATGAGCTTATATTTTTAAATAGTTAAATTCTAGATTATCCAAAAATCTTGAATGCAAAATGTAGTTTTTAAAGCAACTGTAAGGGCCACTCTCCATCAAGAGCATTTTTTGCTGTAGTTGTTCAATCCACAGATAGAGACCAGCCTTTTTAAGTTGGGAGGACTCTTAATATCAACTTTGTCAACAACAATAGTGGAGGTCTGTAAGATGGAGAAACTAAGCAAACTTGTATTTTTAGGAGTAATTTTTAAGTTCAAGAGCTGCTGTTGACAGTAATTCTTCCAATTGTTTTTATACTTTTATGTTAAACTTTATTGAATTAAAGCAAATTTGGAGCATTTTAAAACAGAGCTCACAGTCTGCAGGAACTAAAAGTGCATGTGCTGTGATATAACTTTTGTAGTCTTGAAATATTGCAAGTGCAGTTGGTGTACACAGGCCCTAAAAGCAAAGCCAAGTCCTTGTTTTTTAGTGTGTTGTTCAAACTTCAAGATTACTTTATATACCAACATAAATAAAGTCACACTGTCATAAAAAACAATAAACAGAGAGTCTTCATCCTGCAAAGGGAGCATGAACACGATGTTACTCTATGAGACACAAAGTGAAAATGTGCAGATTTGCAGACATGATCAGTTTTAGGATCTGGATCTTCTGTGGTTGTGTGTCTTTGTTTGTTAAATAAGTTCATGCAGCCCCCCTCTCACATACGACAGTGCCATACACAACAGCCGCTGCCCTCTGTGGGTTTTCTGTTACACGGTTATATATTTGATTAACTCGCTTCACCTCTTTGTGAGTTGGCTCTCGCTGCAGTGATTCTCGCCAGCTTTACTGCACCAATATTTTGTGTCACCGCCGCCGCGAACAGGCCGGAGGTGCAGATAGCGCTCCATCAGCAGCACAGTAGGTGGCGGCTGTCTACCTCAGGCTGGGCCGGGGGCACAGTCCCCGCGCCCCAACAGTCAAGGCTGCCTCCCTAATTTTCCAGAACAGAGGACCCCGCATAACATGGTACCTCTTAGGAGGATCATTACTTGTAACAGGACCTCGTAGCCACTAAAACCCCACCAAGTACGCGCCCTTCAAAGACAATGAGAACCTTCCACCGCCGGGTTTGTGTCTGTTCCCTACAGAGAAGGAGCGACAGAGGATACGGGTTCAAACGCACGCTGCAGAATACCTCCACCATGATGACATAGCTGTATTTTTTGTGCAATTTATTCCCCCTTTCCTTGAGATTTACCCCCCACCAACCTCATACCAGAGTCCATTTGATGAATAGCAGGGAAACCTTCAAAATAACCCCCATACTGGAGGAGTTCTGCGTCAGTGTTTGGTGTGGGAGCTTCAAAGATACCCCAAAACAGATGAAGTCGAAGGAGTGTCCGCGCTCGTCATGTAAGTTTCCCCGGCTCTGTCCTGTAATCGACCGGTCAGAAGTGTTTGATCTCTCACGGGGTTTTGTGTTTTCACTGTTTTTCAAGGTTTCTTTTAAGAGTCAGAGGGCAAACTCATCAGAGGATTAGCCAAACGGGTGATATAACGAGACATGAAATCCCCGCCTTGGTGCAGATGCTGCTGTTTTCTGACAGCTTTGTTAAAACAAAAGAGAAGCTGATCTTTGACACTCATACTCCAGATTTTTTTGTCTTTCCCAAGCTGTTACTCAAGCCCGGGAGAAGGATGAAATTCCTTTTTAATTGCCGAGCAGGATGGCACTAAAAGGACTAGATGGGTATCTGTCGAAGGTCGCTGGATTAAACTGAATATTTAAGCAGACAGCTCTGTTTAATAGTTAATTTTCTTTAAAGGCTCTCGTCTTTGTTGACCACAGGGCGCCTACCGGTTTCAAACTGTACAAATGAATCTCCTGCAGCCTCAGACGCAGACAGATGCTTCCCTCTGATAAAGTCACGGAGGGTAAATCCATCTATTACATACCCTCAAAGATAACGCCTGAGGGGGAGACTGAGCAAACGCTGTTGCCAGGCAAAGTCATCGACAAGGGGTGAACACGGGGTTGAGGAAACTACGACTTCCAGTGATGCTTATTATGTTTTTATTAAGAAAGCTGATTTTCTTCTACTTCCTTTGTGTGCGTGTTTTAAATAGGCGGCGATATGATCCAGCGTCTTTTATTCGTAGTGCTTCATGTTGGAGGTTTTCTAAATAAGAACCATTTCTGGAACAGTTATTGACCCTGTCTGTACGCTTTTGACTATTTAGCTTATAGCAGTTTAGATAAGCTGAGATTTAAAATTGTTTTAAAGCTCCTTTGAGGAGTTTTTAACTTGGTATGAAACCGAGTCGATAATCCAATCCAATCCACTTTATTTATGCAGCACATTTAAAAAGAAAACAATAAAGTTTAGCAAAGTGGTGCACAGTGCAGTAAAATAAGTTAAAACACACCAAACATGAAATTTTAAAATAAAATAATCATAATAAAAACCACGTAAAAAGACTTCAATGCTTACGATGCCACTATTTGTGTTGTTTAATTATTATAATTTCAGGTTGTTTCGTAACCCTCCAAAAACTCACCACAGGAGCTTTAAAATAGAAAGGAAACACTTTTGTTGTTTTTTTTCTGCTGCTTATCTGACAAATACACCCCTCTGACCATTTTTAGGCTTTGAAATTCACAGTTTAAAAATTTACAACGATCTTGTCTGGTTCAGTTTGTCTTAAAAAGCCATCAATATAAATTTTAGTCCATTTTGTGAGCTTAAAAAACTTCCTCACTGGAGCTTTAAACAAGGAAAAAAGAAGAGACCTTAAACCTTTATTATAAACTTTATTTTCGCTGACAAAAGAGACTAGAAATAGTAGTTCCCCTTACATAATTTCACGGTGTAACAGGGCGTCAAGAGTCAGGACTTACAAACCAGACTGTCTAACTAAGCGAGAAATTCTTTTTGATCTCCGTAAACTCAACCCCCTTCAAACGACAACCAACCTCAGCTCGCTTCAAAGGAGGACAAGAGCGCGGCCCGTCAACATCATGCCGTCATCTTTTGTGAGGATCACACCGCTCACACGCGAGGTGTCTCTCTGAGCTCAGGGTGCTGCTGCTTGTTTGGGCAAACACGCCTCGCCACAATAGAGTCACCTCCACCTCAGGGGATGAACGCCACTGACTGACTGAGTGACGGGCAGGTGGAGCCCCTCCTCTCCGCCTCCCTGATTAGCCTTTAGTTTCTGACAAAACACCATGATTACGGGCTTCAGCGACCGACGAGGGAGGACGCAGACACCTTTGAGACCTGAGTCAGAGAAGGGGGAAACACCCACCCATTTTAACTCTGTCTGGCACTACTGAACCTTTCCACACCTCACTGTTCATGTGAGGGAATGCCTGACCTCATGCAAGCTGAGCAAACGCCGTTAGACCAACTAGGACACGCCATCTGATGGATTTGTTTTCTCTCTGTCACAACAGATGTTTCAGGTTATTTTCAAAACAATGTTCCTCAGAAATTTTAATGAGTTTATTTTGTTAAATCCGTACTATAAGAGCAGTTTTAACTTTTTAAGAATGCTTTTCAGGATCTTAATTTTGAGATTTTCCTTTAAATATTCTTTCTTTCTTTCTTTCTTTCTTCTTTATTTATCTCAAACTTTAAGAACAACAAAAAACAAACAGAAACAAAACACCAAACAAAGTAATACATATGTACACCAAACAACTGTACATGTCAAAGGTAAATTTACACAACATATGTATGTCAAAATAAACAGTTTGAGAAGGAACAGAAAAAAAATAAATATATATAAAAATATATAAAAAAAAATATATATATATATATATATTTGTATAAATTAGAAAGATCTGTAAAAATACCTACATATTATACACAAAGATATCTGCTTTCTCGATAATTTGATTTAAATATTTTTATGTTATTAGACATTTTTAAGGTGACATCCAGGCTGTTCCAAAGTTTGAAATGCACATACTTTAATCCTGCAATTAAGCAGATATTAGATTAAATATCAGTATATCAATATCAAACAATCCCAGGTGATTTTTGTCGGGTCATTTATTGGTTATGGAAGAAGACAGACAGCAGGCTAATGTATTAATGCTGATTTTATCTTTTATTTTCCACTAAACCCAGGTTCCCTTTCTCTCAGCTGAAGGTAACGTAGCCAAAGGCGAGCAGGAACACTCTTTGTCAAGCTGAGATCCGTAGATAATCAACAAAAGCCGGCCTGTTTATGGCGTGCCCGTGAGCCAACACTGGATGCTAATTTCATTCAGAGGGCATCGCTGCTGGAAAACAAAATGGTCGCCAACATGCACCGAGACGTTTCCTCAGATTTGTGCTTCCTCGTCTTGAGCTAATGTTAAGTTATCAAAGGTCGTCTCTAAGGTTGTTACAGTTTGGACTTTTTTCTTTAAATACGAGTTTCAGGGCGGTGGTTTGTAAATGAGGATTAAAATAATCAGGCTTTCATCCTGCCTTTTGCCTAAAAGAGGAATATTTTATCTCAAAGCTGCTTAATTGCAGGATTAATTAAAGACGGATTAGCTTCTAGGTGGTCATCTGGTCATGGTGGTGTTGGCAAATTAACTCAAGAAGCAGCATTTTCTTTTGGTTTCCTGCAGTTAAATGTTGGATTTGAGAGGAAATAGTCTTCCTGCAGCATTCACTTCAAAAGCTCTCTAAAAATACACCACATTGCACCTTATTTATTCATTACACTGGAAAGTGTCCTTGCATTACGATATCACATTATTACCATGCAGACACCCCACATTTAGACTCACTGTAATTTCTCACCGCTCTGTAGTTGAAGTGTTTGTTTCTGTGATTTCAGCCTCTACCTGCATTTTAGAGGAGGCTTTTAGCCGGTCCCCAATGACTATTATTCAGACTGAATTTCCTGAATCTTAACCGCCACCCAAGTCCTCATCCTCTGTTATGTAATCACACGGCATACTCTGAATAGCTGAGGAAGTCAAAGGTGATCTGTGGCATGTGAAAAAACTTTGGCGTGATTAGATTTTTTTTCTTTTAGCTCATGTTAGAAAAATGTGACGCCCCAATATCTGGTTGGTTGATCAAAGTCGTGCAGGACTATCACTTAAAATATGGTTAAACCGGTAAGTCTTCCTTTTGAGAGATGAAGTGGAAATGCAAAAACTGCAGTTCATCATGGGTCCACAAGGGCAATCATCAAGGATCCCTCCTATGCTGATACAACATGGAAAGTTTAAGTGGGTCAGAATTTCCAATACGGTAATCGCTATCTTTGGCTTTGAGAGGTTGGCGTCCCTCAAATTACATCTGTTTTTTATGGTTTATGGATCAGATGCATCAGTTTAACATAAATATATTCAGTTGGGAGCGTAATGGGATTCCCCTATCAGAGCACAAGTATTAGGGCCCGACCGATTTAACGGTGAGCCGATTAAATCTGCCATATTTAGCCCGTTTGTGACGAATTGGTAATCGGCCAAAACTCGCCAGTTAACAAGTGCCCTGCGTTTATTTGTAGTAGATTGTTAGTCATTACTAGGGATACACAACATTATCGATGCAATATCAATGTTAGCAGACAATAGCCTAAAACGTCAACTATTTGTGTTAGCATATTTGAAAATTTCTGCCGATGTAATTTTTTGCCAAAAAGGTGATGCATTAACATGTTGGCTGTATGGTATTCTGAAGTGTTGGAAACAAACAGCAGAAACGTTTTTGAACATCTAAATTAAACAAGGATATTGTGATCATATATGGTAGAATCAGGTGTTTGTCTCATTATAAGCTTGTTTCTAAAATAGACAGTCTCAATAATAAGAGTAGCAAGTAAATTCTCTCACAAGACAAACTATGTCCTTGACAATAAAAAAACAGTGTTTTTGTTGGTACTCATATTGATCAACCATAATAGGTTTGAAAACCTCATAAATATCAAATATCTGCATCCCTGGTCATAACTGCCTCCTAATGTGCACTGACTCCTGCCTGGCGCCTTGTTTAAAAAAGCCCAGTTTTTAGTTTTCTAGCTCGTACAGTCTCATCTGTACTTTAACAGGAGGATTAGTAACCCCAGAAAGCACAAAAGGTGGCTTATGTGTCTTATCTTCACTCTTGTTCTGCCGCTGTATTCGTCCACCTGTCGTCTCCCTCCGGCCATCTCTTACCTGAGGAAGTCATCTCGTACTGTTGGGCGTGGACTCGTGTCTGTCTCTATTTCAAAGGAAACACTCCAGTTATATAATAACATGGTGGTTTGTTGGTTGATTACTGTTCATTAAAAAGACCAAAGAATGTGTCTCTGGACTCTATCGTACCGTACCTCTCCCTTCCTGCTCTTTGTAAGCAGAAATACCAATCATTACCTAGAAACAAGTGTGTAGAAACGTCACTGCATCGTCAGCGTACGTACTTATACAATAGATTCAAGTGTGCCTCTGTCGTCAGTGTTGTGTTGTTTTGTGCGTTACAAATGTTAGCTTCAACGTCATTGTATTGTATTCGTGATTATTTTCAAAGCGACCTTGTACTATCATTCCAGTCTTACGAACCCCTCACTCACGACATTATCCGTCTGCCCACTCGCATCCGACACAACAGCTATCAACACACACAAAAAAGGCCTCGAATTGCCACTTGTGTGTTTGTCTCTGTTAATATAACCACACAGTCACTCATTCAAGTGGAGGGAAGTAACCATTGCTGTTCCCATTCATTTTACACCCACACAACTGTAATCACTTGGAAAATCATAGACATCGAGGTGCATGAGTGGTTATAACCCACACTTGTGTGTTTTACCCTGAACCTCTTTGTCTCAGTAACCCATATCCTGGGGATTAAACGTTTCCGCTGTGCTTTGTAGTGGTACACTGCGTGGAGGGGTGTCCTGTGCTCGGCTCTTTCTCCTACTTGTAGACCTTTTATCTCTACGCTGCTCTGCTGGTAATTGCTTATGAAGAGACTGGGTGGGTAGAGGAAGAGTGGCTCGAATTTCACCAGCCCACAATTGTCAGCAGCGGCTCTTTGAAATTCTGCCTTTGTTTAAGAACGTTTCATCCTTTTATATGGAGACATTAATCTTAACTTCACTGTTAAAGAAAATACTGGGATCTAATTATTTTAGTTGAATTTAAAGTTTAGGTCCGTCTCTTTCCTACAATAAACCATGGTGCTGAACTGTACTAGACAATATGGTAGAATCTAATACGATAAATACGACACGATTGGGGATAAATACAATTTTTGTATTTTAAAACAAGATTTTAAAGGACAAAACAATATATGTCAATTAAATGTGATTCGATATTATTTGAGGCACTTTAGTTCAGGTAGAAGTGTTATAATAGGTTACCATGATACGTTACAACTAGATCTGATATGTCACTAGACAAGACATTGTGATACAAAAAGATATGATGTGATAATCAAGAGACACAGTATATTTACAGTATATAGTATACTGTCGATATCTCTAAATAAAAATTTAAAAAAATTTAGATTTATCGGTAATCAGATTTTTTTCCCCCTAATAGTCGGTATCGGCATCGGCCCCAAAAAATCCATATCGGTCGGGTCCTAATAAGGAGTTTCAAAACATCAGTGTTGAACTTGTTTTAGTATCTAAGTCTAGAGAACTCTGACTGTTGTATCACATTTTTATCTTACGATTAACATTGGAGAAAAATGACACAGTTGAGTAAATTCAGGAAAGGCGAGGCAAAGTTTGGAGCGCAGGTGACTCATTTATATGTCGTCATCCATTTCTAATGATGCTCAAACTTGTGGTTTGTCTACTTTACCAACTTCATGATAAAAACTGCTCAAGAAGAGAGAAATTCTCTTCGACTATTGTTTGTGATGCTTTTATTTTGCCTTTTTTAACTATTTCGCATCAAGTTCCTTTATTTTCAGTGTTAGACAAACATGCTTTTCTTTTAAATGATGTGCTTTGTCTAGATGATGATAAGTTTATGAAAACAGTGAACATCAGTTTCGAAGAAGTCTGAGCATCTCCTGAAGGACTGCTGCTGCTTCTTTGTCAACTTTCTGTTTTATTGAAGTCAGTTACCAGCGTGAAACCCCATAACCATCCTCTTCTCCTGGTATCAATACTTTTTTTTTGTAAAAGGTGTTTATTCCAAACACCGGTATATTAGGTCAGCCTCACCCTGTCGGGTCATTTTATAACCTGTCTTTGCTAAATTTACCGCCTACCAGACCCCGACCCCTGCGTTACATCCCAAACTATGACTCATCTTTGGTCTTCTAGTCTGGAGAAATTCAGTATAAAAATATTTTACACTCATATTTTGGAGATTTTACCTATTAACTCAACTTCTCTGCCGGTAATCTAGGTTTACAAAGTTCAGACGTCACCCAAACCTCACTGGGATTTTTCTCGAGGAGTTATGTGAGCACTAACTCCCCGATCCAGATACACTGGGAGCTGTCTCCTATTAAATCCTGACAAGAAGAATCTCTCTTACATTCACAGACAGATGGTTGACATCTCTTTTTAACAGCCTGTCAAGAAGCCAACTGGTTGTTTTCTACTTAGGAGGATAGGGAGACGAGGCGAAGGGGACACGGCGAGTATAGCGGAGAGAGAACGATGGGTCTCAGGGGCAGAGCTGGGTCTGTGGACGAGGACAGACTCTGACAGGAACTTTGTCACCCTGTTCACACAGTCCCATCCTGTTAACCTCCAAAACAAGACTAAAGCGAACGGATAAATAATTTACTCCGGCTATTTACAGTCTGCTCCCAGATGTTTCAACTCCGTATCAACAGTCTTCAGTCTTTTACTGTTTCAAGTTTTTGGTATAAAAAGGAGTTTAGAAATCCCTCAACTTGACAAAACTGCTTTTTCTACTCTTTTTTTCCAACCTTGTCCCTGAAACTCTCCTGCACTGAGCTGTATGAGTGTTATCAGAGGTCGAGTTTACAGAACGTACCGCGGGGAGAAAGGGAGGCTGAACAAAGATGCTGTTTGAACAGTCTGAAAACCTGCGTCGTGTTCAGATTTTTCGATCAGCAGCATATTTTCACAAACAAACCCTGTTCTTGGACAAAGCAGGCACCTGTGACCCGTGTCCCAGCATGCCACTGTGCTCACCGCAAGGCAGAGATAAGATGAGAAAAAAAACCCTGAACAAAGTCGACGGTTTTCGCTGTCATTTTGGAGGAATGCTGCTTCTTGAGCCTCATGTTTGCCGTAGCCATGTATAGATCTAGAAGTGAACAGACTAGACCCACATTTAAAGAAATGTTTGTACATTTAATCTTCTGATAATTCTGGTGCCCACTTGTGAGGATGTCTGTTTAATTTTCCACTTAACAAAACGTGCATATCCTCACATATAGGGCTGGGCGATAAACCGAAAATGAACAAATCCGAAATTTACAACAATAATCGATGTTACAAAAGAAACTTTTTATAGTCACTTTTGTAACTCTTTAAAGGCCAAAACTGGTCATTAGTCACAATTATGTGAAATTGTCTGGATATAATTTTTATTCCGACTTTTTCTTGTGTTTTCGGCAAAATTTTGGTAAAAAATATTAAACTATTTCCTCTAAGTTGCCAATTACTAAACTTAAATAAACTTCTAGTTCTTCCGAGGCCCATAACATATTACCGTAATGACCAAAATATGTAAGAAATAACTTTCTAAAAGTAGAATTTTTAAAAAGTAGATTTTGTTTTGATTTTCAAATGCCAATGTTGGTTGTAAGTGACTTGTGAGGATGTCTGTTTAATTTTCCACTTGACAAAACATGCATGTCATCAGACATAGGGCTGGGCGATAGACTGAAAATTTATCGATACCGAAATTTACGACAATAACCGACGTCATTTTGCCCATATCGGTATATTCGGTGTCAAAAAAATTAATAAACAAAAGTTGGTTTTTAGATGTGTGTAGGTAGGCTATGGTCTCACGCCAGTCCATAACAAAGAGGGAAAGACAGGTGAGGAGATGGAGGACGGTTCCAAAGTTGTAGTGGCTGAAGTAGACGAAGTTGTAGAATGCAAAATCCTTAGACATGACCTTGTGGTGTCCCAAATAGTTACGTTAATAATCCGGTCGTGCCGTGGATGAGAGAGGACAAAAACACCAGAAGAAGACCTCCCCATACATCGTTGTCTCCTCCTCATTTTGATTTGAAAGGCTCGCTGACTGAGCCCGTCTGGATGGAGGAGCAGACTCTGCTGTGGGTCACCGCCTCAAATTCAAATCTGCCAGAGGTGCTGATGGCTGCTGTCATGTCTGAGAGAACAGTGAAGGCCTTCATACTCGTCTTCACTTTATCACTCCTCATTTCCACGGGGTGTGTTTCTTCCAGATCATCAGGACTGGAGTTGTATCGCAGCCGTATTAGAGCAGACACACACACACACACAGGCACACCCGGGTTAGACTTCTTGTGGTCGGACACAGCTGTGGAAGAAAAATCCAAACACTCACATTCCCTCAAACATACACACGGTCATGCACATGCCTCTTTTTCCAACTGCACCCAGACTGTTGAGAAGCTTTCAAACTGCACGTCATGTCAGTAACACCCTCACAGATATTTGGGTATGCCCACCGAAGGCGGAACAAGACTGTTTATTTCTTCTTAAACAAGTGACCACACACTCACACAGCCGGGCTTTCACACACAGATCTTCTCCTGAAGTATCTGAGACTGAATAGAAAGACAGTCAGCCAGGAGTGACATGCACGTATTTATATGCACTTTAATTTATCAGACGTATTTAGACATACAGCTGGAGGGATTTATGTTTGCTTGATTGATTTATTTCTATCGGAAAGATTACCCGTGTGTCAACCAGATGTCTAATTGACTAGCAAATACAGGCGGGTGGATTTATGACAGTGTAATATCCTGTAATCTCACATTGTGTATTTAAACACTGACACAAAGTGGAAAATTTTGTACCACAGAAAATATTAAAATAATGCTTTAAAAAAAGGGCCTGACATTAACTTTTTTCACAAGGAGCACAAGTGCTTCTAAGTTGAAAAAGTAAGGAGCACACAAAGAACTTTAAGGGACACAATGAAAATTGATCAAATAGTGTGTGTCTTGTTGGTTGACATAAGTACTATTACTTGGAATCAATTTTAAGTCAATTGGTAATGTGACATGGAAGCTATTGGAGGAAAACAGCCTTTTCTGAAAACACCAACTGGTAATTTATTGATGGTCCCTTATTCAACACCCAATGTTGACAGCGAGGGTGCCGAGTAGATTTAACCGCGCTGCTGTTGCCGTTACCGCTTATGGGAAGACACCGGTAAATCTGCAGTGACTGTCCATTGGATATCCAACCTAAAACTAACTTCACCGCAGTATTTACAGGAAAAACATTTGTTGCCTCGCCTAACCTGTATCCTGTCAATACAAGCGTTTACATCAGCAACGTTTTCCCGTCCTGCGATATTGCGGCATTTATTTTTTCGTATCACAGTCGATTTTCGCATTGTATTTTTGCGTCATTCCCAGTGTGTAAGCACCTTTTCGCCCAGAGTTAAATTTGTAATCTGAATCCTCCCTGACACTAGGGGGCACTGTGTCCCGGTCATGACACTTCATTACTGATGGAAACCGTAATGTGATTTGACGCAAACACAAACTACTGCATCTCGACTAAAAACAGACCTCCTGCCTGAGGAGCTTAAAACAGTCTCCTACACTAAACAGAAATAGACAACTCTCGTTTGTCTGAAGTCTGGAGCTAAAAACTTTTCTTTATTTATGGCAACAAAGAGGACGGCTGTCAGAGCCTCTTTTGATCAGTGTAAGAATAATCCTCTTCTTTAACATTTCCTTTCTTTCTTACTTTAAAGCTCCTTCCTCCTCTTTTTGTCCCAACACTCCTCCTCAGATATTTAGAGTACAGCATGCCTCTACGGCGCAGTAAGCGTTCCCAGATCCTGCCCATATCTCGGCGGGCAGAGGCACTGATCAGGGCAGAGGTAACGTGGCTCGGCTCGGCATTAATTGGCTGATTAGCATAAGGACAGTTTAGCACTTCACTGTCCCACACTCAGGCCATTAATCAAGGCGGAGGCTGTGCCAGCTGAACGGCTGCCAACAAGCTCCACACAGACCACTAAAAAGAGAGGGAGGAGAGGTGTGGGTTCAACTCAAAGGGAGAGGTGATCCGCTGTTTGGCCAGACAGAGAGCTGCAGTCTGTGCAGTGGTGCCGAGGAGGATCAGAAGGAGACTAATGTGTCGTTAGAAGAACAAAGTTTGGCTCGTCTATACTTAGACAGATGCAAAATAAAGCAAAAAGAAGTAATGCACATGCACTAGTTGCGAACTTCAATTCCCAAACTGCATTAAAGAATTTTCAGGATTTTCTCTCTTTAATGGTGCAAACAAATTTAGCTTTTCATGTCTGATCACACCAGCAGATCCCCGATCATTTCATCACATCAAAGGTTCTCCGAGGGCGAGGAACCTCAGAAACATCTGCCAGCTGTTCCTGTGCAGCATTCCAGAGACAGATGCATGTCTCCTGTTTTTATCTGCCACATCCACCGCAGATACCATAAACGAAATATTTCCATTTTCCAGCAAAGGAAATAAAGAGGCTGAGATTTTTACAGTCACACTTTAAAAGCCAAAACCTGGTCTTTAGTTATAATTATGTGAAATTGTCTGAATTTAATTTGTATTCCAACTTTATTTTACTTGGAAAACTTTTGTTAAAAAAAATGATTTCCTTAATGATGCCAAATATTAAACTGAAGTTTTGAGTTCGCCTATAACAAATTACCGTAATGATCCAAATATGTGGGAAATATTTTTTCTTAAAGTAAAATTTTAAAAACAGAGGCATCATTGTAGATTTTGTTTTGGTTATTTAATACCAGTATTGGTTTGAAGTTGACACCACATATTTAGAAAACCAGTATTCACACAGATCTACTGACAACTAGGGGTGTCGCGATACGATATTGATATCGGTCCAATGTCGGCAATAAAAATGAATATCGGATTATATTGACCTGCATTTAAAATCTCCAATATCGGCACTCTGATACAAGCAGTCCATTCCAGACCCACTCCGGCACCTCTATCTAGCAGCGCCCATATCAATGTTGACTGATATCGGTATCGGTCAATATCGAAGGCTACAATATCGGTATCATATCGGAAGTCAAAAAGTTGTATTGGGACACCCCTACTCACAACCTCAGTCCCAGAGGGATAAAAGATGGAGAGGGACAGTGATCGTCCGGGGTAATGTGGCCTAAAAGAAGACCAAATTACCCATCAGGTGAAGTGGAATTAGGGTTACACATTTTGAGGCCATGGTTTAAATGCAGTAGCAAAGAAATATGATGCCATAGAGAGTAATGTCAGCTGAAAGAGATTATCTTTTAAATGTGAGTAAGTTACTAAAGAATTGAGCTAGATGGCGACTGCAGCCGATAGCTTCAAAAGTCCACTGTACAAACAAATGGATGACATCTATAACGTTACATCCATTTATTATGTTGTCTGTAGTTCAAATCTGTCAATCAACCTCCTTTAACACTCATGCACACACCTTCTACACTGCCCCTTGTGTCTTCTATTCCCCTTTTTTCCGTCATTCTTCCCGCTCCTTTATTACTCGTCTTTTTCGCTTCGATTTCTTCAATATTTCTGAGGTTCTCCTGCTTCTTAGCACCTCAGCTCTCCACTTAGACACGCACCGCTTCCTCTTAACTCTGTAATAAGTACTTTGAAAAGTGTCTAACAGGTTCTCCAGGCAAGCCGTGTAAAATCAAAGCATTGCTCACATAACTCCAAGACTATTCATTTGACTCCAGACGCTTCAACGGCATTTCTGTGACAAGAGCGGCGGACCAGCTTCCACCGCAGGAACACCTTGAAATAACCTGAATCTGCCACGCTGTTTCTGAGCTGGCCGCGTTTGCTCTCTGTTCTTGTGCCGTTTCTTTTCTTCCATTTGACTTCACAACGTCGCGAGCGTCTGCCAGCGTGGTTGAACTGACTTCTGAGGGGAGCTTAATCTATGTAAATCTTTTGGCTGCTTGTTTGTCAAGTGGTTGATCAGAGACGGTTCACAGTCGGCGTTCAAGGGGGACTTCGAGGGCCCTCATGTTTTGTTTTTGTCAAGTAGACTTGGCTCGCATATGTCGGAGCAGCACCGCCGTCCCTGTGGATGTTTGATTCCGCCGTTTAGCGAACAGGTGACACTCTGACATGTGATGACTTGGGTCGCCTTTGGTGGATCGAGAGAAACGCACTGTTTAGACCAGCTGATGTTTGTGTGAGGTGAAGCCGCACAGCTGCTCTGATGTGTACTCGCCCTTTGTATAAACATCTTTCTTGTGATTCTAGACATGATCGGCTTATAATTTTCATTCCAGCTACCATTGTCTCCCCTCGCCATTAATCGTCTCCCGCTACAAAGCCAAGTTATCTTCTGTTTCTTCTCGACAAGAAAAGGAAATGCCTTCCTGCAGCCTGTTATCAATTGAGCCCTGGTGGTTGGCGGTGGATCACGTTCAGTCTTTGATAGCTCGGAGGTTCTGGCAGCTGAACTCCCCCTCTCTCCTCTGCTTCTTGCTTTGGTCTCGCCTCTTTTCCGTCCTCATCATCTGGCTGATAATCGTCGGGGGTAATTGAAAGCAGCAGCAGACACCGTAACATCCGGTTCAGTCCACTCTTGTGTTTTTATCCTGAAATAAAGGGGTGTGGGATTCATCAAGACTCAAGTGGTTTTTGATTAAACTATTGTTGCCTGTTGTTTTGTCTGTTTGCAGAGCTCATGCCCGCTTTTAAGCGCGCCTCTTCTTCATGGATGAATCATGAGTGCACAGCAGAGCTCGCAGTTTCAATGCGAAGTGTCAGTGAGTGACGGCAGCGGGTTACATCACACGTCAATAACAAAAAAACGACCTCAGCTCACCTTCCTGCTCACTGTCACATCATCCAAACGACCACTCTGTGTTTGGGAAAGTTCCTCGTCTTATTATTTACTGCACAGGTGCATCAAAAACCTGCGGGGGCCTCAGTGCACAGAGCCCCATTATGCACAGAAACTAGCTTTTTATTTATATGATGTTCTTGGAAACCAAATAGATCCTTTTTATGGGAGCGGAGTTGCAGCGGGCCTGGCCTCGGGCCCGTCTGAGGCCTGGTTCAGCACCGCTCTGCTCCGGCCTGGCCACAGAGTGCGTTCCTCTCTCATGCAGCCCCTGACCTCCTGACGCATTTCCTGACCCAGGAAATAGAATTAACACCTCAGCCTGGGCTTTTGGGGTCCCGGAGAAGCATAACACAGCTGTCCATTAGCCCGGGTCCAGTCCAGCATGATCCTGCTAGCTAATGCACCTCTACAACTGAACCAAAGATTGAGAAGGGAAGAAGGAGGCTTTCTTGGAGCTGGAGGAGCGCTTATCCCTGTGTGTGTTCACCGTCTTTTTATACTTAAGGGTTTAAGTGCCTCTGCGACTTTAGTAAAAACTGGAGAAAAATAAAGAGGGCTGTTGATCTCTTCTCCCAGAGGGACTACGGTCCAGTAAAACTCAAGACTGTGTCAAAAATCTGTTCCTGTAATCTTTTTAATTCTGCTTCAAATGATCGAGGGCTCTAAAGTCCAAGTCGACTTATTGGTCGATACTTGCTGAGTCAACCAGAATTCTGATTGGTATAATTTTTTTCCCTGTCAATTTGAAGTCTATGGTTAATTTCATCAGCAGGCAGGCTGTTACCCGTTTCACAGGTAACAGCCTGCCTCAGAACACCCCCCTTGTTTCCACCATTTTGGATTTGCCCAACCCACTGAAGAGATATGAAGATTGTAGAGCGTCCATGCTAATCAACATCTGGTGGTTTGCTGAATATAATATTTGTGTTTAATTGCCTTCATGTGCTAATATCAGTATATTTTCACCCTGCTGAGCGGTGTTGTCCCCCGCCGCAGAGGGGTTTGCCTTCAGAGTCGGAAAAATCTGATGATAATATCATATCGTGGCCCAAGTATCGTGATAATATCGTATCATGGCCCAAGTATTGTGATAATATTGTATCATGATAATATGATATTGTGACCCAAGTATCATGATAATATTGTATATATTGTATATTTTCACCACGCCAAGCCACGTTGTCCCCCGCCGCAGAAGGGTTTGTCATCAGAGCCAGATCCCCCCCCCAGGCCCATTTCACCACCAATATGAAAACTGAAACAGTTGAATAAACTGTGTTGTGATGTTGTGAATCCTGCTGTTTAATTCACACGATAATCAAAGTTCATCCTTGTCATGAACTCCTTTTGTGTTTTTATCGCCCACGATCAGAGCCTCATGTTATAAAAACGAATTTTATCAAGATGGCTCTATGTGAGGCTGAAACTCGACTTTTGTGTTGTGACATATCTTGTTCATCAGACCTCGATGGCTTATCCCAGCCTAATGTCCTACAAAATCCATATGAAATGAAACTCCCTGCCCTCCTCCAGTTTTTTTTTTTTTTTAATAACATGGTGGCTTTTAGACGTATTGAATGCGGTAAATCTGGGTACTGGGCTTTAAACAGAGAAAAGTAGATTATCTGTTTATTAGATATTTTATATGGACCATATATCAGGAGATATGGATCTAGATATTTCGTGGTCTAAGTGCTTTATCTGGTTTCTTCATTAGTCAAAGGCTCTTACACAGGCAGACAAACACACACACACACACACACACACACACACACACACACACACACACACACACACACACACACACAGATTAGCCAGTTCCTGCGTTTAAGCACCCCATGTGTTTGCATTTTAGTCACACATTGCCAATCTCATGGGAGCACTTTGAAGCGTACTCCTCCAGAGCAGATCATAAAACAGGAGTATAAGTAGTTTTTCACATAGTTGTATCCCAGAACGCCCCCAACCGCCGGCACCTCCAGCGCCACCTCCCACCCGACAGCTCCGCGCACCACCTTCCACCTCCAGTCCATTTACTCTGCGAGTAAAGGGCGAACGCTCTGTTCAGGGATTTGCTCCCCGCAGTTTGTTTCCCTCCAGATGTTGCGTAGAAAGTTATAGAGGCAGCAGAAGTGCGAGAGTCTTTATCGTTACAAATCTACCTGGTTGTTTCCATGTATTTCTCCACTCATTTGAATTCAATCTGCTCATTGCAACAAACTTTTGCACCACAGAAACCATGACATTCAGACTTCTCAAACCTTTTATGGTCTCGTTTGCTTTTGGACACTGTAAAAAAGCATCAATATGAGTTTCAGTCTATTTCATAAATGAAAAGTGTTCACTGCTTCTTAATGTTGTTTGCATGCCTGAGTGACATGCTGTTTGTGTGTGCTGAGCATTGACCTCCTGTCTTTTTTTCTTTCTGTCTCTGCAGTACTTTGAGGTGCCCTTCGACTCCAACATGAACCGAACGAAGAACCGTCCACTCGTCAGAGGACAAATCAGGTACCGTTTCCCATCTTTAGGACCATTTAACTGCATGAATTCAGCCTCGCAGCCCCGCTCTACTATCAAGGCTTCAAAAAGACAGCAAAGACTGACTGGAGACTTACAAGAGGAGAGTGACACAACAGCTCAGCATGAGTTCAGCTCAGTGCCAAAGCTACTGAGCATCTCTGAGCCTCCCAGGCTGCCTGACGAACGCCAAAGCGAGCTTCTTTTTCATGCTCGCTGACCTTATCCTGATCATGTCCTGCAGAGCGACACACTTGCACGAGTCAAACATAAACTTATTGTGGGTGTTATTCAGGCTTCGGATGATAAAATAATTCATTGTTGACAGCAAACAAAGCCACATCCATATTGATTTTCACCCTCTTGCTCCGGCCCATTGTTGACGTGCTAAAGCCAGTAAAGGAGTGCGTGTAGTAGTAAAGGATCCCCTGGTTTACACCTGTCAGGTGTAATAATGGGTGGTTATCAGATAAGGAAGCAAGACGGATTAGGTTGAGGTCAGGGTGTACTTCACCTCCTGACCGTCCTTCCTCCGCTGCCTCCTCTGTTTCGCTCTCAGATAACCTCTGCATTAGCGCTCAGTGAACTGCACACTCGCCTCTACCTTCCTCTTCACGCAGCGAGCAGACAAACAGATCCTCACTGATGCATGAACCGAAAACCACACAGACAAACAGCATGTCGCCTTCAGTTATTGTCTCTGCTGGAAAACCGACTCCTTTGCATTTCAGTCGGACAGGAAAAGCTTCATGGGAGAACAAAAACAAACAACAGCCCAGTATTGAAAACTAGGGGTGGGAGAAAAAATTGATACAGCATATTATTGTGATATTTTGGCTGGTGATATGTCGTATCGTCTCATTTACCAAGTATTAATTTTTCAAATTAATTGCCAGTATGAAGTCAAATCTATGATAATGGAAAAATAAAATCAGCTGTTTGTCCAGTGAGGTTGAGAGTTGGTACAACAAATATATATAAGGTTTGCAAGATGTGCTTCATGAAAATAAAATACAGCGTAAATAAGACAAACATAAAGAAAAGTCAAATGCTGAATTAGCTAAACAGTTGAAAAAATTGTATGAATCACAATATATTGTATCACAATACTCACTGTATTGCAAAATGTTAAAATTGCAATAATATTGTATTGTGATAATATTGTATCATGATAAAATCATATTCTGATAACATTATATCATGATAATATTGTATCATGGCCCAAGTATCATGATAATATCATATCATGGCCCAGGTATCATGATAATATTGTATCATGCTAATACTGTATTATGATAATATTGTATCGTGGCTCAAGTATCATGATAATATTGTATCATGCTAATACTGTATTATGATAATATCGTATCGTGGCCTAAGTGTTGTGATAATTTCGTATCATGAGGCCATTAGTGATTCTGACCCCTAATTAAAAAAGCATTAAATCCTATTGACACACATGCTTATTGATTTATACCAGCAGTATAAGCACTTTGTGACTGTACAGCTTCAACTAGACTTTGACCTGCAGTCATCTCAAACCCCAGTTTCAGGAATCCTCCTTTCACATCCTGTTTAAAAGCGTCTCTGGTGCTCTTGAAATGCTGATTGAAGACGTCGTCTTCGTCTAAACACCTCTCGGTAGTTTCCAGCCCGTCTCTGACACGAGGCGTGTGTCTGTCTCTGAGCAGAAACATTAGATCTCTTTAGAGCTCTTTGTCTCCTCTCGCTCGCTCACTCGTGTAATCTTTTGTACAGACAGCGAGCAGATGTGAGGCCGGACCGTCCTGTCAAACAAGCCATCAGGCGGCCACATTTTACACATTCTCTGCGTCTCCTTTAGGACAGTGCTGCATGCTAGCCAAATGATGCTACAGTGGGAGGAAACAGCCCAACTTTTTATGCTAGGGTTACATTATGTGTTCTTCTGTGAAATGGAGATGACTGTGTTACATAATCCCGACAAATGAGTAATATTATTCGAGAGTCTGTGGTTAAAAAGCATGTCGTTTATACTTGAAGTTAGCAGGACAAACCCAACAGTCAGCTGAAATACTGCTATCATCATCACATCTCCAGAGTCTCCTAGTTTGAGCAGTTTCACTTCATAACCACAGCTCGGTTTAACTTCCTCCTTTCCTTGATGAATTTCTCTTACCTCCAGCTCTCTCTGCTGAGTTTATCGCTAAATCCAAATATCTTCTGTGCCAGGGAGAACTTTTTGATGGATCTCTTTCAGGATTAGTCTGGTCAGTTTCCTCAGTGTAAACTAATTTAACTTTCAGTCCTCATTTTTTCTTTTTCAGCAACAAACCTCAGTGTTTGGTTGTAAAAATATCCTTATTTTGTCCGTCTAGACTTTGCTCATTTTTATACTTTATTCCCAGACATTCCTTTGAGCGGTAATATTTGAAGGCTTGTACATATTTGGAAAGTTCATAAATGGTTGTTTTGTTTTTCCTTCCATGACCGCTTGAACTTTTAACTGAGTTAAAAGTGAAGTACTCTTTATTCTTTATGGAGTATTTCCCCTGTTTTATACGCCTCAGTCTCCGGCCTTTTGACGTTACCAACCAGACTTTAAACGCTGTTTTCACACATGCTCCCAAATCCTGGAAATTTCTGCAGCAAGTTGTCCTGAAACTTCCCAGATTTTCCCATATGTGTGAAAAGCGCTTAATACAGTAAACCCATCTGAGTGTATGTGACACACCCCCTCCCCTCGACCCCCGCCGAGCTCGCCACATTGTCGACAGCCCGTATTCAGCCGCCACGGCCCCACCTCAGCCCACATAAAACACACGTAACACCACTAATCACATTAATGCCTCGATCTCCCTCCGCCAAAATAAAAGCCCTGTGTGCACTCTGCAGAAAAAAAGGTCTGCGCTTGGTCAAGATTTTAATCTATCCCTCTCTTTAATTTATGGAGCATTTACTGGTGAATTTGAACCAGACCTCAACATCACTGCTTTCAATAAAAGACGAGAAGAGGAGGAGGAGGAGGAGGAGGAAGTCTTCATCCGGCTAAAAGCACGAGCCACGGTGGTTTTTCTTCAGCCAGTTTTGATCTCAGGCAGGGCTACTCTTTTCTTGACAAACTCTTATCAGATGAGCTTCCTCTGTTTTGAGACCCGACCCTGAACGGTTGCTGATTGTCAGTGTGTGGCCCACATGGATCCGCATGTGTGTGAAACCTGTGCAGCTATCTCTCTGCTATCTTCTGTCTGCGCAAGCCCTCGAAACTTTATCATCCCGTCCCTCTGAGGGCAGTGACGGGCTTTTGTCTGAGTCTGATCTGTGGATTATAACCTCATCTTTCAACTTACCCTTATACATATTTTCTTCTGATTTTACATTCTCTCTCTCTTTTCTCTGTATCAGTCCCCTCCACGCAGTCTGCTTTGCTTTGGCCTGTGGAGTCCCTGGAGTCGCCCTGCTCACGGCGGCGGTAAACCCCCTCACGGGCTTCCTGGGCGCCCTCAACATCTTCCTCTACACCTGCTGCTACACTCCGCTCAAGAGGCTGAGCATCACCAACACCTGGGTGGGAGCATTCGTGGGCGCAATACCTCCTGTCATGGGCTGGACGGCTGCCACGGGATGTCTTGAGCCTGGTAGGGATCGTGGCGTTAGTGGATGCATATGTATAAAATAAATGTTTGTCATTGGGTTATGTTGGGTTAAGAGACTTCGTAGGCTTTGCTAGGGCTGGGCGATATGGGCTCAAATCAATATCACGATATATTGAGCAGTTCACCTCGAGAACGACAGATGGACGAAAACTACTCCCCAAGCTGCTCACCCCCTCCCACATTAACTTCAGCCGCTACAATTTTTGAACTGTTCTCCATCTCCTCACCTGTCTTTCCCTCTTTGTTACGGACTGACATAAGACCATGACCTACCTACACACATCCAAAACCAACTTTTATTTATCTTTTTGACACTGAATATTTTAACATGGGCAAAATGATGTTGGTTTTTGTCGTAAATTTTAGGATCTGTAAATTTTCGGTTTATCGCCCAGCCCTAGGCTCTTCTTTCATCCTTGAAATCGCTGAACTTGCCGCTTTTTATAGTTAACCTCTCTTGTTTTCTGCATTTTTGCACACACAATGCATTAATCTGCTGCTATTATGACGACCCATTGCAGTCTCTGGCACACAGACGTCCTTATTTAACAACAGACTTTATTATCTTAGATCTTAGGTGAGAGATACAGAACCAACATGCTAATGTGAACTCAATACTTGCTCTATTTCCAGTCTGCAGACGCTCAACTCCAAACATGCCATAAAAAAATAAATCCCTTCGAAGACATACATGTACAAGGTCGAGACTAACGGGGTCCCACCATCCTGGAGATGCTGAGAAATGCATTTGGGATGGTCCAGAATGATATGTTTAGGACTTAAGTATGAATACAGTGAGGCTTAAATGTTCCAAAGTTTTAGGGTGTAGTAGTGTCACTCGCTCGGTTACTTTAAGAGTTTGTAAAGTTTACAGATTTGTTTGTTGGAGTCGCAGTGAAATGCGTCTTTTCTGCAGTTTTTTGTGCAAACATTAGGAAATATTTAGTAAAAAGTTGTGAGTTTGGACACATTATGAAGTAATTTCAAGTCTGAAACTTATACTTAGTCCTGACCATAATGTTAACTGCAGTTCAAGTCTGTGTGTTTCTGCACTCAGACTCTTGTAATCAGCAGACTGAGCTCCTCTCTGACCGTCCTCACTTCACTCTTCTTTGAGTTTTCTTTACTAACACTCTTAAGTGCTCTCGTTTCGAACGCCTTCATTATAATGTACTCTGTACAAGAGCATCTGCAAAATGATTGAAGCGCCGCATCGGTACATAGGGGGCATCGAGAGGCTCGTTCAGCTTGTTTGTCGGACACATTAAGTGTTCTGTTATGGCAACTGGATGGAGTGTGTTTCATAACGTGGCTGACGTGTCACTGAGAAGTGCTTGCACAAGTCTCTGTTCAGGGTACAAATATTTGGCTGGCACTTCATACATGGATAATGGATTTATCGGAGTTAAATCAGTCTTATTTATCTTATTTTATCAAAGCTGATTTTAAGAGATGGTTGTTTGTTTCACTGTCAATCAGCTTTTTCATGAGAGATTTAAAATATACTCTTTTTAAATTATTTTTACTGTATTTTTGCCAAAGCAGTGCTCATATTTAAAGGCACAGCAACCTGTTCAATCTTCTTATAGCAGCTGAATAAATATGCTATCAACACGTTTCAAAAAAGGTGGCGCAGGAACAAAAAACACTGAAAAAGTTCATAGGGCTGGGTGATATGGCCTCAAATCAATATCATGATATATTGAGCAGTTCACCTTGAGAACGATAAATGGACGATAACTACTCCACAAGCTGCTCACCCCCTTCCACATTAACTTTGTCTACTTCAGCCGCCGTTTCAGCTGCTACAATTTTTGAACCGTCCTCCATCTCCTCACCTGTTTTTCCCTCTTTGTTATGGTCTGGATGGGACATGGACACATCCAGAACCAACTTTTATTTACATATATCGACTCCGTCCAAGATGACGTTGGTTATTGTCGTAAATTTCGGTATAGGTAAATTTTCGTTTTATAGCCCAGCCCTAGTACTACCAATAAAAAGTCCAAACACCTGAAAGAAAATAATTTAGGACTGGTTACTAACATTATTGAACCATAAATGAGATTAATAGACCAATCAAGAGAGGGACTCCGTAAAAAACTGTGTTAGAAAGTAGTTCAACAACTTTCTTTAGTGTAAAACTGTAAAAAAAAAGAATTTCTCCTCATTTTTCTCACCCAAACATTCAGAAAATATGGAGAAATCTCTGAATGGCCTTAACCCTCAGGTCCTAGGGTGGGGCCCCATGAAAAACAGATTTGACTCTTGAGTGGAAGTCACCGTATGAGTTTAAAATGACTCCCTTAAGGTTAAAACTGAACTATGCAAAAATCATATACAAACATGATCCAGAAACACTGGAGAAAAACTGTTTGATGCAGTCCTACGTGATATCCTTGAGACAACAGTTAAATCAAAAAAATACACACTTTTGTGAGAAGTATTTTTTTGCCAGTGCTGCAGAGAATTAATCTGAAAAATTAAACCGCTAATAAAAAACAAACTTCTTTTCATAAATAAAAACTATGAAAAGGTTTTGTGAGGATTAAGTTGTGAAAAACTTTTCTTTTATCGCTGTAATTCCAGAAATTGTTACTTTTATTTCACAGTTCACAACATTAAAGTTTTATTGTGGTACTTGGCCTTTGATTCGGCTTGTTGGGTGTGAATTAAAGGAGCAGGACATTAATTTAAGTCCCTCTCTCTCAGATCATTAATCCTCTCCCTCCTCGCTCTTTCACCCCCCCCTCTCCAGGTGCCTTGTTGCTGGGTGGTTTCCTGTACAGCTGGCAGTTCCCCCACTTCAACGCCCTCAGCTGGAACTTGAGGGAAGACTACTCCCGCGGCGGCTACCGCATGATGTCCGTCACCCACCCGGGCATGTGCAAACGCGTTGCCCTGCGTCACAGCCTGGGTCTGATCGGCCTGTCCACGCTGGCTCCCGTTTTGGACGTCACGACCTGGACCTTCCCCGTCATCTCCCTCCCGATCAACCTCTACATCAGCTTCCTGGCCTTCCGCTTCTACCGCAGAGGAGACCGCAACAGCGCCCGCAAGCTGTTCTTCTGCAGCCTGTGGCACCTGCCCATGCTGCTGCTGCTGGCGCTCACCTGCAAGAAGTCACGCAAAGACCCCGGGGATCCAGCTCTACCTCCAGCTCCTTTACCTCTTGCACTGCAGAGCTAGCTTAGCCTCATAAACAGACAGACAGCCTTAATTTAACCCCGAGTGTCTCTTTTAACCACTTTGTTCTCAGAGCAGCTGGATGATGTACACGATGTAATCTGTGTTTTATTCAACACTGCGGTGCTCAGTGTTTCAGATCAGGAAATGAGCTGGATCAAACTTAGCAGGACACACACAGGATTACCGCACCAGGTGGTGATCATTTCAGAGTGTGTGTACTTACTGTATATATTCTGTATTTATTTATGTAGGGGCCCAGCCGTTCCTCTCCATGTTGTACATGACTGATGTTCGTGTAAATTGCTCCTATGGATCTACACAGGGATCTCTGTGTGCAGATTTACAATGCAATGTACAAAGCAACATAGAGGAGAAGAAAATATATATATATAATTATGACCAAGATTAGGGCTTGAGTTTGGTCAGTCGAATCTGAAGTGGCTTTTTGATATTAAAGGGATATTCTGACGTAAAATTAATTTAGGGTCAAACACACGGTAACACCGAGTTAGACACCCCCTCGAGAGATGAATGTTGCCGACTTGCTTGTTATGCAAACTTTGATAACGACCGCCGGATAGCAATACACAGCGGTCTGAGCAGCCATAAAGAAACCTCACCCAAAACGCCACTCTATAACCACAAATAATGCTCAGAACAGCACCTAACTTCATCAACAGTACATATATGGGCCAGAGCACTAACATCTTTAACTTTGCCTAATTTCTTTAGCAAAGAGACTAAACACAACTCACCTACTCTCTTCCAGCAGCCACTTGTTTGTAGAGAGACCTCAGGCTAGTCCATTACGGACTACAGTGGGGTGATGCAGCTCAAGGAAGAACATTTATGATCATTACTTTATCATTTCCATTAAGTCAGTGATCGACTCGTCAAGGCTCCCCCACAAACAAGCGGCTGCTGGAGGAGAGTAGTTGAGTTGTGTTTAGTCTTTTTGTGACAGAAATTAGGCAAAGTAAAAAAGATGATTGGTGGCTAGGACCCTATATGTACTGTTGATGAAGTTAGGTGCTGTTCTGAGCATTATTTGTGGCTATAGAGTGGCGTTTTGGGTGAGGTTTATTTATGACTCTTCAACCACTGTGTTTTGCTATCGTGCGGTCATTACTAAAGTTGGTATAACTAGAGAAGCAAGCAGTCGGCAACATTCATCTCTCAAGGGGGTATCTAACTCGGTGTTACGGTGGGTTTGACCCTAAATTAATTTTACACCGGAATATCCCTTTAAGCAGCCAAGGTCCTTTATCAGAAGTTGAGTATTTACATTGAGCTAGAGGCAGCTCAGCTCGCAGCCCCTTCTGAAATCCCATCCGCACCAATGAAAAACACTGTTTTTACTGGTTTTGAGAGGTCACACCCTCTTTGGATAACTCTGCTCAGGGTTTAAATCTGGTCACAAGAAAAGTTCACAGATTCAACTGACAGAAACTGAGTTTGCCGATGATTCTGACGGTCATCATGGAAACGCTTTCAAAGTTTGCTTTCAGGGTATAAAAATAGGACTCATCTAAAGTTCTTCTAATACAGCTGTTGTTCGACTTTGACCTCAGCCCTCTTACTTGACAGTTTGTACGCCTCATTGTATTTTCGCTGCTCTGCAAACACACGCTGATGGCTCATTTACGTAATGCAACACGGTTAATTCAACACGGTTGTGATTCACCAAAACAAAGAGAATACTTAACCTCTGTGAGGAACAGAAGGGTAAATATTCTCCGACAATAAAACACGCCATGATTGTAACTCTGTTTTTCTGTGTCGTCATTTACCCCCGCTTAGGTTTCAGTTCAGAGCTAATAAATTCTGCATGGATGGATGAACCACACACAAACCTCTAACAGGTCTCGTTAGGTGGCGGCGCAGACTCCGTCTAATATTTGGATTTAAGTTTCAATTAAAGCCTCGGTGGATCTCTTGGCTTTAAGCACAATCTCCATCCCTCCTGTAAGCTCTCTTTAACAGGCCACCTCTGCACCTGTCAGTCAACATGTGCTCCCCTTCCGCCCTTTACCCCTAGTTTTGGTATTTGGTTACATTTCCATCACCGCACTCGCAGAAACAAGCGGCCCCCTTCCCCTTTCGCTGCCATCCTCCCTCCATAAAAGAGGGGCTGAGGGATTTAGCCAAGGCCGGGAGACCTGAAACGCCTCGACATCCTCGTAAAGTGTCCAACCGGATACGGAGTTTCATATCAGAGGGTGAAAGGGGAGCGATGGAGCCAGCTGTTACAGTCAAGAGAAGAAAAAAAAACGCACATGTACGCCCAACCTGTGTTTGGATTGAATGTTGAACAAACCTCCAGGCTCAGTGTGACGGCCCGTCCTGCTTTACAACATCTGCCGCTGTGGAGGTGCAGTGATGGCTCTTGTGCTGTCTGATCCTGTCAGCAAGAAGAACAACTTCATCTCCCTTTTGGATTTCAGCGGTTTTACTCTTATTACTTCTGATACGGAAATGTTCGTCTCATTAATAATATGTTAGTGTTTTATGCCTATTGCCGAGCCCCCGACTGTCGCTCGAGGCGTTTTGTATTTAAAAGACATCTTTGAGCTTTGGTTCCTTATTGAAAAACGTCTCTGGAGTTTTTTTTAAGGAGTTCAGTTGTTGTTTCAGAACTTTTCAAAACTCTCTGCTCAGTATGTTCTTATTTTGGGAATCCTTCTGGGATGTTGGAGCTTTATTTTGCAAAATAATGCAAGTGAGGAATTTTACCCTCTTTTTAAATCACCTAAACAAAATTCTGAGATAATGTTGTGATTGTGCGATCTAGTTTCTAAGTTAGTTTATGCTATAATGCAACAGCATAAAGTGCAGTTTCAAAATATCTACTGTACATGTGAGGGATGAACTGGGAAAAGCTTCTGCCTTGGGACTAAACATTAAAAATTAAGAGCTTTTTAAGATATGTAAAAAATAGTTATGATTGATTTTCAATTTTGGACTAATTTTAATTCAAAACACAATTTTAATGTTAAACTGGACACACTTTCTTGCATTTTTTGGTATTTTTAAGACCATAAAGTTCAAAATATTTTGTAATTGACATTATTTTTTCTCCTTTTTTAATAGGAAAGCTAAAAAAGGGGAAAAAATTGTGTATATTCATCTCCTTTTCAAAGGCCAACAACCTGCCCTTCTTTCATTTCCTCCCTCTCATAAACAGAATTTTCTCTGTCTCCCACTGCTGATATCAACCATTAAATCACTCCTGTTATTCGCCAATTCACTGCGAGTCTGAGCTTTTAACGCCAGAGTCAACAAAGTGAGGACTTAAAAAATATGCATCTGTAAACAGGGGAGGCTCCTTTAACAGCCCCCGGGAGCTGCAGATTTAATGTCCGCACATCAGAGCAAGGAAATCCTGTACAAGAGCTCCGATTCCAGAAAATCTTCAAACCCCAGCACTGAAATCTCAGGATGACGGATGACCTCTGGCCCTCTCTTCAAACGGTCTGACTGCAAAATAAAACCCCCAAAGAGCTGCAGTGAGATCTTTTAGCAATCTTGGACTAAAAACTGCACAAGAAGCAGAGGGAAAGTCGCCCTGCAGGAATAAAGAGTGAAAATGACTCCAATCAGCGCGTAGCCCTAGTGGTGATTGCGCGTTGCGTTAATTATTAATCTGATCAAAACCAAACCTCATTTAGAAAAATCGGATTTTTTCAGCGCGCTCGTTATTTCGCTTCGTTTTAAATAATCACGTCATTTAATGTTGTTCTAATGACTCATGTCGTTATTCGGCGTGATTTTTACAGCGTTAACTCCAGCCAAAAGTGGGAAAGTGAAAACCTCCATGTTCATGCATAATAAAGACACTTAAACCCATGTTGTGCACATTTAGCCTTTTCTGTTCTGTTTCATGCAGCAGAGCTGAGGCTCCCCGGGTTTATATTACAGATCTACTTCTGACTCATCTGCAGCTCTCATTAAACATTCACAAAAAGGTTTAAAGTCTGTTTCTTTTTCTGAATTTGAAGTTGAGAGTACTTGTCTCCTCTTATAAGCTTTTTAATTAGAGGGTTTTTCTAAACTCTCCAAGTGCTCTCAGATTTTGAGCGTGGGTGTGGGATGAATCATGTTTAATAACAGCCTAGATAGTATTAAAGTTTGGTTCATTTAGGTCGAGTTTGGTGGGGAAGTTTTAAACAACTTTTATCATCTAATGTGGAGATTTGTTGCTTAAATCAGTCTATTAGTTGCGTTTTTAATAAGTTTACTAAATGCAGCCTCATTTAAAAAGTCTTTTTACCGCAAAATCAACACAAATATTTAGGCTATCAGTCTAATAATGCAACATTTAAAAGAAATTGTCAAAGAAAACAACTTTTTAAAGAGGCCAATTTTGATGTTAAAAGATGAAAATGACTATAAAGACTTGACATACACCTTTAATCAAAAATAAAAGCTTCTTCTGGTAAAAATATGAATATAAAAAAACAAACTAATAAAATCTGTTTCGCAAAAAATGTGTTTTCAATTAAGGCTGCGTTAACTATTAATGCAAAGGCGTGTTTTTAAACATTCAAAAGTTACAAAAAAGTAATAAAAAGTGATCATATAATTCATAATATATCAACCACAATGTCTGCATTCATTAAAGATAATTTATTATCATAGTTTCCCTTAATTCTGTTATAAAATACGAGCCTGAAACATCAGCATGAGACCATACCGAGTTTTTGTAGAGTTTTACGAACAATTTTAAAAGTGACACTGTCTGTATTTAAACAAAATATTCCACTTTATACGTCTTATTATTTTATGTAACACCCTTTTCCATTTCAAAACGTCAAACAGAGCGTATTTTCATTACTTTTTATGTTAAACGCTGTCAAAAAAGTTGGCAAAGCTTGTTGAAAATTCAAACTACATTAGAATAAAACTGCAGGAAACGATTAAAGTCGACTAAACTTGTTGTAAAGATAAATCAGAGACATGAGAAACGGAGTTAATTACCTTCTTCGCCCAATGAGAAAGTTTTCCAAACTCTCTGCAAACTCCCTCACACACTCCCTCATCTCCATACCGAGGCTCCCACGGCCGGGACCGCCCACCTCCGTCTCTGATTGGTCTGCTTCTGTCAACAAACGGCTGCATATTTACTCCCAGCGCTGTGATTGGTTAGTTCTCCTGTCAATCAAATGTGTGTTTCTGTATAAGGTCTCGTGCTCCAACGGCAGTTAAAACAAACCTGAGATGAGCCCGGAGCTGAAGCGATACGGAGCGATTTTTACACATTTTAACCTCAAATATGACTGAAAATTCCTCCATGCCTTTTCATTCCTGGATGTATGAGTAGTTTTTTAGTTTTTCTTTGTGAGTTTTATTTATTTTTTAAGCGTCAGGTGAGCATGTGTTTAATTTTGCGGGGATTGCCGAGGTGCCACCGGGAGTGAGTTGGGCACTATGCGCCGCTGGGAGGTGATTTGTAACCGACAGGCTTATGGAATATAGCCCGGTTTGTCACAGCCTGTATGCCCCCTGGTCCAGCCCCGTGAAGAAGAAACTACTACTCCTCAGCATCATGTTTTTCATCTGGGTTTACATGCTGTACTCCTGCGTGGGCTACTGCTCCACCATGCCAAGTTTGGTGGTGGAAGGTTACCGGGGCAAGGAGACCGGTTCCGGGCTGGGTAAGCGGACAGAGAGCGGCGGTGGCGGCGGCGGCGGCAGGACGGACCTGGTGTCCAGACTGCTGGCTAAACCGCAGCCTTGGGAGGATATAGAGAGCGACTACGAGGAGCCGTCGTCCATCAGGACCGCCGCGTCCAGGGACCTGCTCAATAACGAGCTGGACACGGACTGGGACGAGCAGCATCAGCAGCAGAGAGCCCCGGAGCCCAGCGCCATGTCCAGCTTCTCCAACGGCTCCGGGAGTAAGAAGCTGCCGCAGGCGATCATCATCGGGGTGAAGAAAGGAGGGACCCGGGCTCTGCTGGAGTTTCTCCGGGTTCATCCGGACATCAGAGCCGTTGGAGCTGAACCGCACTTCTTTGACAGAAACTATGACAACGGACTGGAGTGGTACAGGTAAAAATCACTTATTATTAATATTTTTGTGTGTTTATTATGATTAAATATGTTCAGAAAATAGACAAATTTTTACCATAATGTGACATTTTAGATGATTTTAAAACTGGATGGTGATAGTGAAGTCCTGCTGACAGTAAAGCAGATATTGATAGCTGAGATTTCCCCATATAATTCTCACATTTTAATTGTTTTTAACGATAGGAGAAAATGTAGAAGTTTATTTATTAATTCATTCAGAAAGATTAGCATGTCATTATTGGATATAACAAGTTTAATCGCCTCGATTTGCTCTACAATGATCCAATTTTTAATATAGAAGTTTTGCATATCATTTTTTTATTTCCATTTCTGTATTTAAAGTAAGCTTAGAGAAAACTTAACTTGGTAAAAATGAAGAAACAGTGACATGAAGTGACCCTCGCTTTGTTTGATAGTGAGACTTTGCAGTTTAGTTTGTGGGCTTCACGGAATCCCCTTTAATTATCCGATGTTTTTCAATAGATGAGTTAATATTCCTGTTTATTCTCGTTTTTAATGAACAAACTCCTGCCTTGTGTTACATTATAAGTCTGCACGGTGATCGGCGTGTTTCTGCGATGTGCAGTGATCTCTATTGGACGCAGAGCAACACTGCACCTTCACCGTGGCAAGCCTGGGCTTATCCTGATCAGCCCCAAAAACACCAATTTTAGTCGGTCTGCTGCTTCTCATTTTTAGGGTGGGAATAATAAGTGAAAAAAATGTTTGTTTGGAGCATGTGCTTGCTTTTTGGGTCAAGTTATATCACCAAATAACCACTTGTGTATTATTTGGGTGAGCGCCTGTGACCCTGAATACTTCTAAAACTTCATATAAGGAGCACAATTTGCATAGATATTCAACCAAAATCATCTTAGAGTGCAAAAATTCTCTTGCTGTAACAGGAGGTGATTTAAAAACAGGTAATAAAGTTAATTATGATGGTGTTTTTGAAGCTAATGGAGCTAAATGGGCTCATACCGTTTTGCACCATTGTAATGTGAATGGTCTCCACCGGCCTCACAGCCCTACGCAGGAAAGAAACTGAATCTACAAGACAAAGTGAGGATCTTTTCTCAGGACAAAAGCGTTTAACGTCTTCAGAGGTCGACAAACTAATGTTATCCTGGTTATTTACATCACAAAGTGTTAAAATAGGGAGCTAAGGGGTCTTAAAGTTTAATGACCGTGTTAGAAAAGCCAGCAACACTTCCAGCACCGAGCTTTTCCAAACTTACTTAATTTATTTTTAATTATAGAAGATTAATATCATAAGGTTAGGTTTAATCTAACAAGTTCCTCACTGTATTTCCCTCATTTTGCAGTCATTTTCATCTAAAAAGCTCAGAAATTCCCAGTTTTGGTGTCTCTAAGTTTAGCCGAACTTTCACAAAGTTTCATCTAAAGTTAGATAACCAGTGGAAAAATTAAAAATGCCTTAAAAATTGTGTCTAATGAGTGAGAACCTCTGTTTTTCTCTTCATTAAATATGCAAAACCTACATAAGGGAGCCTCACTTCTGTCCAGTGTCGAATGAGGAAACAAGAACTGGCAGCGTTCGAATGAAAGACGCTTCTCGTTAATTTGGCCTCTTGATAGAAACGCAGATTTACTTCACTTCTTTTTATTTATTTTTTTTGAGTCCGAGTTTGGAGGAGGGCTGGTGTTTAACTAACTTCCCTGGACGGGGAGTTGTGGAAAAGTGCTGTCTGCTACTTTTTAAGCCGTGAAATCTAATACTTCTCCAGTCATGACTCAAGGTTTTCTGCTGAGATAGAGTGGGAGCAGATTGTCTTTCATTTTTACTCCCATTTTTTTCCACGTTGTTGCCAAAAAATAAACCCTTGTACTCAGTCTAACTCGCATAAAGATCAATTGTGGAGCTTTTATTCTGTATTTTGTAACTTCAGCAGTCTACAGCACTAAGATATGAGAAATTTTCTGCTGCGACTGGATATGTAACTCGCGTAAAATCCATGAAATTGTTCGCCTCTCGTGGAAGTGCTTTTTAGGACGTGCTTTAAATCGGCGAAATTGACTTTTATGGAGGAATTGCTGCAGAGAAATGTTTGTTTCCGACATAAACAGATGGTGTAGGCGGTCCCTGCAGTCAGGAAGGAGCAGAGATTTGTATTTTTTGGTGGAAAAGGATGCACAGGGAAAAACATGCTTGTTAGGAGCAGAGAAAACGCAGGAATCTTCCAGATGGAGGCAAACTTTGCGTGGCATTGAATCTATTCTGTGGGAATATGATCTGATCACAGCGAGGGTCATTTACGGAGGCGGTTACAGACTTTTTCTGTGTGTGTGTGTGTGTGCAAGTTGAGCAATTCACCTCCTTGTTTGCTCATTTGCACAATCTCTCCCTTTTTTGCCATCCACTTTTGTAACGAGCTTGCGCCATCTTCTCCCCCCCCCCCACCCTCACCAGCGGACACACATTTAGAGCTGGAATTCCACCAAGTAAATGCAGCCATAGAGCGAGAGCAGAAAGGACTTTTTTTTTAAGAGGGGGGGTCGGGGGTTTGAGACTGAATGGAAGTGGTGATAACAAGTCTTATTGTGGATTTCTGATGTACTTTGACAGTTTTTATTTGTGCCAAAGACAAACACATGATTCATGCTTTTGACCGAGGGGTCCTTGTATCAGGAGGTACACATTTTCCCAGTGAGGTCATGCATGAACTGGCCCCAAGGAACACACACACACACACACACACACACACTCACACACTCTTTTTATGCAGACATAAAAAGAGAGAGTCGGAGCTGAACAGGACAGCGTGGACGGAAACACGGAATTCATTATTCCGTGTTTTCTGTTTGCACCTGTGCGGCGAAAGTCGGCCGCTGTTATCTGACAGCGATAAGTTAATAAAGTGGTTATCTTCAGCACATACACAATCATGGTAAAAATCAATGCGTTAATCCCTGTAAGGGTTAATGACTCGTGCAGCGTTTATCAAAGGTCAGGGACAGCAGGGTGAGCGTTTTGTGAAGCGAAACCAATTTTTTTTTTCTGTTTTTAAAAATGAAACATGGCAAGAAAACTTTTTCAAAAGTTTCAGAGTGTGTCCCAACAGGGAAAAAAAGCAGAAAGTAAATTTATCTCAGAAACTATCAAGTCAAAAAATGGCGAAAAACACAAAAAAGCCCCTCGGATAACGACGAGCAGTTTTCTTAAACACTTTTTTAAAATTGATTAGAAACCAAGAAAAAATCTCCAATAAAAGGCCGACAAAATAGACGAAAACAAAGTTTATCTTCACCAAAATATATATTTATGTATTCATGACAAAGCCAAGAAACAAATGGAGGATTTCTGGGACTTTGGCAGTGATACAGCTTCCTTGAAACACTGAGAAAAGAAAAACAAACTTTAGTTATAGTTTGTAAACGAAAATGAAATTCAACTTTTTGTCCACCTGATGTAGTAATGAAATAAGAAAGCTTGAGATAAACCGAATTTGGCAGATTGATGACATTTTGACGTAATCTGCATCATATCTGCGTCGACGCCTCACAAGGCCGATATCACCGTTCCACATGAGAATCGTGTTTGACAGCGTATAAAATCTAAAACAGACTTTGGATCGTGTTTGATATACATTCTGTAATGATAGTGAGAATACAGCAGTTTTAGGATAATATTATTCTTCACCTTGTATAGTTTTTTCTTTCTTAAATTCAGTTGGGCAGAAACCCAAAAACTAATATTTTACTGGGACAAAACATTAATTTTTGTTTCTCATTAGTTATCATTATTATATTTACAGTATTTAAAAAAAGCAATAATGTGGTATCTGCATTGTTTGTCAGTTGTCGGCTGACTTACTTCCTCAATATCGGTGTAGATATCGGTCATTGAAAAACTGATATCGGTCTCTACTTTGGAGTTTTGATTAGTTTGTTTTTGACTGATTGATCATGTTCATTTGGGTTTACCAGCCACCAAAAATAATGTCACAGTCGTGCAAAAGTTCAAAGTTGCACATTTCTTTTACACCCCAGTCTTAAAAGTTGTCCTCTACTGGAAATCCCTCCTGTCTAACTGTTTTATAAATGTAGGATGGTCAGTGTATATGTTTAAGCAGTTATAGTTTCCCCCATGAGTGTGACTCATACACTTAGTCGACGCTTTACTGCCTCTTCAGCGGTGCAGATTTCATCAGCGAGAGGTACTTTATTTACTCCTAACTCTTGTTGACTGCAGCCCTCGTCCCTCGCTGTCAGTCTGCGGTCGCATGTCGCTCTCTTCATATTCCATTTAGCGCTATTGGCTATGAAGGGGCTTTGATATATAATTACTGTAGTGTGGTTTTGCTGTCGTGTCGCGGGCTCCGGTCTGAGCTCGCTGTCAGGGCCCGGCAGTGTTGACGCCGGTGCTCCTCCCCCCTCGGAGACTGAACGTGCTGGAGCGGACATGCAGAGTTTCACATATACTGGAGAGCTTTTATGCTGTTTTGTGAAAACTTTTCTATCCTGTTTGTGCTTTTGGACGTTTTCAAAGTTGAAGGGAAGCTTTTAGTTGCAACTTTATGTATTTTTTTCAGATCTAAGGCTGCATACTGAGCTATAAAATCACCCGTCTGTATGTGATGTGGTTTATGATCAAAGTTTAGGCTGTTTTAGAGGATTAACAAAAGTTGACAGGGAACAGTGTCAGGCCTTCTGGTCCCACATGCACAAAAAAAAAGATCTACTATAAGGAAAGGCCGTTATCTAAAAGCTGGTCCCCCCCCTGCGGAGCCAGACTGCAGCTCTTCGCCGTGTCGGGGACAGTTCTGGATGGGCGCACGTCCCTTTATCTGCTCGCTGCAGGGGTGCTCTGATTTCCACATAGGTGACCCGTCCACTGACCTCGCCCTTCTTCTCTTCCTCTGTACGCTCAAAAAAGGCCACCTGGTTCTATAGAGTTGCTGTGAAAGGCGTCAAAAACACATAGTGCTGATGTTTGCACACAGGTCTAGAAAAGCGTCTCGCTCAGCTGCGAGGACGCAAATAGTTTTTACCCGCGCTCACAAAGGAATGACACACTCGGACACAAATGTGGCTGTGGCCCCGCTCCTCTGGGAGAGCGCGAGTATTGATTGGTCAAGCCTGATTGGAGGTAATGTGCAGAGCTGGGTTAAGGGTCTTCGACTGGGGTCAGGCCTTACGTCTGCTCGCTGACAGAGTGTGTGTGCTGACCATCTGCAGAGCCACAGAAAGCTGCTGGATCCTACAAGCCCCACTGGGGATTTTCACAGCAAACAAAAGCATGACGGCAGCGGGTTCGAACCTTCTGATTTCAATAAATGAGGCTGATTCTTTGCTTTTGATTTCAAACTCTCTCTCCGCACATGACAGAATTAATAAACCCCGGATCTTTAAGTGGCTCTAACCCAGTTCCAGTTCTAGCGAGGACACAGATGAAATCAGATGATTAGATACTTTTGGCGCTCTGATTGTTTCCTGATTCCTGGAACTCCAACGCTCCTCCGGGGGGATCGAGCGCCCGGCCAGCCAACCGTACAGCTGACAGCAGGTTCACATCCTCTGCTCAAATCCAGCAGTTTGAAACCGTGCCTCTGTGTTGGCTAAACTTGCACTTTGAGTTCCCAGATGAGTGGATTATTCACCAGTGGTACCCCCGTTTCCCCTCTGAACATCATCCTCAAATCCCTGCTTTTCTTCATCCTCCAGCTGTGCGCTCTCTCTCTGCTGGTGTGTAAGAATAGTGTCACATGTCACGCTCGGTTTGTCTGATCCTGGGCGGGGTTCTCTGCAGGCCTCGCTGACCACGAGAGGCCTTTTGGTCAGCGGAGGCCCCACTCTGTCCGCACCGCCTCAGCCTGCATGCTTCATCCGAAATAGAGAGTGACAACGGGGGTTGGAGAAGCAGAGAAAAGGCAGCTTTTACCCCCAAATTACAAGCGGTTGATCGTGAAAGGAGTGACCTGCGGAGAGGGGAGTGGCGGCTTTTCTTTTTACCCCCTTTTACCTCCTCATGGTGTCCGCCGGGCTCTACCCACGCTGGCGAGGACAATATGGCCGCCGCAGACAGGAACCTCCTGCTGGAGCTGAGCATAAAAGCCACAGAGGGCTGACAGGAACTTGCTGTCAAACACTCGCACGGTCGATGCAAACAGAAAAATACAAAAGCGCAAAGCATTGTTTGGGCTCATTCAGTTACAAATCCATGTGACTGTAGCTGCGGTGTGTCTTTTCTGTTTCAGCTTAGGCAAATGAAGGAAAAAAACCTCCTTAAAGAAGACTAATGAAGTCGATTTAGAGAACGGAAACGGCGTACAAACCCTCCCTCTGTGCTGCGTGTGAATTAGCCTCTTTTAACAAGGTGATAATTTGGATGTTGTCAGAACAGAACCAGACGTCTCCCCCCTCCCTCCAGAGTTAACGCTCATTCATTCCTGTTAAGTAAACACTCTTTAGCACATTATTGAGGTTCCCCCTGGAGGCTGAAGAAACAAACACTTCTTCTACGGTTTTTCTTAATTGTTCCTGTTAAAGAGAGTCGTTTGGGAGGTCTTTACAGCTAGAAAAAGTGGAGCGAAGGAGGAGGAGAAAGTGATGATGACAGTCCACCTGCAAGTCTCAGGTATTAAGTCCCAGAGGTAGCCATTAAGGTGCAGGAGAGTGTGCCTGCCTCTGGGAAAAAGAGGACACACACACACACACACACACACAGAAAGACAGAGAGAAAGAGAGAGAGTAGCCGTGGTCTCCTGAGGTTTCCATTAGCCTGGCAGTAAAAGAGCAGAGCTCATTAGAAGCCCTGAGTTGTCTCCCTGCACCGCGCCGACTCGACACTAGTCACTCTCTCCATTTTAGATGAACTCCCAGAGCTGCCGGGGGCTCTCAGAAGACCTGTAAGAACACTTCAGCCCAACTCCGAGACAACCTGGCCAAACTCAACTCACTTCCAATTATTTTCCACCATGAGCAGTTTTTCTCTCGCTTGTTTTCGCTGATCAGAATCAGACAGCAGTCCTGGAAAGCGCTCTGTGTGTTTTTTTTTTTTGGAAGCAGAAAAACTTCATTACTATCAAACTGCTGCTGCTGCTGAAACAGGGAATCTGAAAAGTTGGAAAGAGATCAGACTGTACTTGAGTCAAAAACATGAAGTAATGTCGACTTTGAGCTTGGACATGTAAACCAGGTTACTCTGAAAGGTTAAATATGTGACCCTGAAGTCTTCCTCTCGATTACTCTGCAGTTCTGACATTTCAAGTATGCGCTCTGGATGACTGAACTTAATTATCTACATCATTTTTTCATACTTGGCTATAAGACTGGGCGATGTGGCTTCAAATCAATATCACGATATATTGAGCTGTTCATCTCGATAACGATAAATGGATAATAACTACTAAGGCCCAGACCAATATGGATTTTTTGGGGCTGATACCGATTATTAGAAGGGAAAAAAATCTGATTACTGATTAATCGGCCGATTTTTTAAATTGTTTATGAAGTTCTAAAAAATATATATATACTGTAGGCTACTGCTCTTCACACCGACAGGAAGACCGACTGATCAAACTCTACCATTACTGTCACTGCTAACAGTGTAGCAAGGCTAATAGCAGGTGGCTAACTCTAACTTTAGCTTGCATATTACATGGTGCTTCACCGTTAACTCGGTGTGACGGAGACCAGCACAGCGGGGAACATCGTGAAGTGGGTTGAACTGAAGCTTGTTGACTTATTGTGTATTTCACAAACTGGTTTATTTACCGTTGAGGCGGACCACTCTCCTCCGTGCGTCCCTGAGCTGCCTGCTTCAGATCCGTCACTCTGCTGTGCTGTGAGGTAGTTAGTGGATGGAGATTGCCATGAGGTCGCTGCGCCATCTTCAGGATAAGTGGGGGAACTTTTCGAATGGCAGAACATTTTCGATTGATTGATTGATTAACAAACAGTTCACCTCATTGTCTCCAAGGTTTTACTTGGATTCTTTTATTCCTTTTTCCATTTTATCATATACTGCCCGTGTGTACATATCTGAGTTATTTAATGTGAATTCATTTTTGTCCTTTTTTACCATTAAAGCTTTTCCATGTTGCTGTTTTTGGCCGGATCTCTCCTGTAGAGTAGTTTTCTGATCTCTGTGGTACAGACCCGTTAAATAAGAAAAATACAATAATAATAATAATGGGGAAGTCTGACACACAGTATATACACAACGGAGTGATTTGTAGCTCTGTGCTTATTATACGACCCGAACCCAAAAGTTGTAAAACATTTCCAAGATCATATATTACTAAAATTTGAAGAGGATGGTTATATGAGAACTCTCCATAACCATGACGAGGAAAAACTTCATTTAGCCGAGACGATTTATAAAAACATAAATCTTCAATAGGCCAAGAGCTGACATGTAGCGTTTCTAAAACATCTCTCATTGAGCCGGCTCTCCATTTTTCAGTTTCACTCCCTTTTACGAAATAGCCGGTCTGTCCGGAACGGAGTCGGAGCAGATCCTCTTTCCTGTCTGAAAGGCTTACTGATAGAGACACAGCTGAGGGGTGAAAACATTTGTCATAGTAATCCTCAAACCACCAAAACCTGAACCTGAGCTTCTATCTCCCTCGTAGCAGAACTGGTTAAAAACCGTGGTCTTAGCAACAATTATCTTGTCTACAGGGTGCTCTGAGATATTGTGGGAGACACCGTCTAGGCTGAAATCCAAAGAAAACCGTCAGATCGCCCGAGGATTTCAGCTGCCAGTCTTTCCATCTCCGAAGGAAGCAGGTTAATTGTCGTGACTGGCGCTATCCTCACTCAATTTAGCTAATTATACGTTAGCTCGGGAGGCAGGCTGTCCTCAGGAATTTGTAAACCATTAACCTGAAGCAACAGCTGCAGTGTGATTAATGGAAGCAAAATAATAGTCCACACACACTCAGGAAGATGGTTTCTGCTCACTGAGTGACATACAGTGGAGAGGAAATCCCCTCTTTCTCTCTCACACACTTTGTAGTTCACCTGTCTTCAAAAAGGTGTGCAGGCAGTTACGCTTGACAGCCAATTCAAACAGGATGCAAAGCAGCTAGCTAGCTCGCTTCTCCTTCTGTGTGTGTGTGTGTGTGTGTGTGTGTGTTGGAGTGCGACTGTGTGCATGCGTCTGGGGAGTGGGGGTGGTGGCATCTATGTTCTTCTGGAGTCTGTTTCATCTTTTATTCATCTTTGCTGTTGCTAGATCAAGGAGTCATGCGCCTCTTGGTGCATGTCAAGTGTCAGGAAATCAGTCAGAATGGCTGATTCTTGCCTGCACAGCCGCACAAAAACACACAAAAATGCTAACACACACACACAAGGCGAGGCTCCACCTGCAGCCCTTCATTGTTGTTTGCCCTCTTGTTTTTTATCCTTTCACGGTTCATCTGTTTATTCCGTCCGAGCTGTCAGTCAGTCGCACCCTGATTCTGACGGAGCGGTGGAATGTGTGCCGAGCTCGGCGCTAACACCCTCCACAAACAGCGAGCGCAAACACGCTGATTAGAGAGGATTACTAGTGCTAAACAAATTCTGGGTAATATCGCCAAGTGGCGTGTGTTTGCGCGAGTCTGTTCAGTGTTAGTGTTAGGTGCCGAGGAAAGACAAAGAGTAGCCCGATTGTTGCGGCGGTGTCCGGTGACTCATCTCGTATCCCGTGTCAAACAAAGCGGTGAGATGTTGTGTTAAGTGTTACCAAAACAAAGAGATCTTTCACCTCCTCGGAGCCAGAGAAACCGAGCTGGAAGGGAAAAAAAAGGACACTTCTGCAAGCTGCTGCACATTCATGAGAGGAAAAGAAGCAAAGGGAGGAGGTATTTCTTCTTTCCAGCCTCCACCATCCCTTTCACCAACTTCTTCTGTTTTATTTATACCACATGGTGGGCTCCCTTGCTTCACTGCAGGGTTATTAACACTCGGTAATTCCAGGCAGCCGCCTTCGGCCACAACCCGATGTGGTTCCAGGCTCCGAAAAAACCGTTACGGCACCACACATTCCTGCGTTGTTTTCCGAAAGGTGCCAAGTAGCAACAGATATACTTAAAAACAGATTTTCCGAGTTGGGAAAATGATAGTTACTTATTGAATTGAATAATTTGTGCTTGTCACGCCTGTGCGATGCTGCCCATCACAAGGTGACCACAATGGTGAAAGAGAAGTATGTCTGCCTCAGTAAGAGTTTTGAAGACATGACAGAGGGGTATGTGAACTGTGGCTGGGGGTAATATGCTGTTGGGGTGTCTGACATGAAGTCCATGACATTATACGTGGTGGTTAGGTCTCTATTTATTTATTCTACTCCACTAGTGTCTGAAGTTGCCTCCAAAACCAAGTTGGGTATGAGCCCAAAACCAGTTTGGATGGTCTGCAACCGCAAACCCGACTCCCCCCTTTCTCCATCAGTTCGGACTCCCATTCTCTCTGTCATTCACTCTCCCTCTCCTACACACTGTAGGAGACTCTGCGATAAAAAAAAGTCCGCTCAGGCGGTGCACGACTCCCTGATTCCAGTGAGAAATGATGGATGGACGGCCTGCATCGGCCGGGTTAACTGCTTTGTTTACATGGAGGGTCAGTGGATTCCCAGGCTGCTCTGACACGGTGTAACTCCATGATGGAGTTAAGGGTCTGGGAGCTGCATTTATCAACCAGATTAGGACTCCGGCTCAGGGGGGGGTGGGTGTCAGGATGTCACAGAGCAAGATACAAGACGAGGGCGCCTTCCAGTTTTGGCCATTGCACTCAGGATCTGTTGGTCTGGTTGAGTTTAAAATGGTAGCCGCTTCGTTGTACTTTGACCTCTGATCCTCTCGTGCAGATAGGAACTTCCTTCAGTCTGATTGGTTGGTATAAATGCTCTAATTAAGCACTGTCTTTTGTTTATCAAGGCCTTCTCCAGCACTGCGAGTGAGCACTGGCTGAATCATTCCAACTTAAACGAAAAACACTTAATTTCCCACTTGAGTAAGTTTTCCAACTGAGTCCATTCCCATCAGTTAAACACTCCTCTTAAATATCTCCCCTCTGGGACATGTTCAAAAACAAATAAATATCAGGGTTCCCTCCATCACCTGGAGATGGATGGCTTGGTTCCTTCCATTGCTCTCCAAGGACCGTTTCTGGAGCCCTTTTATTTTGGCTTTCACAACTTGATGGAGTTGTGCAAAAACTTTACTTTTCACCGTATGTTTTGAGACATATGTTTTGGTCTGGCTCCCCATTTTGATCAGTAATTAACTCCTTGATATCACCAACTTTGAGACACCATACCTTTTAAGCGTTCATATCTGGACTCTGTCTAGTGAATGATGAACATTTTAGGCTCAACTTTTACGCGACTTGTCGCATTCACACCACCTGGCGCAACCAGCACGGGGTCGGTGGGGTCAAGTGTCTTGCTCAAGGACACTTTGGCATGAGGACTTGGATTGAACCTTGTGACATAGGGCATATTGCAATATCGACTTGAGGCCATATTTCCCAGCCCTTCCTTTAAACTTTTATATCCTGACTCTTTTTCGTGAATGGTAAGGTTTCTTGCCCAGGGACACTTTGGCATGTGGACTTGGATCGAACCATGTGATGTTCCAATTTGGAGACCACCACCTCTACCACTGAGCCACAGCCGTCCATTAAAAACTGGGTCGGGTTCGCATTAAAATCTCAGGCTACGTTTAGATTCACTGTCCCGTAGGATCAAAAGCAATTTAGTGGATATGGACGAGAACGTTAGGCCAGACCTCCTACCTTTCCCCACCTGTTTTATTAACAGAGACATGCACTAATGCATTTTGTAATAAGACGAATTCAGATTGGAAACACTGACCTGGAAACCAAGAAATTATACCCACTCCTGGAGAAAGTTGGTCTTTCTCACAGGTGCTGTTAAATTCAAGAGTTTTGCACATTTTGGTTGAAGAGAGAGGACTTTCAAACAGTCAGATTAACAAAGACAGACATATGAAACTCAGCGGGTGAAGCACTCTTCATAATCTCAAAGAGGAAGCTTTCAAGTAAGCCCCCCTTTTGCAAAACAAGCCATCCGGGTCTGACTGTATGATATGAGGCCAGCCTGCATTATTTATCCTTTCAGCTGACTGATGATTTGGAGGGGCTTCCACTCAGCCACCTTCCTGAATATCCAGTGACACCATTATTCAGTGAAGCCTGTTAATTTGAAACCTCAGGCCGGGGACGAGCGCTGACAAATGACGGTGATCAGGTTGATGGAGCTGTAGGATCACTTTGGGCTCATTGTGCTGCGAGTTTTGGGGGGGATGGAATTACCAGCATGCTGTAGGTGCAAATCTACAGACACTGTTGACGCCAAAATATGTACGCAGATGTATAAGACATAGAAGCCCTTTAGAATAGATCCAAGGTTTAAACCAGGATCTCCCAAGCGAGGAAACGAACCGTCAGAAACCTCTAAGTGGTCACATTTTAACACCTGGACTCCACTTTAAGGGCTTGAAAGGAAAGACCAGATGAAGCTTCTGAGAGCCCAGCTGGAGCTCTTCTCCCTCTCTGCGTAATAAACCATCTTCTCTATTCTTTAATTTACAGCCAAAGCTATGCTCTGTGGTTAAATATAATGTCAGACTGCAGGCACATTTGGAGTATATTTCAAAATGTCTGGCTTCTGTTGATGCTTAAGTGCTACTTTGAAAATATTCAGTGGGTCGGGAGAGGCGTGCATGCGGGCCTCCCTTGTAGTTGCCTGTGTGTGTGTGCGTGTGTGTGTGTTTGTGCGTTACATAAACATGATGCTCTCTTTAGCTCCATTTCAGAGCATGTAGGCTTTCCCCACTACGATCTGAGAGCTGCGAAAGGCAGCTGGAAATGAACACTTATTTATTAATGAAAAGTTTATTTACTACTGTGCCATCCATAAATTTATGCAACAAACTTTACAAATTTGCATGTATCCTGTATAATTTTGTCCACGGAGAGGGAAGGCACACTTTCCTGTACAACCCAGACTCAGAAAAAGCTGTAAAATGTTGATTTAAAAAAGATGTGGATGGTTTGCAAATCATTTAAAACCAGTATATAATTAAAAAAATGGCAGAGACAATAAATTAAATCAAATTCGGAGTGTCCCAGCTTGCTAGATAGAGGTGCCGGAGTGGAGTCTGGAATGGACTGCTTGTATCGGGGTAACGATATCAAAGATTTAATATGCAGGCCGATGTAATCCGACATTCGTTTTTTCATTTGCTGATATCAGACCGATATCCGATATCAATATCGTATCGGGACACCTCTAGTTGAAATTGAAAAATGATATCAGTTCGCAAAAGAACATGTTTTCAAACACCTCAGGACAGGGACAACAAAAGACTCTAAAGTGGAGGTCACTGCATGGGGAGTGTTTCGAAACAGTAGAAGACCTGCCTTGAAATAAACACATATTATCTCTCCACCATTGGCCTCAGGGTCGTACGAAATGTGCTTTTTGTTGAAAGGTGCTCATTTGCAGCACTCAAATTCCCATTGCCTCCAGCGGTACAAAGATCAAATCAAGAACACGTTCAACTTTAAAGGGACGAGCCCTTGTCAAGATCTTTATCCGCTGCAAGGAATAAAGATGCTTCTTTGTGTTTCCTGAAAACGCTTGTACGTCCACCACACTGGTTCATGTGAAGTGCTCGGTGAAGAGGCCTTTAGGAAAGAAAGGGAGTCTTTCAGCGGTACTTCACTCGTTTCCTTCCTCTCCTTCTTCCCACTTGTGAAGTGTCACTTTGCTATCAGACCTTTAGGGCTGGTTGTCAGGGGTCAACCTCAGAAAGCTGAAGACCTGAGGATGCAGAAAACAGCTTTGAAATGTCCTCAATCTTGTTAATTCAGACTCTTCTTGGGATGTTTGTTTTGCACTGTGTTGCCTCCCACTGGAAAATGTCCCTATTCTCGGGTCGAGAGAGTGCATACATCTTGAGCTTCTAATGCCTCTAAGAGTAAAGCCACACCCTCCTTTTCCCTCCTGTAGACACAAAATCCCCCCTAATTTGTCTGTATTCAAATAAACAAACCCTGATTTGAGATTCAAATGCTTTCAACTCGCAGACATGAGACAATTGAAAACCTTTTGTATCGAACAGAAAGATCCACCGACAGACGCCAAATAGCTTTCTCTCTTTTGTCTCTGAGCAACCCAGTTATTTTGTCAGGGATGCTGCGACACAGACGGCTCGGTGGCAGCCCGTTATCATCGAATCAAACATGACAGGAGGGAGGCAGAAGCATCAGACAGAAATAACCCTTTTCCTGTCTGCTGTTTATCTCCGCCGGGATGAGGGCTCTTTAAAACGCAGGCCAAAGGGCCACTCCGCCGGGCCCCCTGTTTGAAGCTGTTATGTGACAGGGCTTCTGCTTTGTGTCTTAGCGCTGTTTTTGGCATGTCTTTAAACTTGGGGGGTATTCTCAAAGGACAAAGGTGTGGAAAGAGATGGAGGGAGGAACGTGGAGATCTAAATCATGTTTTCAGCGCCAGCAAAAAGGAAGAAAGTTTTGTGCTGAGATGTCTGTGATTGGAGGCAGTTTTAAACTCCGTATTAGACACCAGGAGTCACCGGGAGTCTCGGTATCTAAGGGAAACAGCGGGATGTTTACAGGGCAATTTGGGCACACGTTCCACTCAAGAGCCCTCCAAAAGGCTCCTCTCACTCGAGGCTGAGAAGGACGTGGAAGTGCTCCACTCAGCCCCTCGATAAGCACCCCCGCCTCCCTCCTTCCTTCTCTCCTCTATCTGCCCCCTCTCTACCCTGCCCCCAACCCCGCCCCTGTGCCCTGACCACTGCCCTGCTCACCCCTCGGCCCAGAGACAATGGCTCACTTTCAAAGAAAAGCAGGAAAAAAGAGGAGGCTGGTGTCACAGAATTGCCTGTTTGCTGACGGGATCTTTAAAAGCAGCACCTCATAAATCAAAAAGGAGCATAATAGGTATTGTTTCTCCAAGAGCCACTTACTTCTCCCACTAACATTCCCCTTTTTCCTGCAGAAAGAGTGGGCCAAGTCAGAGGTGGTGATTTTCTTTTTACTAGGGGGGTCTCTTCTTGTGAATTTGGCGCCTTTTTAAAGGGATTCCTCACCACTTTCTTTCTTTTCTTTCTTTCTCCCTCGCTATCCAACCATCTCCTTGTTTTACGCTCCTCCAACCCCCAACACTCAAGGATTCCCTCAGCTTGGATCAGCATAATCTATCACTATGCACATTGTAACTCAGGCCTCCTCCCTATCTCCACGCCGCATTGTCATTTTGAAATCGGATTAGACGGGAAGCCATTTCCCTCTTCTGTGTCGAACCCTGGACTCTTTTTGTACGTCAGCGCAAAGAAATGACAAAAAAGCTTGCGAGCGGTATTGCCTTTGTGCATCAGGAGAATGACGAATGGCGTGCGGTCCAAACTGAGCATGTTTGGTTTATATATCCCTGAAGAGATTCAAGAGCTGCTGTGTAAACACTCTGAAGCTGCTGCAGATAAATTCATGTGCCTGTGCTGATAGTGCGTTGTTTGTATTAAAATCTTCAGAAATGTTGTTTTTTCGCTGGCGGAGAGATCTGTCAGGCTCTTGCATAAAACCACATGCTGTATCTGTTTTGGTTTCAACGCTCCATTAATGAGCCGAGGCCCCGGACTGCATTCACCCCCTCTGATGTGTCAGCAATCAAGAAGATATTATCATAATTAGATCACTGGCACCGCATTAGGATTACACAAATCTGCCAACGCCTTTAAAGGCACTTTATTGGTTACCTGACTTTAACCGGGGTGTTTTCTTCCTCATTCTTCTTATTCTCCCTCTTCTTCTTCTTCTTTTACTTCTTCTTTTACGTCTTCTCCTTCTTTTTCTACATTCTTCTTCCTCAACAATCTTTTTCTTCTTTTACTTCTTCTCTATCTTCTACATTCTTCCTCTATCTTTTTCTTCTTTATCACAATCTTCTTCTTTTCTTCTTCGTCTTCTTCTACAATCTTCTTCTTCTTCCTCTACAATCCTTTTCTATTCTTTTACAATCTTCTTCTACAATTTTCCACCTCAGCCTCCTCTTCTTCTTCTCCTTCTTCCTCTTCTTCTTCACTCTTCTTTTTCTTCTTACTCAACAATATTCTTCTTCCTCTGCTATCTTCTTCTTCTTCGTCTTCAACAATTTTCTCCTTTTCTTCTTTTATATTCTTCTTCTACAATCTTCTTCCTCTACAATTTTCCTCCTCCTCTTCTACTTCTTCTCTCTTTTTTCTTCTTTCTTAACAATATTTTTCTTCCCCTACAATCTTCTTTTACATTCTTACTTTTTTTTCTTTACTTTCCTCTTCTTCATTTTCTACATTCTTCTTTTTCTTCTTTTTTTCTACACTCTTCTTCTTTTTCTACACTCTTCTTCTACACTCTTCTTCTTCTTCTACTTCTTCTTCTTCTACATTCTCTTTCTTTTTTTCTTCGTTTTTTGTCTTCTTCTTCTTCTTATACATTCCTTTGTCCTGCACACAAATATGTGTATAGAGGGAGAGCTGGTGTTTCATGAATTAGCCATGAGTTAGATGGACATGTACTAGATTCCAGCTTTTAGAGTAAATATCTAAAGGGGCAGCTGAAGCTCTGGGGATGAATTGAGTATTACAGAGTACTTATTGTATAGAACTGGACCGACACTGTAGTTTCCTTCACCTTTTTCAGAGAGCAAACACTCTTGTCTAGGATTACATAGGGTTTAAATGGGATTGACTACAATAGTGCTGCCTACACTGTGGTACATTAGTGCCCCCGTCGTAACAACAAAAGCAAAGCTTAAGGTACAACAGGCTGACAGGACTCTTATCAGTGAGAGAGTGTGTTCACCCTGATAGACCAGTGCCCTCTCTTATCTTCGCCTTCCTTTGTTTTTTTTTCTGTCGCAAGTGCTACAATCTGCTTATTTGCTGAAATTAGCTGTAGATGTAGGTGGTTCTTTAGTGCCCTTTGAATTGACTGTAGCTGTGACAAAACACACTGAGCACTTCTCGTACTTAGAGTTTGCATTTAAAAGCCTTGACATCCAAGCAGAGATAATGTTTAATCTGTGGGTTAAATACCTCTGGTTTTGAAAGCGAAGCCGATACCAAACGCCTGAAAAATAAAACCAATGTGAATGAAAAGATGCAGTTTCCTGTTCTTACACTCAGGGCTGGCTGCAAATATGTCTTGTTTTGAAGGAATTTAGACAAGTTTACAGCCTGATACAAAAACTGTTTTCAGGTGCATTGTTGTTTGCCGACAGACTTTGAACCTTAGCATCACTAAACTGTTGGTTGACGCCATTGAATCTACGTCCATGATTATGGATACATGCATTTCTACAACAGCCCAGAATGGACAAACAAGTATCATACTTGTTTTTGTTTTCAGTTGGTGGCCTTGTGAAACGCACCGATTAAAAGAAAGAAAAAAGTGGTTGAAGAATTTGTTTTAACTTGACGATGGAGGATCACACTGAGGCATCATAGAAGCTTTTTGTCCATGTAGGCCACCATTGCTTGATTGGAGGGGTGAGCAAGGGAGCATTTATCAATCTAGAATATTGCAAGTCTTTAGAACAAGTAAAATTCGTAACGGTTGTTTGTGGGGACTCCAGGTCGGTTTTGTCCAACATCTGGTTTCAAAAAGCCCAAGATGATGAAAACAAAAATGCCAAACCGGAGGCTTTTAAAAAGATGGTTCACAGACCTATGAGGGATGTCACAGTGTCCACTTCTTTCACACACACTATAATTTGATCCCACGCACATCAAAACGTCCGGCTTTCTTCTTGGGAGTGTGAAAGCTGATCTACATCCCAATGTCAGTCAAACCACTCTTATCGCCTCCACCATAATCTAGACGCTGCGGTCGGCCACCAACTCTGAAACCTAATGCTGAGAAGGGCCGAGCACATTCACTTTCCCCTTTAAAAAGCAGTTGTTCTCAAGTGCCTCTTGATTATATGTCTGCATGTAACATATCTGTGTGGAGCTCAACAGCACAGCCCTCACCCAAAAACCAAACCCACTCTTGTCAAAAAAACACAGATTCCATTTGTGAAACAAGCCTCATCATCTTTCAGCGATGGAGCGTATTTTATTTTATTTTTGTGGGTTTGATCGTAGGTGGGGCAGCGTGGTGTGGCTGCGCCTGAGTCAGCATCGCAAATTGAGTTGAGGAAGACCAGGGGTCTGAGTTGAGCGTTTAGGAACATCACATCCAGCTGTGAGTTTTCAGGAAAGATGAGTTTATAGTAGAGGGATCAGATGATGGGTCTCACACGGTTCTGATTAAGTTTGAAAAAAACCTGAGAGCTCCTTCACATCATCCCTAATATGGGGAAACTCAGAGTCTGTCAAGTTAAGAAATTACTGCAAATATTTCCCCGTGTTTGATAATGTGGTTTAAAAAAAAAAGGTTTTCTGTTTCCTGTCAGAGTGAGATATCTTATGAGTGAGTGAGCATGTTGACGTTGGAGCGCTGCCCGTACTAATAGGCTTTCAGAGGCCTGTAATAAAGCTAAACAGGCTCAGTGAGTCATTGATTACAGAGCACTGTACACTCCATCAACTTGATTGCATTATACAAGATCTCGCCCCACCTTACCCTCCTCCTAACCTCCTTTTTTTTTTCTTTCTGTTTGTAGGGATCTGATGCCCAAGACGCTAGAGGGCCAGATCACCATGGAGAAAACCCCCAGCTACTTCGTGACCAGGGAGGCCCCAGCAAGGATCTCCGCCATGTCCCGGGACACAAAGCTGATCGTGGTAGTGAGGGACCCGGTCACCAGGGCCATCTCGGACTACACCCAGACTCTGTCTAAAAAGCCCGACATTCCCTCTTTTGAAAGCCTCACCTTCAAAAACAGGACTACGGGGCTGATTGACACCTCATGGAGCGCCATCCAGATCGGCATCTACGCCAAGCACCTGGACAACTGGCTGCAGTACTTCCCCATGGACCAGATTCTGTTCGTGAGCGGCGAGCGTCTAATCAGCGACCCGGCCGGAGAGCTGGGCCGCGTGCAGGACTTCCTGGGACTCAAGAGGATCATCACGGACAAACACTTTTACTTTAACCAGACCAAGGGTTTCCCGTGCCTCAAGAAGGCGGAGGGCAGCAGCAAGCCCCACTGCCTGGGCAAAACCAAAGGGCGGACCCACCCGAACATTGACCCCGAGGTGGTGCAGAGGTTAAGAGACTTTTACAGGCCCTTCAACATGAAGTTCTACCAGATGACGGGACATAACTTTGGTTGGGATTGATGTGAAAACCATGAGAGACTTTTTTTTTTTTCTAATTTGTTGAAGTTATTTTTTTTTTTCTTCTGTGAGTCGATGGCAAAATGTGGAGATATTGCTATATATATGTAAAATGTACAGAAATCTATTTTATAATAATTTATTTTTATTTCTAAGCAATTAATTCACTAAGCTGCCTAACCGTATTTGTACATAACATCCGGCCCACATGTTGTTTTTAACATTCCTCATTTTGTTTTGGGTTCTCTTGCTCCTCCCACGTGGTCCTGTAAACTCAGTGGATTTATCGGTGCTTTGTTATGCAGATAATCAGCGACGACTGAAGCGGAAATAAGAGTGGAAGATGTTTAAAAAAAAAAAAAAAAAAAAGCACCATATTACGGGTACAGAGCGCTCACAGAGAAGTGGAGAATACCTTGTCATGTACATCCTCATTTATACTTCATCCTTATCAATCCTCGTCATTCTGAGTCTGCGTTTCACGGCGACACGAATTTTCCAGTTAACTTTTTTACAATCCAATTTTCCTACACTTGCTTTGGCCCCGGCTACAGATCTTCTGTCCCTTTCCACTCAATAACAGCTTGATCAATAGGCCTAATTGATCCTCATTGTGTCACTCATGCTTAAAGTATACAGCTGCCCTTTCATTCTCAGCGCTCCTGCTGCCTGCTCTAATGAATGGCCCATCCATCAAACGGCGAATCGCATCCCGGACTGCATAAGAGCCCATGTTAACATTATGCTAATCGGGTAAAGGTAACGGGCAGATCGATCGAGCCTCCGCTCTGTAACTCCCCATTAGGAGCGGCGTTGGCTGAGAGCCAGGCTCCTGTCCTATCCGCTTGGTTCAAAGGTCACACAAAGTCTCAATCAAATTTCCTTGAGAGGCATTTGATTTGTTGAAGGGAACTGGGGGGGGAGCGTGTGTGCCTTGTTTCCGTGAGGTAGCCGAGGCATAAAGATCGAAAAAGATGACAGACAACAGAAGCAAGGCGTCGCCTCATTGAAATCGCTCCTCTTCAAACAGATGCTTCATCTTAGATCCCAGACTAAAGAGATCAGAGGGACAGGAAAGGTTTTTTTGTGAAGCGCTCTCAGCACAGCAAGATTAGCCTCAGGCGAGGTTTTAGTGTCTAACCTCTCTGGTGATTGTCAGAAAGCCTCATGTGCCATCGTCCGTGGCCGATATACTTTATGCCTTATTCACTTTTGTCATCCTCACATATCTCATCTCTCCACAGCAGATCTCTTCTCTCTACTTGTTGCCAAAAAAACAAACCCTCTGGGTTGCTATCATGTTTCACACAGCTTGAATCTCTATCTCTGCTCTTCTCTCTGCATCGCTTCTTATGTTTTTCGTCTTTCTACTTGAATTCTTGATATGCAAGAAGGAGAAAATGCGTGGCTATCATTCTTTAACGTGCCGCTCTGTTTGTTTGTAGTGGGCGGCACGCTATTTTTAAGGGCGCGGGGAGGTGACCGTGCTACGCTGTGCTTACACGATGCTATGCATGCTCAATGTGGTGGCCGTTAAAAAAATCGCAGGTGTAACAAGGAGGGAATATCAGCGTCCAGACGAGGACTTCAGACTGAATGTACACAACTGATCCTCACAATTAAAGGTCCTTACACACCGGGACTGTTTTTTTTGTGTGAGTATTTTGGACTTCCGAATTGCTTTCCGAACGCCCCTTTTTTTCCCAGGACAAAGACGCAACGTTGACGAGCTAAACATAAGTCTTAGATGACTAAAATGTGATGAGATGAATGTGCGTTTACGTTGAGGAGACTAGACTAAAACGTAAGTGGTGGACGACGAACAGAGTTGCAAAAATCTCGAGCATTTCGTCAGTCAAACGCTAAATATATTTTCGTTGACGATGACGTTGACGTCATCGTCAACTTAGTACATGCTATCATGACAGACAGCCATCTCAACACTAGTGTCTAATCAGAACTGAAAAACAGTCAGTCTGCTGTTGTGTCAGTCCTCTCCCTTCCACCCGGGACGCGTCTTTTTTCCCCGGGGAAAGTCGCAAAATCGCATCACGCTTGATGTGTTTAGTCAGGCACGTCAAAATTCGCCTCAGAATATTTCGTAATTTCGCATCGTATATTTGCGTCGTTCCCGGTGTGTAAGGACCTTAATTCCCTCAAATTCACGTTCAAAAAGATCCGACTGTCGCAGGTCAAAGTTGAATCTGATTGTCCCTGTTTTCTTTTGAAGTAAAGAAAATGTTGTGCCTCTCTAACTATCCAATCCAACACAGCTAACCTGCTCCTGTCTCTTTAACTGATAATCACCCTAATTCAGATATGTCTCTTATGTTTTAAGTTGAAACCAGCTTCCTGGTTTAGCCTCAAGCCAATGGTTGTAAGCGGGGGAGATGGAGGCTTGTTACACTGTATTCATTTTTAAATCTATCCTTTTACTTTTAGCAAGAAGCGACGTGGAGAGAAGCCTTCATCTCCCCTCCTCTCCTTAGTGCAATGTGTGAGTTTAACAAAGCATTTATGATGACCTCTCATAGCAAGGTGTCGCACTCTGGAAGGAAAGCGTCATTTTACCTGCAATCGATGGAGAAACCTGCATTTGAATTCTGGTTGAATTCATGCATCTGAGGGGATATCTGAAAAAAGAGAGAGAAAAAAATACATCTGGCATCCATGGGTCAACTCCATGCTGCCACGTTGGTTATGGTTGAGTTTTATTCAACCTGTTTTGAGATCTAAAAAAATGTTAGAAATGTTTGTCTTACACACATTATAATATGTATTTAGACTAGCAAATCTGTATGTACAAAGATGAAAAAGAAATGTAAATTGAGTATTTTGTGGTATGTACATCAAAGGAATTAATTTTACACAATGCAAAGGCAAAAATGGAACAGATGTTTCTAGATAATTAAATACTGAACATTCATAAGATTTCTTTGTATGAAGAAATAAATAAAAAAGTATATATTTTACCAAAACCTGTGCCTCTCTTGTCTTTTTGATCTGGGTTGTGTCATTAGTATAAAACATTATGAACTGAAAATATAGCATTTCTTTTCTGCTAGTTTTAGAGTTGGATTTCACATAATTAATGATCGTTCACTGTACTATCACCAGGTTTGGAGTAAAAAAGATCCATCTATTTTATTACATCACCCTCAACAATATTTCAAACTTATATCTGTGTCTGTTTGGCACTTTTTCCACATTACTAATAATAAACCGGTATCTATAATGATAATGTTTTCAGTTCACATGGTAAAACAAGAAACTATTTCCATGACGGCCATCCTCAGAGCGGGAGGCTCAAGAAAAACAAAACATCGATATCTGTCTGTACACTGCCGACATGTTGTATTGTTGGCTAGCTTACTTTAAGTAAAAACAGGAAACAATGAGTATTAGCACTCTTAAAATAAAGCCAAAAATACAATAATTTTGCACCAAATTATTTTTCACCAGGAAGTGGCTGAATGCTGTTTAAAAATAAATTTATATTTTTGACCTACTATATGGTCTGATGTCACTTTGGATTTCCACTATCCATTATCTTGAGGTTATCCATAAATCTCAGAGTAGTAAAATTACCAAAATTTCTCAGTTAATCATTGGTTATACAGCTTGTACAGTGTTGGAACTGATCACCCCTCAAAATGGCGCTAACCCCCATATAGTCCCCTATATAGGGATTAGAGATCCATGTCCGACACAGCCTAAGATTGTCTTGATATAGTGATCCGAAATATGAAAAATGGCTCATCTTACCCCACTCTCCCCTATTGTTCAATTCTTCTCTCTCCCTTTTTTTTTAACTTTAACTGGCAAAATAGTTGGTGTGTATCTGGTGGAAGAGGAAAATAGATCCTAAAATGTGCGTGACCGAAACTAAAAGTGTCCAAATGGCACAGAAATGGAGGCCAATGTTCGTCGTATCCGCTCCTTTAACTGACTGATGCCTGTCAGTCATTACCGAGGGCCGCGTTTCTTCACATCTAGCTACTAGCCGGAAGTTCATCAACAAGCTATCCCCAAACGGCCGGATTATTTAAGGTAATAACAGCATTTCTAATAAAGTAAGCACGTTTTTTAAAGTCTGTTGTAGTTTTAGCTTGGATTATTTACTGTTATTTATCAGCTGTAACTCCCTGAAGCTGAAAGTGTGTATTTTCTGCCTGTAATTGTTTGTAACAGGAAACATCTCCACAGGTCTTCACCCTCTCCGGAAACCACGACCCGCTGGCCTCCACACCTAAAGTAAGTTGAATTAACTACTTCTGCTGGCGTGTTTTGGTGTTTTTAGTTGGTGTGTTGGCTCTTATTTTTCTGGCTAAACTTAAATTCATATTTGCACTAATATTAGTGATAAATCTGTGTATTTGGTTAACAGGCTTCAGTTTGATGTTTGGTTTGGAGATAAATTGGAGAAGTGATGGTTGTGTGATATGGAGGACCAAAGCGGACCCATGCATATGAACCTTTTTTCTGTTTTTCCTCTGTAAATATGTTGTTTTCTTAAATGTTGTTTTTATTTCCTACATACTGTTGTGTTAGAAAAGAAATTTAGGCCTATTTTCACGTTTTCACTTTTGCAACTTCAGATTACCATCATATCTTGACATCTTGGTGTCTTCCCAGTACTAGTCTGGTGGTCTAATGCTGCGTTCCAGTTGTACTTGGAAGGCCGAATTTCTGAGCTACGGGTCAGAAATTCACCTGGAACACCCCCTTGAAGTTAGATTTCTGACTTGACGACAACGTACACAACGACAATGACAGTAAAAGCTCTTGTAACGTATTATTTATTCGCACAAGTGGTATATGTTGTACTGCCCAACATCTAACTGTGAACATGGTGCTATGGTATTTGTACGAGTAAAATATTGCGCTATGCATTGTTTACAACTGATAAAGCTAACAACAACTAACAACAGTTGACGACTATTGGCTAACGACAGCTGACAGTAGGCGTCCATCTTTGTTTTCCGACTTGTTTACTGGAGTGCCGTCCACTTGGGTGTAACATCATTCCCAGCTCCGGTATCCAACTTCCGAGGTAACTGGAACGCAGCATTATTGTGGTACTGTGATGGTGAAATTGCCTCATTTCTAGTGTATGTCTACCTGTTGGTTGTTGCTTTTATATTGGTTTTCTTTTGCTCACTGCTTGCCGGGTTGTTAGTTAAAGCTTTGCATATCAGCCTTCGAGATTTAGTCTCTACCATGGAACCAATTTGCATGAAATACCCCCTCTTTGTGTGAACATGTGATGGAAAGTTAATCCCTACCTGTGACACACACACTTGCATTAAGCTCAGTGTTACAGAGATTCTTCAGATCTAAAGTGACGCATTTTTGTGCCTTGCTGCTTTGTCATTTTTCATGCATCATGTCTGTTGTCCTCACGCTCTGTGTTTTATGCTGCTGCTGTTCAGACTTTTCGCAAACTGTAATCCTACATCTGTCCGCTCTTGCTTCTCAATGCTCTGCTTCCAGCTGTGATTTTTTGTTTTGTTTTAAATGTTCTGGCTGCTGCTTGTGTGTCTCACTGCTGTTTCTGCACACCGGCTTCATAGCTGGGTGAAGCTACCTGCTGATTTTTTGCATGATAAAAAATGTTGCCTATGAAGTTTCTTAAACTGCCATTGCATATTTGATAAGCCTGTCCACCAAAGCATGCTTCAAGTGTCTTGAAAGTGTGTGATGTGTAAAGTTTACTTGCAATCGTACAGTTTTTAGTTTTGTTTCCTCCGGTCTCTGAGGTGGGGGGTCTCTGTGGTTTCAGGTGACCTGTAGCTGTGTGGGAGGTTTGGTTGCTGGTGCTGCTGGTGGTGGTGTGTCTGCCATGCTTATCGGAAATGCCCCCCCCACCTCCCTCCATTAACCCACACCCTCACTCCCTATAAAAGCAGCCAATGTTTCCTTATGGCTCATAATGAGATACACCTCCAGGGCTGTTTATTTACAAGGCTCTGAAATGCACCTCTGTGTATTAACAGGCCTGCCTTTCACAATACCAGCGGTGATGTGTTTACAAACCTGTCTGCGATGAGGATGTTGACATCCGCAGAAAATTGGGGGTGAAGTTTGCCCGGTTGTGAAAATTGTTGGTGATTTATGCTCCAGCATGTTTCAACATCAAACTGTGTATTTTTCTACATTGTTGAATTTCAACTCTCATGAGACTCAAATCAAGTTCTAGCTAATAGCTACACAAATTTCAGACATCTTGCATTTTTTAATGGTGTGCTGCAGTTTTACTATGCTTTAGAAAAAGTGGTGTAAAAGGACATTTCAGAAAGGCTTTGATTAACCTCGTTTGTGAGCACATGTAACACTGAACTTCAATCATGCAGCACCACATCCAAATCAGATATAAGCTCAAAATCACTTCCATAAATCAGTGTTAAATGTAGGGTAACTGTAACTGTACCATGCAAAGAAGAAACCTACATCAACATGATTCATGAATGTCGACACCAGCTTTGTTTACAGTAGAATTGTATAATGTTAATACTACTACTACTACTACTACTACTACTACTACTAATAATAATAATAATAATAATAATAATAATAATAATAATAATAATAATAATGAAAACAATAATAATGATGATAATAAAAACATTAATAATGATGATGATAATAATAATAATATAACAACAACAACAACAACAACAATAATAATAATAATAATAATAATAATAATAATAATAAAGCAATATTTTAATTAAAAATAATACTTTTATAATAATAATGATACTACTACTACTACTACTAATAATAATAATAATGTTAGCATATAATTTATTACTACTACTAATAATAATATTAAAAACAACAGTACATTTTATCTATAGCACGCTTTTACAGGTGCTCAAAGACTCTTTACAAAACAATTTAAAACAGAAAATTTGAAATACAGAAAATAATTTAAAAGGTAAAAAAAATACACAATATGAAAAGACAATAAAAGCACAGTTTACAGGTAAAAAAACCAATTTAAAAAGATGTGCTTTTAGTGTTTTTAGGAGTGATTTGAAAGTATTGGGGTCTGTACGGTCTCGGCTGGGTTTGGTGAGGGTGGGGGCGGCAGCGAAGAAGTCTCTGTCCCCCCAAATAATGATAATTTATGTGATTATTTTTTACAATTTCTGATAAGATGTTCTTCAACATGCAATAGAACCCATAAAGTCTGTGAGAGCACATCCACGCTGGCGATATTTTAACTTTTAAGCACCATGTATTTGGACTGATCTAGATTTCTAAAGTTAAAATTAGCTCTGGATCATTGTTTCCTCTCTGTGTTCTCAGGGGTATAGATGCTCCATATCTGACTGACACATCCTGCTGGTTGTTTGTGTGGGTCTCTTTTAGGTTGCGCAAACAAAACCAACAGAAGATACCCCCCTGCAAGACGTCACTTTAAACATTTAAATCAAGAAGAGTACTAATACTTTGAGAGTACCAATGTGAAAGAGTATACAGAATATTTAAGACCACGTTTGCTTTGCTGAGGCGCTCTTGAATGGAATGATTTTCTTTTTTTTTTCATGCAATTAAACTTCCCATCCCAGTTTGAGTTGGCTGAGCTCAACAAACAGTCCCGTTCATGCTTTCCAGCCCCCAAGGAAGAGGTGGGCTGTAATGAGTGGAACAGAGCAGAAATCCCCACAGAGAGCACGCTGTGATGTAGTGGCAAATAAAAAGGCAGGTAAACCGTTTCCTTCCTGTCAGTCACAGACTGCATCCTGAGGGAATAAAAACACTCTGATATAGGTGAGGAGGTATCAGCGGGGTTTCCAAGCAGGAATTAGTTCAGAATATATGCAATAAAAAGTTCTCAGAGAGACACGAGGAGCTCTCTCTCATAATGTTTGTTAGCATCTTGATCTGGCTAAGAATTACATTGTTGTTTAAATACAGTTTTTCCTTTTAAAATGAAGGATCTGTTGATCGACCACATGTCTATTCATTTGGTGATGTAGCTTTGTGTTAATAACTTCTTTCTTTCTTATTTGATAATAACTTCTTGTCAAAGAACTTCTTTGACAACTAAGAAACTTTGGAAACTTTATTTTAGAAATAGTTTGGCCTAAAGCGACCAGACTTGTTCAGTAAGGTTCTTCTTATCTTATTTATGCCTGTTTTTGCCTGTTATTATTTATTGCGGAAAAAACAAAGCACATTAAAATGTTCTATACGTAGTTTTGTACACTAGTGTCATGGCGTAGATGTTTATGAATGAATGAAAAACACAAGTACATGAAATTATGCTACAGATTTCAGAAAAAGGTGGAATATTTCCATCAGAAGCAATAATAAACTATTATTCTAAACATATTGACAAAATTCATAGCAAACAAAAGCTAGTGACTTTTAAAATTTGATATGCTACCCTGATACTGATACCCTGGCATATTAGTATCGTAGCCAGATACGGTGTGTAAGTATCGACACTTTAAAGTATCAATACTTTTGACCACCCAACTGCCTCATAACCATGGTTTTCCTGTATTTGTGCCAGGACAGTAGTTCCACATTGACTCATTATTCGTACCCTCAATTGTGTCTAATTTACATGACTACTGTACCATTAAATCAAAGTTTTTCCTCAGTAATCTTCCAGAGACTTCTTCTTGACTTTCCTCAATCTAAAGTTAACACTGAGCAAAATCAGCCAATTCGTGACCTTTTTTCTGCTAAAAATGTGTTTGTCTGTAGGAGGAAGCACTTTGATTACACTTTTAATTTCTCATTATCCTTCACTTCTTTTAATCTGTGCATGAAACAGTAACTCATCAGTATTAACTTCCATCCAAAAATCAACAATATTAATTTCCGAACTTGGAAACTGAAGTGGTTAGGACTCTGCAAGTTTGAAATATTTCCCCTTCCTGACGTGTTTAAGAGTTTTTGCATCGTTGTCACTTTAACAAAGAGCCACTTAACCTCAGTGGAAAATGTTTTGAACGAAGTAATCGCAGTCTACAGTATGTCCCGGCACAGTATGATTCAGTGTCAACAGAGCTATCAGCAGCCATTGAACTCCTGCGGAGTGTACTTTTCAAGCACAGCCCCCCCCTCTCTTCTCCTTCCCTCTCCACGGGCAGGTAGTGACTTGCTTTCATCAGAAATCATTGCTGATATTCACAGGTCTGGAGCTGGATAATTGCTCAGCTGGATCATTGAAAGACACACCGCAGAGGAAGACAAACAGGATGTGGTGTGAATGACAGAAAGAGAGCGAGAGAGAGAGAGAGAGAGAGCCCAGCTTGGCAGGATGAAGGGGAGCATGTTCTCTTGGCGAGCGCCCAGCTTGTCCCCTGAATCCCTGCCACCTGTATTAACTCATGGCTAACCTGATTAACCTGTTCATGGATCCGACAGATGCAGATACAGGAGTGATAGATTTCTGGGCTGGCGGCCAAGCGAGCCATCTTGAAGGAAATGGTTTGTGTAATTAACAGAGCAGCTCTTCAGAATGACAGGGGGTAATTGTAGCGTATGCAGATGATGTCTTATTGTCATCGCGGGTGCCTCCCGGGTTGTTTTGGGTACAGACGGCTGCTGCCCTGGGCTTCAGGATGGGAACAGACACCTGGCAGCACTAGACACGCGATCCCCCCTATTGACTCCCTCCCTCCCTGATCAAATACTCCCCCCTCCCCTCCCCCTCCCATCCCTTGATACTACCTCAGGAGCAGGATGGTGTGTTTGATCATATTAGCTTCAAGCTGCTGCAGAGCAATTGCACAATATCCAAACAGTCTTGTCACAATGGCTGGAAACATGGCGAGGAGGCTGCAGGGGGGTCTGCATTAAAAATTTAGCTGTCTACCCAGCTGTCCCTGAAGAGCTCAACATGGAGACGCTCTTTAAGGAGGAAATGGTGGTTTTGTGGGCTGCTTCACACGCAATCTTATATTTTGGGGTCTGCGCCCCTTGTTTAGTCTGGAATCTTGGCTTGTCTAGACCGGTATTTGGTGAATGGCCTTGCAGTCGTGTTTTGAAGTATCTGTATGGCCACTATATAGAAGTGAGTGGCACTAGAAGGAGAAATCCAGATATGATGACAGCTATAGCAGCAACCAGCCACGAGTAACTTTAAAAATAACAGGATAACCCCCAATTTGAAATCTGCCACGAGATTCGCCTCACAAATGCATCTGGTAGGAATTGGCAGATGGTGAAAATCACAGCCGTTCAGTAGCGGAGCCGTTCTAATGCAGTGGAAATTTGGGGTTGGATGGTTCATATTTAGCAAGGGATGTTGTGCTTCAATCAGTGTAAAATAGACCAATGTAAAATGGTTAGCATGATACCTGGGCGGCCAAATATACATGGGCGGCCCACCCAGGTGTCAATAAAACATCTGCATGATTGCATGTGGATTCTTGTGAGTTCTTGCGATTCCTGCTGTCCAAAATCCACCGCGAAATTCGCCTCACAAATGCATTCGGTAGGAATTGGTGGATGGCGAAAATTGCCACCGTTCGGCAATGGAGCCGTTTTTTGGTGTGGTGGAGACTGGGGGTTAGATGGTTCATATTTAGCAAGAGATGTTGTGCTTCAATAGACCAATGTAAAATGGGTAGCATGGTACCTGGACGGCCAAATTTACATGGGCCACCCAGGTGTCATCTATGTGAGAGAAAGTCTGAATAACGTGTTGCCATGGTGACAAAAATC